GTGCCGGCAATAATAAAATCAAACTCGGCGAAGGAAAACAAACGACGCCTTTGGCTTGCGGGTTGTTTGTCTTGGTTATTCTTAGCCGCCGCACAATGACAAACAAATTTCGAATCTCCCACACCGCCGCATCACCATCGACACTTTTAACTTTCGCCGAATTGCGAAAGACGCAATATAGTTGTGCGCCGAAGAGTTCCAAAGTCGCTTTGTTTTTTTATTCGCAGGTTTATGTTGATGTTGATGGCGCTGCGGTGTTGATGTGGAGCATTGTTTGGTCTGCGGCGCTGCGGAGAACTATAAACATGTCGTCTTCGATCCTTCCGAAACTTTAACGACAGTTGCTCCGCACTTTCCTTACACTCCGGCGTGTTCATGTTCGATATTTACTCGAATTTTTTGCAAGAAAGCTAAAAGATTTGTTTTTCTTGCAAAATTGACAGTTACCTGCACCAAGTTGCCAAATTTACCAAAAATTTAAAAATGTCAATTTTTAGCATTTTAAGTCGTATTTTTTTACCTTTAACTGTAGGAAATATAATTATTTTATATTTTTATCTGATAGAGAATTTTCCAATCTTTCATAATCAATAATCCGTTGGAAGCTATCTCTTTTAGTTTAAGTGATATGAATTTATAAAAATCGTGGGAAAAAAGTATCAAGCACCCCCCCTTGGCAATTTTTTCTTAAGAATGAAAATTTCATCTCTCAGATTTCCGTTTTAACTATCCTATCTGATAGAAAATGGTCCGTAGATTAAAACGCTGCGATCGGATCTTAATTATCTCTTTTAGTTTACGAGATATTCGCGATTGAAGAAAATGGGCAAAAATTGAAAAATGTCACTTTTTAGCACTTTCAGTCGCGTTTTTCGACCTTTTACTGTAGGAAATATAATTATTTTATATTTTTATCTGATAGAGAATTTTCCAATCTTTCATAATCAACAATTCGTTGGTAGCTATCGCGTTTAGTTTAAGAGATATTAATTATCAAAAATCGTCGAAAAAAGTATCAAGCACCCCCCTTGGCAATTTTTTCTTAAGGATGAAAATTTCATCTCTCAGATTTCCGTTTTAACTAGCCTATCTTATAGAAAATAGTCCGCAGATTAAAACCCCGCGATCAGATCTTAATTATCTCTTTTAGTTTACGAGATATTCGCGATTGAAGAAAATCGTCAAAAATTGCAAAATGTCACTTTTTAGCACTTTCAGTCGCGTTTTTTGACCTTTTACTGTGGGAAATATAATTGTTTTATATTTTTATTTGATTGAGAATTTTCCAATCTTTCATAATCAACAATTCGTTGGTAGCTATCGCGTTTAGTTTAAGAGATATTAATTATCAAAAATCGTCGAAAAAAGTATCAAGCACCCCCTTGGCAATTTTTCTTAAGGATGAAAATTTCATCTCTCAGATTTCCGTTTTAACTAGCCTATCTTATAGAAAATAGTCCGCAGATTAAAACCCGCGATCAGATCTTAATTATCTCTTTTAGTTTACGAGATATTCGCGATTGAAGAAAATCGTCAAAAATTGCAAAATGTCACTTTTTAGCACTTTCAGTCGCGTTTTTTGACCTTTTACTGTGGGAAATATAATTGTTTTATATTTTTATTTGATTGAGAATTTTCCAATCTTTCATAATCAACAATTCGTTGGTAGCTATCGCGTTTAGTTTAAGAGATATTAATTATCAAAAATCGTCGAAAAAAAGTATCAAGCACCCCCCCTTGGCAATTTTTTCTTAAGGATGAAAATTTCATCTCTCAGATTTCCGTTTTAACTAGTCTATCTTATAGAAAATAGTCCGTAGATTAAAACGCTGCGATCGAATCTTAATTATCTCTTTTAGTTTACGAGATATTCGCGATTGAATAAAATGGGCAAAAATTGAAAAATGTCACTTTTTAGCACTTTTAGTCGCGTTTTTCGGCCTTTTACTGTAGGAAATATAATTATTTTATATTTTTATCTGATAGAGAATTTTCTAATCTTTCATAATCAACAATTCGTTGGTAGCTATCGCGTTTAGTTTAAGAGATATTAATTATCAAAAATCGTCGAAAAAAAGTATCAAGCACCCCCCCTTGGCAATTTTTTCTTAAGGATTAATATTTCATCTCTCAGATTTCCGTTTTAACTAGTCTATCTTATAGAAAATAGTCCGCAGATTAAAACCCTGCGATCAGATCTTAATTATCTCATTTAGTTTACGAGATATTCGCGATTGAAGAAAATCGTCAAAAATTGCAAAATGTCACTTTTTAGCACATTTGGCCCCGTTTTTCTATCTTTTACTTTACCAGTTGGTACCAGTTGCCTATATTTTTAAAAATGTTTGTGCGTACTTTAAGTATAGTTTTATTTACGGTGTGAATATTAAAGTTAATAAAAGATGAATTATTCGGTAGTGGGTAATTAAATGCATCGCCAACTTAATTGTGGATTGTGTGTGTATGTGCGAGGGTGGATGATCGAATAGTATTGTTGGCAGTTGGGGCGCAAAGGCATAAATATGTATAGGTGGCGCGCCGATCGCGACCGCAGGTCCGATCGACTCGTTTTGTTTCGCACGATTTATCGCGCGATAAATCGTCCCGGCCGGACAATAGATAGTTGCAGCGCAATTGCTGGAGCGACGATTTTTGCGCCGCCCTACTGCGGCTTTAATTATTATTAAACCGTTTTCCGACAATCGAAAACGCACTCATTGCGACTGCATGCCGTTCGAAAGCGCAGCTAAAACCAACAAAAGGTGTCGCTTTGAAGGACAGCTGAACACAAACACCCTTTAGGGCTGGCACACCGTAATTTCGAACGCACTGTATTTTTAAATGCATAGAGCGCATGCAGTTGTAGGTTTTGGCAGGCGATTATTCAGCCGCGGTGTTCGTTAACACCGCTGGGTGGTTTTTCGATAGTCGGTGATATTTTTTGTGTTTTGCGGACGTTTTTATGCGTTTTCGACACCGTCAAATGCGAATATGCATATTTCAACTATTTAACTTCAACAAATATCTATCTAGAGGAGTACTATTACCAAATAAAACAATTACCTACCAAATTACACAGTTTAAGCGCTATTTTTGAACAAAATTGTTATTTTATCTAAAAATAATTGATTAATTGAATTAATTAACAAACATATTTATTTTTCATTGAAATAACAAACCTGCAGCAGTTATTTGCACTAAACTGAAAGTAATTTATCAAAGTTTTTATTAATAACGCGTTGTGCGTCAAAACATTGGTTTTATTTGATCACAAATTGATCTTTCATGTTTCGAGAACATTATCACGCGCTGCAGGTGAGAATATAATTATGTATGATTCAAAAAATTGAAATCGAATGCGCAAGACACTCGATCACTCGCACTTCGCACATAATTTATTATTGCTAGACCTGCGAAAGATAATTACGCTGTCGACGTATTCTACTTAATGAAAATCATGTTCAACAATAAGCCAGAAAAAAAAAACAAAATAAATTGCGCGAGACTCAATTATAATAAACAACTCAAGAAGTGAATTGAATTAGAGTTGTTTTTTATTTAATCTTCATATTGCAAATGCATACCTTTGGTAATAAGATCATATCTCAATAGAAATTGCGATGAAAAACTCAAGTGACATGATGTTATGATGAATTATTATTATGTAGGCGTCGCGACACTTTTTTTGAACAAGTTTTTGTCGATTGGGCGAACAACAGGTATTTTTAATCTGTTTATATCAACCAGACGCGTAAGATTTAATTAAATTTTACTTAAAAAATGTTTTTGTCGCAAAGAAACGGCGAGAAATGAAGTTTTTAATAAAAGTGATTTTACAACACTATAAACCTTTGTTTTTATTATTTATTATTTAAATTGTGATAATTATTATGCATAAACATAACTCATTTTTAACTAAGACATTTCACGCACGTCATGTTTGGGTTTGGAAGCGTTTAATGCGCCATCAATTAAAATACAGATTCGGGCGATTTTTAACTAGCGATCGAATGCGACTGGGCAAAACTGAAGCTTTTTTAAGTAGGCTATAAATTACGCCCTGCGTACCCTCTGGTCGCTGCTTTTTTGGAGAATGTTTGCTTCGCTCTAATGTTGTACACATCGTTTTTACTTTCGTTGCTTTCGTCCCTCGCAATAGCTATACGTTACGATAATAGCTAAAGAGCGCCGCGAGTGTAATGGAGTATAATAAATTAATATTGAATTTCTTGCTTATAAATTATTCATAAATAATTTATGCTTGCGTGGTATATGAATTACCTGGAGTTCATTACTACGCCGAAAAGAAATTGCAATAAAACACGCATAATAATATTTCGGAGCACATTATTTCAAGTTTTATATATTGCAGAAAATCTAAAACGTGACATATGCACTATATAATTGTAATTTTTAAATTTATTGTAATTGTATGCGCCTTATGCAATCATGTTATTGTTTTTTTTAACTATTTTTGTACTCACACTGTATACTCAAACAATATTTCCTTGTACATACGAATATTTCTTTATTTGTGGGTTTTTATTCAAGTGCCTGTCTGTGCTCACGAAACCGTTGCACATATTTCACTAATTCGTTTTGTTCTTTATTCTTTCTTGGGAATTCTTGTTTGGTCCGTACTGGCCGACCATTGGGCGAAGCATTTTTGGAAAAAGGCAAGGAAACGATGGATTTTCTTGTTTTGTCATTGCTTGAGGTTTTAGTAGTTTTGTTGCAGTGAATCGAGGCGTATCTAACTAATGGATAGCCAAGTTATGTGAACGTTTGTTATGACAAGCAAAAACATATTATTGAAAACTGGTTTAATACTAAACTATTCGAAAGAAGGTATAATTTAATACCACTGGCGCTGAGTTCTGACCTAATGTTTGAAAATTATTACTAATTGTACCATTTTGATACAGCTGGCGACATCTGTCGATTTCTAATTGTACTAATGTAACTTTAAACAGTTACAGAATTAATTTTTAATGGCGTAATTCAGTTTCAATTAGTATTTAGTAATATTATAAAAAAATACATTGCTTATTTAATCATTTTTATAAAGTACTTGTATCATTCAGATTATTTTAAATTTAAATTAGAAAACTGTCTTCTGTCAATACCATCATCGTTTGACTTTTGACATCTATGGTTTGTTTTTGTTATCAGCGGCTGGTTGTCGCGCAAATTTGCTCCACACATTCGGTTTGTGCAATTTCCCCATGATAACGCGATAACAAGTTCACTTCCGTTTGTGCACCGCCCTAAAATGTGCTAGTCTTTATTTATTTGTGTTTAGTTTGCTTATTATACCTTACAACATCACAGCTGTTACAATTACTGTTATTATTTGCAATATAAATATCAACCTAAAATTAATCATTTTAAAACTTACGTAATTACAAAATTAACAAGTTATGCTTATCAAGGTAAGATACCTAAATTTTAATCAAGATAAAATTATGTGGCAATTGTGTGAACCACAAGGTTATTGAAGGTCATGAAGATTAAGAAGTTGGGGAATCACCTTATTTAGAAACGCTTATCTGCCAGCACAAGAGCATTCGTGTGTGGCATAAACTCTTAATCGATTCCGTTATTTCTAGATGAGACGCCAGCTGTAGCAGGTGTGTTTTATCGAATTAATTGCAAAAAGTTTGATCAATAAATCACCATGAATCAAGTTACTCTGCAGAGTAAGCTGAGTTCAATAAGTGATGCAGGCATCAAAGTTATTGACTCATTTACTGAATCAATAGCGGAAGCATTATATAAAGTAAGTATATCTAAAGTGATTTTATGTTTCCTATTTAACAAATCAATTTTGTAGGACAAGCTGCTGTTGATTTATTTTCATGACCCAGCCTCAAGCAATAACAATTTTGTAAAAGTATTACTTAATAATGACATCAACAGCTTGTTCAATCTGGATTTTGTCATCCACATATCAAATGCACAACATATGGAACAAGAGTTCACAAAGTATTTTAAAGATACACCTGATAATATGGCTAACAAGTTGATGACAATTGGAGTGAGGTCACTCGACAAAGTTGAGCATGTATCAACCATTGATGTACTTAACACAGATCAGGAAGTCATATTATATGAGTTATATAAGCTTAATACAGCTTTTCAAGAACAACTTTTGAAAGAAAATGGTAAGTTGTTCAACATATCTAATACTAGAAGGGCTAATAAAAACATAAATTTAAGATGAAACTATTGAGCAATGTGCAAAAGTGTACTTGGATACTTTTGCTTGGTTGGATAAAAATGATTACCCATATGTTTCTTTGAAAGATGTCTTGGATATTACAATGAATCAACCTCTACCACATTTAGTAAGTGTTAGCTTAACAATATTTTGATGTTAATGTTTTTAAATGGCGGAAAACAAATGAATTACTAGTAATATTGTATGGTATGAATACAAGCATTTTGTTTTTGATGTAAACAGAGGAAAATATTGATGGTCTACATGTACAAAGAAGGAAGTGCCTTAACGAAACAATTTAACTTTTTTCTTGAATCTGGAGTGCTAAACAAGTACAATCCACTTATGATACCAGTATTCTGGAATATATCTGATGTGCGCTATCACAAGGCCTTAAAATTCGCATGTCAACGATACTTTGAACAAGACGTACTGGAGAAAACTGTTTCCAGCCAGGAGGGCGGCGTGTTTTTTTTCATGCCGGATGAACGCAGTATTTGTTCGACTCCTAGAATATTCACGAAAATAACCAGCTCCGACGAGTACACTGAGATTTCATATTTGATTGAATCTCTGGATTACATTTTTAGTGATTTTCAGGAAATTAATAAAATCACTGGTAATGAATATTTCCAATAACTATTTTTATGAATACTTTTACATTTATTTTTTCGTAGATTTTTATGAAATTGACGCAATTGATACATATCTTACGAAGAGTAACAAGTTGTTTACTAAATATATTGTGCGCCGTTCTTTGCACGATATTGCCGAACTATGTTTGCAAGTTCCGGTAGGTTTATATCATTAAAACTATTATGTAAAAATTAAAATGAAAATTTTCAGCGTAAAATGTTATTGTTGTACTTTTACAAAAGCGAATCAAAATTTCAATCGACTTTGCCGAGAGTGAGACATCTTTTGCACAAAGAGCAAGTGATTTTTTTGCCCTGGGATATTACTAACAATGCGCACAATGAACATTTGATTCGAGCACTGCAGAGAGCGTTTGGTTTGAAAAAGATTGAACAGATTTTGAAAGCGCAAAAAAGTGCCTTGTTTATGTTTCTGCCAATCGGCAACACTCTTGTATTGCATTCAGTATTGGAAGATGATTCAAGCGTTTCCGAAATTGAGAAGGCCTACAAAGCTTCGCACAAATTCCTTATGTTGGAGAGTGAGTTAAATGATGAGATTGAAAGTGATGCAGGGTAATACAAAAAAACATTAGAAATGATATATTATACTCTTAATTTCTCTCAAACAGGCCAGCTGCTTATCAGCAAGTAATGTGTGATCAGCTTGGGGACCGTGATTTCGACTGCTTCCAACTTGAACGTGGTGAAGACAAGGAACTAAAATCGAAAATAGGTTTTGCTTATTTTGGACCACCTAATGATGAGAAGGGCTATGACAAAAATCAAGACAAACAGATAAATACAGCATATAAAAAGATACTATCAGAAGCTGCAAGTAAGTTTAGAACATTTTTATGAAAATGCAAAATGCGTATTATAAATGAATGATTGATTGTCATTTTAGAACTTGGGGAAAATGATAAAATGCTCTATATTAGTTTTATGCGCGTGTGCATAATGCCTTTACCCGATGAAAAGCACAAAAAGATGGAGAAAGATGTCACGTACCAACCAGCGTTGGATTTCAATGCGCTACCACTTTTTGGAATTCGCAAATGCTTTAATTGTCCAGCAAGTAACTCGGCTTGCCGAAAGTACATTGATCATATCGGACGCACATACGAAACCTGGGAGCACTTCCTCGAGGACAACAAGTATCCCAAGGTAATGCTGATCGCTCCAAAGAACGGAAAATACACGTGCGATTATCGCGGACATGTGCAACTAGAAGTCTGCATGTCTCCTGCATGCGGTATTGGCGTAGCCGTCTTGAAAGGTTTCGACATTGGTGTTGGTATTGCCGGTGGTGTAGTGGGCGTCGTTGGGGTCGCTACATCATTTATAGCATTACCTGTGCTACCCTTTGTTGCCATGGGTGCTGGTGTCGGCGTGGGCATCTATAGTATTGTACGCAGCGGAATGATTCTGGCTGATCGGGTAAAACATGGCGAATCGATGAGTTTGAGTTCAGCAGAAGCACGCGGCGCATATTTGAACATTCTCGCTGGTTCTTTAGGTTTCACTACAGCTGGAGCAAGTTTTGCTTTATCGTACGCGGCGCGTTCTGGAGTTAATATTGGCATGGGCGCTCGTGCCGTAATGAATGGCATTACCATAGCGAATTTAACCGCTGGCGGCGCGGCACTTACAAACTCCGCGTACGATGTCATCATTCAATGGTCGGAAGATGGCCGTCCCAATGCCCTAGCATTGGTGCAACTTTCATCATCAGTGTTATTCTTCGGACATGCCGTGTACAATACGCAATTTGCTGGTACAATTGTCCGCAATGCACAGGCGACGTCGATTAATGAAATCCTCGATTCCTTATCGAGCAATCGTCAGCGCAAAACTGTTCTACGACTGATTAACTCTACAGCTGACCAGGTCGGTAGTACATCAGCCGCAAACGCCGAAGTTATAAGGTACATGCGCAACATCGATAATATCCAGGAAGTCGTCGGTGTCTTAACGCGTGATACACGCATGATGAGTCGTAATGGGGTGCGGTATTCGGTTGAAAACCAAAAGATTGTTTTCAACGGGGTCGAAATGAACGTATCCGAGTTTGGCAACATGTCCAAACTACAACGAAGCGATTTGATTACATCCATCTCGGGTGATTCAAGCGCAGTGCGTCAGCCCGGCTCACCAGTCAAAGTCAGCAAGACGAACTTCCTCACAATCGAGAGGATTCTCGATACGTACAGAACCGCATCTCCGTTTATGAAACTTATGTTAGAGAAAAACACGACGATGGAAAAACTGAACGAATTAATTAACGTCTTCAGCCCTTATATTCAACGACAATTATTGATGATCATGGGGAAGTTTCTGAATAGCATCGGCCATAATAGCAACAAATTATTTTGTTCGCTAAGTAGTCTTTACCCTGCGGTTCAGTTGCCACTGCGTGTGATGGATATTATAATACAATTCTATAAAGGCGCTGTTGATGAAAAAACGAAGGAATCAATGCCTACAATTGATTTTATCATAAAATCTATGGAGAAGATTATTATCATCAGCAGCATGTCCATGGCAGGGTTACTCGTAGAACTCACAACGTTTTGCAGTAAGTGGGTGGTGCAAGCGATGATAAAACTTGAAACCGACGCGGACCTCAATGGCGCGACTTCAACGAGAGCAATCAAGCATTGTGATAGATGCAACGGGAATTATTATCAAAGTTAACGCTTTAACAAGTTATTTTTATTCTTCAACTGACTGCTTTTAATTCATTTTTAAAGTGTTAGTGTTTTTACAGTATAAATATTGTTAGATATATTTTTATAGTAAATTTGTAGGCGAAATAAAAAAAAACAAGAATCAAACACTTGCAATCAGTAGTTGAAGGTACAAACTTATTCAACTACAGCTACGTACACGTTTCTGTACATTTTGGCAACTAGAGCATTTACGCTAGGGACTAATTAACCTTTTGTTTTTTGGTGGCGCTGCATGCCATCGTATAGACGACGGGGAAGTGCTGAATGGCGAAGTATATTGCCACCAGGTAGCCGACGATGCCGATGGTGAGGATGAGATCGAAGAATGCTGGTTTTACACTGAAAGTCAACAAAAGTAGTAGAAAAAACAATTGTTTAAATGTAAATTTAAATTACCTGTAGATGTTCATCGTGCCCTTGGTTACATCATAAAATACAAAGTCGGGATCACGTTTATCTGGCACCGCGTAGGTAATCTTCACATCACGCAGGTATTTCGAAAATGTGTCTTTGAACAAAGCCACCAAGGAATTATCCTTATTGCTCAGTAATTGCGCGGAACGTGGCTGTGAACTTAAATGATTCATCCATGCTTCCAATGAAGTCCTTTCAACCTTCTAAAAGCACATTTCAAAAATTATCCTCCAAAAATGTAAATATTTTTTGATTTACACACCAGTGATTCACCAAAGACTGATCCAGTAACATTATAAATGCTTCTAGACAGCGCATCAGCAAGAATCTGCGCATTCTGAACAAGTTGATCCATATTGAAGTTGCGACGTGTGTCCAATATCGTACCGCGTTTCATATCTTTGTGGGATTTGAGTGTGGATAACGTGAATGCCGGAAGGCGACGAATACTGTATCTTTCATGCTCCCAAGCGAGGAGATCATCAGCCAGATTGATTTTCTTGTGGACACCTTCAATTGGCTTATCGTATTTAGAATGTTCGGCCGAAGCTTTTAGATTTTTGAAGAGTGTGGACGCCGAGGAGCCTTCTTTGGGGGGTTTTGATACGTGCATGTACAACGAATCACTGGATGCCATCGCGTCCAGACACATCACGTAGGAAGCTTCCTATAAAATTAAATCTACAATAACAAAAAAATTGATTGTATATTAACTTGCTTGTATAATAGATCCATCCAAGGAGTCCAATTGATCCTCAAGCCACTTCTTGCTCCCTTGGAAGTTAAGTTTACCACCGCCAGACAACAGAAACACAATATTATACATTCCATGTGTTTTCGAATCATTGTACAACAATGCAAATAGCCGCATCAGTTCCAACAAAATGGCAACTCCAGAAGCATTGGAGTCAGCTCCATAGGCAAGATCTGGTGCCATTCCAAAACTGTCATAATAAGCAACAACAGCAATAGTGGGTACTTTTCCATCTACACCATATCCAACCAGGTTACCCTGGACAGTCGCAATCTTTACATCACTCCTTACACTTGGAGTCTTTGGATTGATTACAATTTGATACCCAGTAGCAGCTACTGATGAAAGCATCACCTCTGAGGCTGACTTGCTCCTATCATCAGCCACTGAACTCACAGCCACTTCATTAACAATACCATCCAGTTCAGGAGTTGATGTGGCAAAATACACTGGAATTGTTATTTCCTGTGCAAGCATTGCATTCTCTAGCAGTAGCAAGTGTTGCTGTTCTTCACCAGACAGTAAAGCCATGTCATCCGGGAGGATAACCAGCAAAGCACCGGCTTTACTGCGGATATTTCGGAAGTGATCAACGGTGAGCTCTTGCAATCTCACAGCAACGCAATGTCGCGACGTGGACCAGCTATTTATGGATCGGATTTCCAAGTTAATCATTGCACTTCTACATCCTATATAAATGAAGTTATTAGATTATCGCATATTATACGAGTTTATTTGTTATATTTACCGTGAGCGACTCCATGTAGGTCGTAGTGTTGCATTCGGCACACAGGGAACTCATGTGATGCGGCCACTGGGTTTGCAGGTGATACAATTATGAAAATGGGCAGAAATACTAAAAGGTAGTATGGTAAATAGCCTTTGAACAGCTCCTCGGCCTCTTCGAACCACATTTTCATTCAATACTATCGCGAATTTGTTTAGATCGTCGACGGCATAGAGCACGTACGCTAAATCGGGTGACTAGTGGAAAACTTACTAGGTTAATCGAATTATATCACTGATGCCACCGGAATCAGCACAAGTGTAAAAATAACTAAAACCGACCCTAGATCACCATAAATATCCGTTTCCGGCCATTCCACTGCCACCAACTGCAACGGATGCTATAATTAATTATACGTTTTTATTATATTAAATTAAGTTAGTGTAGTTTTCACACTATAACACATAGAACTATGCATCTGAATGTACAAATAACTATTTTATTTTAAACTCTTGTTTCCTTGGATGTTCGTATTCATATCTTCGTTGTGCCCGTCTAAAATAGCAATTTATCAGTTTATTTATTTAGTTTTATCAACATTTGAATCGTATTTAAACTTACTGCAAAAAATATCGAAACAAACACAGTTTTATTATCATGGTGATAACAGCAAGTGCAAAGAGAATGATAACAATGTATACTCCAGCGGATTCCGCTAGTTTTCTACGATTTGCAACCATTTTGAAGTTTCTGATGTTTCAAAATCATATGTGTCAAAGCCTGCTATGAGATAAATTGATGCCTGCGATGTTGGAGGAAAGCGTGCGCTTTCCACATGCGCATTGCGAATTTTCCCGTCTATCCCGAAAAGCGCGGTCGATCGATGCTTATCAAAGTGCGTGAACACGCAAACAGCTGTCCTAAATCCAATTTTTCTATTTAATTCATATTTCCTGGATGAAAACAAACTAAATTCAAGTAGTAACTAATTTATAATCACCATGAAAAGGCAAAACGTGCGCACATTGTCTTTGGTTGTCTGTACTTTTACATATTTATTAATTGGTGCCGCAGTTTTTGATGCATTAGAGTCTGATGAAGAAGCAAGGAGAGATGTAATGCTCAAAGGTAAATAGTTTATTATTTTTTGCTTGAAAAACAAAATGGCGGAATAAATATTTGCCTTTCAGATGCAACCTGGGCGTTAAAATTGAAATACAACATCTCCGAAGAAGATTACCGCATGATGGAGTTGGTAATAATTGAATACAAGCCGCACAAAGCCGGACCACAATGGAAATTCGCCGGAGCCTTTTACTTCGCGACTGTGGTCCTCGCCATGATTGGTTACGGCCATTCCACGCCTGTGACTGCCGGAGGAAAAGCTTTCTGCATGGGCTACGCAATGGTTGGCATTCCTCTCGGCCTAGTTATGTTCCAGAGCATCGGTGAACGTCTCAATAAATTCGCTTCTGTGGTCATTCGTCAATTCAAAAAGTATATGCACTGCCAACGCATTGAAGCAACCGAAATGAACTTGATGTTTGCAACGGGCATGCTTAGCTCCATCATCATCACCACCGGAGCCGCGGTTTTCTCACGATATGAAGGCTGGACCTATTTTGACAGCTTCTATTATTGTTTCGTTACCCTTACCACCATTGGTTTCGGGGATTATGTCGCTTTGCAGAATGATCACGCGCTGCAGAATCAACCTGGATATGTCGCGTTGAGTTTGGTGTTTATTTTGTTTGGCCTCGCAGTTGTGGCTGCCAGTATTAATTTATTGGTGTTGCGGTTCATGACCATGAACGCCGAGGATATCAGACGTGAAGATACCGAGCTGCAATCATCATCGCATCATGTGTTGACTTTGGATGGGGAAGTAATGGCGGTGAATGGGAAATTGTTGGCTGGGCACGCGTATGATGATGATGTGGATGTGGACCGCATGTCGGTATGTTCATGTAACTGTCTAGGGTTGAATCATGGCGACAATCAGGAGTTGTTATTGGATACAAGTTATCATCCGTCCCAGACGGTTCTTGCAGGGAACGCTGGGCATTTAAAGGTAAAACGGGCGTCTGTGTGACACATACATCACAAATACAGTTTGGAGTAAAACTTGAACTTTAAATGCAAACAAAAGTGAGAATTGAATCTTGAAAAATGAAATGATCATGAAGAGGAACATATTTCTACCAACAAAAACACAGCTTTACGAATTTTACAATGCTAATTATTCTTAATTAATTAATTAACATTATCATTACTTAATGTATGCGTACGGGTAGTTGTAGAGCATTACAAGTGTTACGATTTTTGTACTTCCATTAAAAGTTATATAAACATTATAATTGTATAGTTGTCGCTTTAGATTATATAGATTAGGTTATGTTTTGTTGGTTGTATACGTTCACACTTTGTAAATTCGTGGTTGAATAGCTGTGAGAGCCAATCAAGCGCAGGTTAATCAATCATCTAACGCGTTTTATGTGCAGCCCTTGTTGGAGGGTGGTGAGCGTGAAGTGAACGCATGTGAACCGCGCAAACGTCAGCTCATCTGATATTCTGTATTCCGATCAGATCGTCGATTAGCGCGTCAGTTTCGGTTGGAAAGTTTGTCGATAAAGTTCAACATGTTGAGGAGTCTACGCTAAAAACTCCAAAACGGATCAAAAGCCAAAATTCATTTTTAAAATGTTGAAGATTCAAGCGGTGCAAGCATTTAACAAAGTGATTTCACTTTTGGCGATTATTTTTGGTGAGTAAAACCAAAAAAAATTTAAATTTTATTTAAGAAAAAATTGCGTATTGATTTATATAAAATTGTTGATGATTTATTGTGCAGTTGTGTTAAGACACTGATTAACTACGTAAATAATTAAATATTTCGGTGTATTTGCGATTGTTTCTACTTGAATACTCAAATCGGTCACGTAGACCGCAAGAATGTAAAAAACTGTGTGCGATGTATGCGTGTTACACCCTTTGATGCTATTTATAAGACAAAAGACTGAGTTCATGTTTAAAATATTCAAACCCTAATTTAACCCTTCAATCTGCCCAATCAATTCTTAATTTTTCATTAACAAAATTGAGAATTTGTAAGCGAATGAAATAAATTGCTGTAATTCATGTTTTAGTTTGCCATTATGTATCGTGCGTACAAATCAACTATATTAAAGTCCCAAGTTCCGTTCGCAACAACACACGAAGACCAATCATCATGGATTGCAATTATTCTGTGCGTTCGGATGATACCCACCTGGTAGTGAAATGGTTTCTTAACGAAGACCCGGTTTACCAATGGATTCCACCGAAGAAACCGCAGAGTTTAGGTGTTTTGCGCGATCGCGTCGATACGAATTATTCTGTGAGCAACGACGACAAAATGGCGTATCGTGCTATGAAAATACTTAATCCTACTACAGACATAGCTGGGACTTACAAATGTGCAGTTTCTACTTTTGCCGATGAAGATTTCTCCGAGAAAAATATGATAGTCTTTGGTAAACGCATTTATTTAGGTTAATAAAAAAGACTTATGTATGTATTTTGATGCATTTTAGAGCCTGAGCGTGATTTAAAAATGATGGAAACTGTCGCAAAAGATGGTAAAGTCAATTTTACGTGCATGGCGTCAGAGGCATATCCAAAACCAAGAATTACTCTCTATCGTGACCACAAGAATGATGTTATTAATAAGTTAGTAATTAAACACGCACTTTAATCATTATTTTTCCATTGCCACTCATTCATCATTCTTGTTTATAGAAACCCTTTGGAACCAATTGAATGGGACACAGTGCGACACGAAGAAGACGGTCGTTATACAACTTTTACAACTGCAACTGCAAAAATTACTGATCTTTATGAAGGAGATTTAATAACTTGTGAATTGAGAATTCCGGCAACTGGTTATGTAAAATTAAAATCATTAGTGTACTATCCACGCAGTAAGTATCAAAATGACGTTAAATTATAGGATAAAATTAAAATGTTCTATTTTAGATATGTATAAACATAATGAAGCATCAAGAAACTACGCAACATTATTTCTGCATCATTATTTCATTATTATGATGCTCTTTTATCAATTTATTTAATTTAATCTATATTTGTGTAAAATATATTCAACTTGATGTGTACTGTGTTGCATACCAACGATTTAAACATTCCAACCACGTGAAAGAAGTGAAAACGTACAAGTTCAAGATTTAAATTTATTTCACTTAAAAATGTTCTATATAATTGGTTTAGGTCTCGGTGATTGCAAGGATATTACCGTTAAAGGACTTGAAATCGTTAGGAAGTGTTCCCGAGTATATTTAGAAGCGTACACATCGATTTTAACCTGTGGAACTGAAGCCTTGGTAAGGTAACCTGCAAAAATGTTAATAAAACATACATAACATAAACAATTTCTTAAAGGAAAAGTTTTATGGGCGTGAATTAATCGTCGCTGATCGTGATCTTGTTGAACAAGGCGCAGATGACATTCTAGCAGGCTCTGGCACAGAAGATGTAGCACTGCTTGTAGTTGGAGATCCATTTGGTGCTACAACACACACAGATTTCATCCTAAGAGCACAAGAAAAAGGCATTCCCTATCAAGTTGTACATAATGCTTCCATTATGAATGCTGTGGGCTGTTGTGGGTTACAGTTGTACAGCTTTGGTGAGACAATTTCAATTCCGTACTGGGATGACACTTGGCAACCTGATAGTTTTTATGATAAGATTGTTGCAAATTATGATAGGAAGTTACACACTCTATGTTTGTTAGACATTAAGGTGAAAGAACCTACATTGGAAAGCCTCACAAAAAAGAAAAGGGAATACATGCCACCTAGATTTATGTCTGTGAAGGAAGCTGCTGTGCAATTGTTGCAAATTATTGATAGGAAACAGGCAGGGATTAAAAAGGATGTGTTTTGTATTGGTTTGGCTAGAGTAGGTGCTGAGAATCAACAGATTGTTGGCTGTAGTTTAGAAAAGATGAGTGAGGTTGATTTGGGGGGACCTTTGCATTCGTTGATTATCGCTGGTCCGGATTTACATCCATTGGAGGTGGAATATATTGAGCAATTTACAATATAAATTGTTTAAATTTGTTTGTGTTTATTGAAATATTGGGGATTCCTTTGAATTTGTACGAGGGTAGCGGTAGAAGTGACTTTATTCGGGGCACCGTACGAGGGTAGCGGTAGAAGTGACTCGTATTCAGGGTACAGTACAGAAGCGGTAAAAGTAACTCGTCATCCTAGGCAAAATGGGGTGGGCCGGCGAATCTCGCCCTTAATGACTAGGTACTCACAACACGCGACCAATCGTGGGCCTGTGTGCCTTCCCCCACCACTTTTAGCAGGTTGCCCGTGGGTTTAAAAGACGAGCGCGGAGTGCGCACCGCGCTCAGTCGTTCCTTAATCGTCCAGCAGTCCAGTCGCAGTCCCCTAGGGTCCTCTACGCTCCTCTACTTTGCTATTTGCGTTGGTTTAGTTCACTCGCGCTGGATTTCGTCCTTTTCGGGTATTATTTCATTGCGCACAACTGATACATGCTCGCCACTTCTGCTGCACCGTGCTCTACTGTAATAAATTCATATGTTTTATTGCTTTTAAAGAATAGCAGGCGCCCTTGACGCTAAAACACGAAATTTATTTCGGTTTTTATATGTATTGATAAGTTTCACGATTGATTGAGCAATAAAATAATATCTGTTGTTACTGTTTTTATTACACGTGCATATCTTTTATAGTTATCTAGTCAATTAAATTAATAACATTAATTGGCAAACAAAAATGACTTCATCCTTGAAGCAGACATCATAAATAGAAAAATGATGCATCGAATATAAGCAATAAACCTAAGTCTGTGGTTGCTGTTGCATCAACTGTTAGTAATATTTAAAAATGGAGCGTTGGGCAGGAAAAGTTGCGATTGTTACTGGGGCAAGTGCAGGAATCGGCGCGACTGTCGCTGAAAAACTTGTCAGATCCGGTCTTGTCGTAAGTTATTCTTTAAAATAACTTATTTTCATGCCATAATTTATTTTATTGACACTAATAGGTAGTTGGACTTGCTCGTCGCGTTGAAAGAATCCAAACTCTAGCTAATTCACTTGTTGCTTCGAATGCGCCTGGAAAACTCTACGGTGTAAAATGTGACATGACGCAAGAATCCGATATTCTTAAGGCTTTCCAATGGACCACTTCCAATGTAGGAAAAGTACATATTCTTATCAATAACGCTGGAGCTAATCTGGGCGGAAATCTCATCGATGGAATCACGGACAATTGGCGTACCATGTTTGAGATAAACGTGATTGGATTGTTGATTGCAACGAGAGAAGCTATTAAAATAATGCGAGAGAATAATATCGACGGACATATCGTGAATGTGAACAGCGTCGCAGGACACACATCTATTTATATTCCGTCTTTTAATGTGTATCCTGCGACAAAGCATGCGGTCACAAATTTAAGTCATTGTTTGAGGGATGAGATTACTGCTCAAGGGTTGAATGTGAAAGTGACTAGTGTTAGTCCAGGATTAGTGCAGACCGAATTTTTCACTGAGGAAAATCTTCCTCAAGAATCTGCTGACATGTTTAAAGGATGGCCGTATTTGGAGGCCAAGGATGTGGCTGATACTATTTTGTATGTTTTGAGCACTCCGCCTGAGGTGCATATTGGCGAGTTAACATTGAGACCAAAACGTTCTCCAGCTTAAGAGCTTTGAAAACATAGTTTATTCTTTATTGTACTAATCTTGTACTACACTGTAAAAAAGAAACTTTAATCAACCTATCCGTTTTTAAATAGTTTCCAGCGACATTTATGCAACTTGTTATACACAACGGTCAGAGAAAGGTCAATTGCATACTTACACAATTTCAAAGTCTGTCAGATTATTTCCTCCTTCAAACGAAGTTTCAAAGTTTTACGTCGTGCAGAAACTACTGTGGCAGTTACTTCAATTAGTACTTATTTCTGAAGCAAACCGTTTTGCGTGTTGTTAAGCTGTTATTCTCCTAATATCGAAGGTGGCTAAATATTTGCTAAAGAAACGAGACACGTTCTTCTGTTTATTGAGGTTAAAAAACTGCTGCTCGTGTGGCGGTTTTTCACGGTTCAATCAACGGTCGCTAAAAACAAGACGTAGTTATCTGCTCTCAACGATCATTTGTTTAATAGTAAATAGTATTAGTATTACATGATGCCGGAACTGTTTGAATTTGCAACTGGGCATTATATTTCGTTGTGTGATCAGGTATGTTTCATTGGTTAAATTTTTTCCAATTGCATATCACATATTTATTTGTCTTGCAGTTTCTTGTGGGTAGAGCATTAGAATGCTCATATATTATTGCTGAACTTTTAATCAGTCGTCATCACTGCAAGTTTACAACCAATGATGGTAAATGGTACATCACTGATTTGGTAAGAACTCAAGAACTAAACTTAAGTTGTGCATATTTTGATTTTTTTACTTATTTTATGCAGAGTTCCAATGGGATATATGTAAATGATAGAAAAATAACGCCAAACACACCATTTGAATTGCATCACCATGATACTATAGAATTTTCCACATATTTATTTGGTTTTAAACTACAAAGAGATCCAGGTATTTAAAAATTTTATATTCTTAACACATAACATTTTATATTATTTACAATAATTCAGATGTAAATTATGGTGATGTGGAAATAATTAATTTGGATAACACTGCCACAGCTGTGAATCAATTAGAAGCACCTGCAAATCCTCCTCTTGTGCCCACTACAGATGTAAAACAATCTGAACAACCACCACAGGTAGTGACAGTGAATACGGTTGCATCTGGAGGATCATCAAATGATAGCAAAATTGATGATGAGCTCACATGCAGCATCTGCAGTGAGTTATTCATCAGTGCAGTCACAGTCAATTGCCAGCACAGTTTTTGTGAGCTTTGTATACTCACCTGGATGAAAAACAGCAAAAACTGTCCGATTTGCAGACAAGTGATTACTTCACAAGCTTCCAGTATTACCATTAATAACCTTGTATCACTTGTGAGTACAATGCACGAGTATGAAGTATTAATTGTATAAAAATAACTTGTTTATAATGTCAGGTGGTCGCCAAAAAGACTGAAGAAGAGAAAGCCACACGCAAAGTGGTTGTCGCCGAGCGTAAAACTGAATTCCAGCGTGCAAGTAAGTCACCTCCGGCCCGTGGTGGCCGAAGACGTGGCCGAACACGTGGTGCACGCATTACTCGCCCCGCACCCACACCAACAGGCGCCAGCAGGCGTGGTCGTACCCGTGCCTCAAACCCACCACCACGACAAGATGTCATCAATATAAGCAGCTCTGACTACTCGGAGCCGGACACGCTGTCCGATTCCGATTCGGACACCGACATGGACATCGACATCGACATCGACATTGTTAATTCGCGAATAATAATGGGACCTTTGCGCTTGGATCATTAATAATGATTGCAGATGAGTTCTTATAAGATGACGTCAATATGTCGCTGGGCCTTATGGAGTACACTCATTTCTTCAGTAAGAGGTTTGCGCGGGCCGCGTACTCCGTCTCGACACGAAGGTAAACAACCAAATAATACGATTATTACTTGTTCAGTTCTTATTTTATAATTCGTTTGCTCTCTCTTGATATGTGCGGGGCACAATATTTTATAATTTTGATACATGTTAAATATTTATAAATCCGATAAATCAAAGATGTCGTCCGGTGCTTGCGCTTGATTATAGCGCTCCTGTGCTTTACTCCAAACATTCTTCTTTGGATTTTTCGGTTGTACAATGGTGCTGGGTTGAATCACTTTGGTATCGCTTGTGGAACCCATTCCAGAGGTTCCGGGATTCGATAAAAGCTCAATCTAAACGGAATTTTGTTATGTTTTGGTGGTGTACATGTTATGTAGTTTAATTTTACAACTTACGGGTTCTAATCGTCCTTGATTGTCTTTCCCAAGTGCTTGACCTTCTTTCCAACCCATCTTTGATAGTAGTTTAAACCCTTTATTGTTTGACGCAATGGATCTAGTTAAATATTAGAATATTATTAGATTTGCATCAAAATTTAACCAAAAAACTTACTCTGTAAGGGAAGCAGTCTGTGTTTTTTCATGTGGATTTTGACTGCCGACCGTGACGCGTCTCTGTAATGCTCTATCTTTATATCCCGCCCCGGGGGCGGTCTTTCCTTGATCATTCTGCGTTAAACCAAACTTTTTCCGTAGTTGCTTCAACTGATGTTTGTGATCTATACTTTTCGTATTTTTAACTTCTTCTTCTGTAGTTGGTTCTTTGGTTTGCAAGTTTTTCAATAATCCCGGCTCGCAATGGCCGCATGTCTGATTGCCATTATGCACGTGACACAAGAGAATAGTGCTTCCTATTTGCACCCGACTGCCATGCGGAATTTCCATCGGCTCGCTTTCAACTTTTGCTGGGGATACGCGTTTGCCATTTAGGAGCGTGCCGTTCCTGGAGCCTATATCAGTTAGAAAATAGGAGTTTTTTTCAGAGTCGTAGGTGATCTTTGCATGGTGTTTGCTGGTGTTGATTTCAGGCAGAAGCAAGGCATGTCCGCCTTCGCGACCTATTGACCCACCCTCGAAAGTTATCAGGTGCAGAGAGCCTGGTTTTAAAGATGGAATTGCGGTTTCTTCGATTATTATCCGCATGCATGGGGGATATTGTTTTGATACGTCTGAAAAAAAAAAACAATAAATAGTATACTTAACACCATTGTGGACAATATCAATCAAAATTTTGTTTTAAAATGTAATTTTATAAAGGCACATTTATACAACACGAAAATTAAGGAAACGAACAAACATTTAATGTGTTTTTGTGCGTTTTCTTAATTTTAATACTTTTAGTTTCGTCTATTGTTACCAATATCACTCTCATCCGAGAAACTAGTAGACGAACTTTCAGAGAGTTCTGTACATTCGCCGTCCTCCAACTCTTGCTGTGGTTTAACCTCAGGTGAAATCTTGGTCTTCTTTCTTGCGTCTTGATCTTCGTCGTCGTCCTGCAAATAATAATTCCGCTATATTCAAACGCGTTCAGTACATACCGCATCCGCGCCGACGGTACGCCGACACTCGCAGCGAATCGAACGACATCGTCAATTCGTCCAGATTACTAATAGAAGTTTTGATTACCTGCAGCAAACAAAACGAAGATTAAAATCAACTGCATGAAGAACTGTTTTATGACTTACATGTGGTTCATCCTGTTTTGATTTTTGCCTTTTTTTACTTTTTCGCTTGGTGTGTTTTGTATGTTGTACTTCAATACCTTCTGTTTGTGAGTGGAATTCATACTCTTTTGTGTCTTGATTATACTTGAGATATGTGCCTGAGTTGCCATCATAATATAAACCATATTCCTGTTGAATATTTTTAGTTTTTGATAAGTTGGAGTCCAAGCATTTAATTATAACATATTAACTTACTGCATTGTAATAATAACCAGAGTTATAATCATAGTAGAGTCCTGATGTCTCTTCATAGACAAATCCATTTGTGTGCAGTGCTTGCTGGGCAGCTTCAGTTATTTCTTCAGTTACTGATTTAGTTAAATTTGGTTTTGCTTCAATTGTACATCCATTTTTAATGGATTCTTGATTGGTTTGAGTTGCAACTGATTTTTTCTTCACTTTCTATCATTCAAAATCAGTAAATTAAAATTTTTCTTAAGTGGTATAATGAAATTAAGGAATAGTTACCTCTTTTTTATATTTTTTCAATTTTTTCTTCTGTTTCTCAATGCATTTCTGTAACATTTTGATAAAATCTAAAATCTCAGGAAACTGCTCTAGTTTTTGTCTAAATTCAAATGAAAGCTCATATTTATCTTCTTTTCCTTTGCTTTCTATTTTCGAAGGAAGCTTTTCTGTACCAGATCCTAAGGTATCTGTTGTGATTTCTGATGAACTTTCTTCATTTGTGTTTGTTAGATCATCACATGATTGAAAGTTATCTTTGGCCTCCATATCAACACAAAAATAATTCGTAGGCACCCTTTCTAATACACTAATGGAATTATTTAATAAAAATACTAATTTTAACGTTATTAAAATCGTTTAATTCAATGTTTTTGTTGTATTTTAAGTAAATTCTGAAGGGTTTTGTTAAAATTTGACGTATTTGTAGGTTATAGGGAAAAGGTTGCAAACATTTTACTGAATGCCTGGTTGCTAGCATGGAGGGGCAAAATAATTTAGAAAACAATTAATTTAATTTGTTTATTAATTGACATTATCTAGCCTCTTTCTCTCCTTGCCCTGTAACTTTCTGGAACGACGCTCGATGTGCTTCTGAACTTTGTTATTCTTCTTAAGATCTTCATACTTAGCAACCAAGTTTTCAATTTTCTTGTCAGCTGTAAAATGATGTTTAGTAATTTACACACATAACAAAAACTAGATGAATAACTTACACTTCCTCTTGTATAATGGTTTCTCTCCTTGTTCTTTCATCTGTTGGAATTGTTCAGCATCTTGCTTTTGTTTTTGCTCAATTTTATCAAGTTTTTCACTTTCTCTAAGTTGATTATCCTGCAAAATAAAAGCAAATATTAATCACTGTTTAGAAACCAGCTTGCAGAACCTACAATTCTCTGAATAAGTAATTTAATCTGTTTCTTTTTGTCTCCATCCTTGGTCTCCTCATATTCAGCAGCAAGTTGTTTCCTTTCATCTCTTTTAATTTCCTCTACAAATTTATAATCATTTCTAAACTGATCCTTGTCAAAAGTTCCACATTTCTCATCAAATCTTGGATCCCTGCTGTATTGCTGTTTAGGCTGTGGAATATTAGGTATCTGTCTCTGAATGAGTCTTGGTTTGATTTTGGAAGACCTTTCTCTTGGCCTGTTTTTATTGACTCTAGTGAACTGTTTTTTGGGTTCTTTCTTCTTGTTGTTGTCCCCGTGAACGGTTTTGTTATACATTTTGGAACCTATTTCTTCCTTTAGTTTTTGCAGTTGTTCAAAAGACATTGTTGATAGTTCACTTCTGATTTTTAGCTAAAATAAGAAAGTGCAGGAGATAATATTTCGTTAATGTTGCGGTGTGTAAATTACTCTTTCTTCTTCTGTAACATCATCAACTTGTTCTTCAACATCTGAAGCATCTGATGAATCTGACGACATCGTTTCTAAATGTTATTTTCTGTTGGGGAAGATATTGATAAATATTTTGTTATGATCAGGTTAGACTTTCGTGGAGTGTAATTTGGGTAGCACGTGGTACAGAATCATATAGATAAGTATTTTAAATAAGGCTTCAATCATTTTACATCATTATACCACGTAAATTTATAATTCTCTACTGTTTTTAGATTTAAAATATATTCTACTGCTATTCTAGATAGATTTTTATATTATTTTCATCTCAAATTTATCTCAATTTGAATGTTTATTGTTATGATCTTATCTCATGTTGATTATAATGTCAACCTCTAAATATAAGTAAACTTCATGCGTAAATATCAATTGCATTTGATATTTTGATAGAAAATAAACAATAAGCTACAAAAATGAGCGGAAATAAAGTCGTGAAGTTCTTCCAAAAAAATGTAGTTATGATATCCGGCATTGGCATCATCATTGCAACGCATTGGGGTTGGTCTCAGCTGCAACATAATCCCAACCTAGTGCCAGAAGATAAAAGAAAGGAATTACCAATAATTATTGTACGTAAATTTGAAGTTATTATAAGGGAACTTAATTCGTTTTCAAAAACATGATTTACCCTAGGGGTTGAAACATCTATCAAATGAAGCAATGGAAATAATAAAGTCATTTTCTTCAAGTGAGACAAGTGGCAAAGCAGTTGAAAAAAAATGAATGAACAAATGCAATAGTAGCATATAGAATTTGTGACAATGTAAATACAATTAAACTATTAATTATTTGTTATGTATTAATATAGATTAGAATATTGTAAACAAATACAAGAAGTACCGGCCAATTTGAGTGGTGCAACCGGCATAACTTGTTAGTGTGGTTGCATAGGTTCTTCTGACAAACGCATATTTCAATGTCATTGCTAAACATGCAACCAGTGCGTACAACTTTCATGTTTAAATCGTGACTTCCACATCCTCTTTCTGTGATCCTTGCTGTTTTCGATTTGGTAAGCACCTTCTTCACACAGAACGACATCTCTTCGCGGCATTGCATTAATAAATCTGTTTTCATGCGCTTGTTAGTCCCGGTAAAATAAATTGAATCACATGCTGGATAGGTGTCTTGTAAACTTGACTTGCATTGAAAACATGTGAGGCCAGTTAGGTTTTTGAAATCAATGTTTAATGATCGATTGCGTCCAGCAAACTCTAAAGATGCTGATATAAAACCTAATTTCAAGAGAAATATAAGAAAACTTGTAATGTTTCTCATTTTTGATGTGAATGCTGGTCTTTGAAGGTTATTTGTCAAGTAAACAATAACAATTCAAATGCTTGGATCACACTTGCATTTAATTGGCATATTTCCGGTCATTAATCCTTTGTTTCGTATTCTAGGAAGTGACCACGACCACAGAATCTCCCACTCATCAAATTATTGGTAACTATATTCCTCTTAATTATATATTTTTAAATTACTAATGTGGAAATGGAATTTTATTTCACAATTTATTTTATCTTATGTTGAGGTAAATTTAAGAGCTTAAAAACATGAGCCAATGCTGCAAACAGTTTTGAGATTGTTTCTTTTGTACTTTATATCAGAAACACTAATATGCAAGCAAATTTGACTGCAATAATAAATAATAATCAAAAAAAAGCACAATATGAATAAAAATATTTATTATTAGAAGCTTCTGCCTGCCTTACATGATAAAGATACTTGCAATTATTAAAAGTGGTAACTACCAGAGGCTGAGATTTAAAAATTCCTTTCAACAAGTACCAATTTGTTACACTAAGTAATATCCTACCTTAAATTAAATAATTTGAAAGCTGAGCAACAGATCAACAATTAATAATTTATTATTTGTTAAATTGAACTAGTTATAGCCTCTAATCAGAACTGTGGTTGTTCACATGTGCTAGTTCCATTTGTACTTGCACCACTAAACTCCTGTCTTTGATTGAGCAGCTCTGCAACTAGTTTCCTTACGAATGGATGCTCAAACTTTCCATGAGTGCTGTCAAAGAACTCCTGTAGACTTTCTGGCGCCATATCCCTCTTCTCATACCACAATGCAGTGTAAATCATATCAAATCTATCCAAGTCTTTGACAAACTTAGCCTCATTGGTTTCCTTTGCCAGATACTCTTTATATAACGCCAGAATCTCCCCGCCGATTTCTTCACCCAGCAGCTTTGCAATATCCTCCATAGCCTGCAGCTCCTGATTGTGCTTGATATCCTCTGGCACGTTGTCCCTTGGCGTGATATCACCAACAATGCACTCTGCCAGGTCATGCACCAAGGCTAGCTGCATGCACTTATTTTTGTCGAGGCCGCTGTTTTTACCGATCAAAAATGTCATCATCGCCATGGCGTACATGTGCCCGGAGATCTGCTCATGATTCTTCACATCCATTTGATCCCATCCTTTGCGCGACGAATGTTTGAGCGTGTTGAGTAAGTTGATAAAGTTGAGCGTCTTCTTCGTGTCGAGGTCATCCATTGTTACTGATGATTACACGACACGTTATTGTGTTCTATTTTTAAGAAAAATAGCGCGTGTGGATGATGAATGTTGTTGGACGAAACACAAAGAATTTGATGAATGATTGCCGGAGCGAATGAAGCGAGTGCGTGTATGACTGAATGTGAACGTATGAAAGAAAAGGGTTATGATTTTAAATTCGATTCAAACCCTTCCATGGGCTCATAAAGGGTCACGACATCTATAAGTGGAACTAGTAATCAAAGCTAAGGTATGAATATTAATGAAAATGCAGAGTAATTCAGAGTAAAAACGCTTTCAAATTTATTTTATTATGAAAATAGTTAAATAGAAACAGACATATTCTAAATCTCCATTATATTCGAGACATGTTCATATCCAGTCCTCAGAAGGTATTCAAAACTCTTATTGTTTTGCAATTCAACAAGTTCAGGGTGATTTAATAATGAATTTAAGGGAGGCAGAAGCGATTTGGGATCAGCACCTAAACAAACACATTAATTATTAGGTATAAGTATAAATTGCAAGTCAAAATACTTACCCAAAACTAACGCCAAATCTACAATTTTAAACATAAGTTTGTTTTGCAATATCTCAATCGGGGAATCCAAGTTCTTATCGTCCCAATGATCTCTCAAAATTGCGCTCTTCCAAATATTCAACGCCAGCTTCTTTTGCAACTCTTCATCCTTGATAAAACTCAACAAATCCAAACTTTTCTTGTAATCTAATTCAGTAGCATCTTTATACTCCTCACAAGTGTATAAATGTATCAATTCCTTTGCTGGAATTACGCTCGGTTTTAAACTATCGTAGCCATACTGTTGCAGAACATAATCGGGTAGTTCCTCCTGATAAACAATCAAATCTAGTTGCATATTAATGTTCTCAATTTCTTTCTCGTTAGTTTTTGCACTTGTGAGAGCCGCCAGCTTAGCTAAACTCAACATAGTTTTTTGCCTTGTGAGCGAATCGGTTTCGTTCAACGCTAGACGCTTTAAGGTAGCTGAAGCATCTAAGAAATTTCGATCAAATGTATTCTGAATCCAAGATAACGTCGGATGTGTAGTTAAGAAACTGCGTAGATTTTGAGAGGATTGATTTGGAACGTCGTGACGATTGCAGAGATCGATAAGTTTTCCTTGTTTATTCTCCTGTAGGAACCAGTTGTAAACAAAATTAGGAAAGTCTTGATCTTTAAAACGCTCCATGTACGTGTCCAAGCGTGATTGATTGTTGGTTTTCTCACAGATAAGAATAAGTGATTCAAAATCGAGATATTTTTCAGCTAAAGTCGCTGCACCATCCCATTGCGCCTCTTCAACTGTAAAAACATTTAAGTTTATAACAATCAAAAAGTATTTATCATTACTTACTCAATGGTTGAATTAACTTCTTTCGGTCTAATGCGTACTGTTTGAACATAATATCAGCATTAGGTCCACCTTGAATGCTCTGATGATGAGATTTTCTGCCATCAAGAATTATATCAATTAGCGCAACTTGTTGTTCAAACAATGTTTTCTGAAGATCAAATTCGCTTGTTGCCTTCGCGCCGTAGTTATAAGTCAAGTATTGCTAAAACGTATAATTAAAATATTGTGTACTAACAATTTGGAGAAATCTTGTAATAACTTACGAGAGAAATCAAACTATCCATTAAACCATCCTTGCCACTTGCTGCAGTCCATGGCACAAACTCCGCTGACAGAGAACAACAAATCGGCTCATAATACTCAGCATTAGCTTGCCGATAACTTAATACTTGCTGCAAAACGTCCAAAATCACCACATTTGTGTTAAGGATCATGAGTGCCACCTCATTAGGATTCATATCTGAATGTGCAGCGGAATCACAGTTCGCCACCATCTCGATGATGACATTTTGAAACTTGTAAAGTTGAGTATAGAAAATATTTTGACTTGTTAGTCCACCCTCCTGGAAATATCCAGACCATCTACAGCTGCATCAATCGCTCGCTGGATAATATCATCCACAGGTCTTGCACGCAGTGCTAATGCTGCGACGATTTTCTCACTATTCTCCGCTAAGACGTGACCGGTTAACATAGCAGAGTTACGCAGCGTAACAGCGCCGAGCTTCTTCCAGGTTTCGGACTCTTTGAGAAACTTTACAAAAAGCGCATGAGATCTTTGTTTATCTTCGATTTGCGGCGTGATTTGCATTGCGTACGAACTGCCCAAACCAACCGGCTTGTTCACCCAGTGTGGATCGTTAGCTGGAGTGTCCGCCAATATGTCGTTACTGATTGATACAACGACTCGGTCGATGGGAGAATCAATACCGGGCTTGTAACTGTCGTCCATGGCGAAAGTTTCGCTAATAATTGCATTTCTTTCGTCCTGGAGAAACAAAGTAAGTTAAATAAATAATAGTATACATTGTTATATGTAAAATAATGTAACATACTATTTTATTATGTATGTGATACACGAATGCTGCAGAAAATTGGCTCACTGCATCCTTGTAAGCAATTTGTAACTCTTCCGGATTTATGGAATACAATGTTAAATTCCCAGCATTTGCGCCGCTCTCGAAAATAGAAGTTTCTAACGGGGTACCGGTACTCATGATGCTTGTATTAACATCGGTGTCATTAGCAGCAACAGACACCAAACCGTAATTTCTGGAGAAGAAAACCGGCGCATTGACGCAAATTGACCCGCCAAGTAGATAATCCTGCGGTGAATTAAATTCCAGACAATCGGGTTCTTCATGTGGTTTAACCACGGTGATACTACGACGATTGTGAATGTAAGAAGTATGGTTGCAAGTGATGAATCTGTATGCCAAACTTTCCAATGAATTCTCCTCGGAATAAATTCCGGTTAGTTTGAGAACATTGAAGCTGGTGAAATGCGCCGGGGTTGGTGAAGCATCGACTGTTATCAATGCGTAGTGAATTTGTGGAGAGATGTGGGTGTTGACTGCTGCAGCGAGCAAAGTGAGAGTATTGGAATCGCCTTGAATGTCGAGAATCCACGATTCGACATCGTTGATTTCACCGCCACAGGTCTCCCAGAATGTATTAAAGAAACCTTCTTTAACCGGACGAGTTAAGTCAGCGGCGTAGAGAAATTCTTCGGATTCATGATTGGATAGTTTCCATTTTTGTAGAGAATGTCCAGCGAGGACGTAAATATGCCATGATTGATTTTCTAATGCGGTAGCAAGAACTCTTACCATCCGCTGAACAATTTTAAAATTAATTTAACTTCAAACATCGTGCAAATTAATTACTTACCGTTTCTGCTGAAGTATCAGTACTAATTGGGCCAAAAATAAATGAAGACATTCTCTTACTGATCCCACCAAGCCATCCTGAAGGCATTTTCAAAGTATTGCAAGATAAAGCAGGCCTAGGAACTTCAGTCCTCTGCACCAGAACAACTGTACAAGTGGTAGTTGCCAAAATACATCCCAATCCTTCAACTGAAGTGAGACTATCACATTCTTGTCCTTGCAAGTCTATCTGTTGCTCAACTGACATGCCCTCATGAGTAACCACTGGCCAGTACCTAACTACTCCCTCAGGTGAGACAGCAATGCATGAAGGGAATGTGTTGCCACTTGAAGGAAACACAGCAACTAACTCTGCCTTGTGTGCCAAATCACTCTGTGGTAGTTGCAGTTCATAGCACTGGTTAGTCATGCCACCCCTTTTTGGTGTACCACTTTGAACCTGCAGGGGTGTAACCCTGTACTGCCATATCAGGAGGCGGCGACCACATACTAACCAGGCATATCCACACTCAGGAGATAATCTGGCTGACACTGCTGCATTTCTATCAGCAAAAGTTAGAGCTTCAGTGACAAGTACTGGCAAAGGCTGGCCAAACCTTTCAACAGTGTTTTGGGGTGTTTTCAGAATGATTTGAGCAGTAGCTGTAGAACGACCGGATAGACTTAGGCGCCTTTATGAAAAGGAAATATTTAAATTTATATTCAAAATTCAAACCGTTTTCTAGGTTATTATAACTTACGATGATTTCCTGAATGCCGGTGCAGCCAGGGTCCGTTTCGATGTTAAACTTTGTCGCGTTCGTGGTGAGAAAGGACTTTTGTTATGAAACAATGGGCTGGAGAAACTTTTATCCATGATTTTGACTGAAACTTTAACATGTAAACAAATACAGCATGTGAGTACAAATCATGCGGCGGGAATACAAATTCTAATATCTTATGTTAACATAGGCAACCAGAAATTCAGCTGAAGAATCAGCTGAACCACTGGTAAGAACAAAACATCACTTGAAAACAGTCACTAATAATGCACGTAACTAATTTTTGTGGGTATTAACTAAGTATTTAATTAAAACGTAAAGAAAAGCGTATATAAAATTACATGTTGTTTCTGTGAACAAGAATATACACACGCTGACAAGCCTTCGGTAGCCGTGATCGTCTAGTGGTTAGGACCCTACGTTGTGGCCGTAGTAACCCAGGTTCGAATCCTGGTCACGGCAATGTGCAAACATTGTCACGGTGAGGGCATTTTTTAAAACCAAATGTTTTGTTGTTGTATCAGGGTCCACAGCAGTTTAACATACCCTTGCAGAATAATAGCAGCAGTGTTAATGTGAGTATTGAAACTAATTATTAACTTTTAATCCAATTTTTGTAATGTTTCTAAATAGAAGTCACAAAATCTTTCTGTATTACAGTTTCCTGTCATAACTACTGCTAGTTGAAACATACAAAGCTAGATGGCGCCAGTCTCGCTACTTTTGAATATGTGTAATTGTTTTCGTTTTCTTCTGTTCGTGCACACGTGTACTGTTTACGCGACGACAATCAATGTGTTTATTGCGTGCAATCAAGATTACGTTTGTTTCGAACAAGCGGTAATTTTATCATTATATTCAATACTTCTAAAACCTTAATGTTTATTTAAAGATGATGATTTTATCTTATACCGCCCCAAGATAATTTTGATGAGCGTTGTTTATACTTCGTAACGTGAATTTTTTTATGTGACCCTTCGAAATATTACGGAAATATTCTTCGTGTTATCCACACGAAAGTACGACAATATTTTTTATATATTGAGCCCGAGGGAAATGTTACAGCATTTTACTAATGTTTTTTTTTTCACATCAGGTAACATTGGCTGGGAATGTGGTTCGTCACACTTGCGGGTTCACCATACTTTAATTTCACTTCTTGGAGGATGCAATAGAAAATGAAGTAGCAGATGTAGCAAGAAGTAAACAGAAATAGCTTTATATGCCTTGACATTCTGTTCCTGGAGGATTGTTGATTACCTTGTTCGAAAAGGTAAATAATTTATTTTTATTTTTTCCTAATATTGTATTTTGTTGACTTTTAATATTGAAGCAGACTGAAAATTGTCCAGTGTTGTTCTAACAATACGTTTTTTAGGTTTAAGTTTGGCATTCTCCAAAAAGATGAAAGACTGATGTGAAGCATAGAAAATGCATAAGGAGACTTAACATAGAAGAAAATGGGAGAAGGAAAATTTCATGAGGTGTCCTGACAGTCATGTGAAACCAGCTCCAAAATCCACACGTTTATTCAGTACAGTAAGTGTTTACTTTACTTTGCATAGCACAATAAGAAAGATAAATTGATGAATTACTACTTGCGCTTTTACCTATTTTATTTTTACCGTATCAAAACAACTGAGTTGAAAATGCGATGGGATGCATTGTGTTTTTACCAATCGCGAATTAATTTTCGATTCACGCGTGGCTGGTTCCGTAGACTGACATACACTTTATTTAAAATTGCAAATTGAATTTATTTTCTCCCAGGGATACGGCGATGGCCGGAATGCACTTGATTATTCGTTTTGGTATAGAGATTTACGGAAATCGTAAACTAAAAGTAAAACTTTAAACTGTTAAAGTCTACGTCCATTTCGTCTATTCTAGATCCTTCTCAATGGGGGCTTCGCAATACTGATAGTGACCGCGTGTTGCCGACGTTAGCTGTGTGCAGATCAGGGCACATTCAGTGTAATTTCGGTCACAGGGTGTACCGCGCGTGTTCATCGCGATTTATTTTGTTTCTTCAGAACATAATTAAGTACATCGATTGTTATTAAATAAAGAATAGGCGACATGAACCGGAGTCGGGCGTGATCGAGGTTTCACAAGTGCGATGGGATGAGTTGTATTTTTTGATATTCAGTTCACGCGTGTGTGGTTCCGTCGGCTGACAGTTATCTTCTCACATCTAGCAATAACTTGTATTAAAATAAGTTCCTGCAAATAGACCACGAACCATGGAGTTTACAATATGACGGTAGTATTGGAGATGTGCGTATTTTAAGGCAAGTCTTTACTGCTGCGGGATTTGATAGTCGTCAATATTTCTTTATTTAAAAAATGAATATATTGTTAAATATAATTAATAAAACACTATTTAAAATTTCAATCGCATTCACATTTCTTTGTGATATCCTCTTTATCGTTTCCAGGTTAAGCATCTTACATCATATTGCGTATGAATCTTGTGTGCGTGAAATGTGTACAACATAGCTAAGGCTTGTGTTGTTGTTTTTAAAAAGTTGAATAAAGTAGAAACATAAATAGAAGAATCAAATATTAATGATACAAACACTCGGTGGTCGAGTGGAGACGTGCACCTGCTGGCATGCTAGCGGACACGGATCGAATCTCAGGTTTAGAAGGCATTTTTCTCAAATATAAAAATATCAGATGTAATTTGGGTTGCATATATGAATTGCAACGAAATATAAGAGAAATTGAAATACAAGTGAAGGCAATAAGAGAAGTAAGAAAGTAAGTGGAGAAACGAGAACAGAGAAATAGAAGTAGGAGTAGTAGTAGTAAAGAATAAGAGAAGATAGAAGGAAGAGAACAGAGAGTAGAGTAGAGTAGAGAAGAGGAGGAGTTAGAAGAAAGAGAACAGGGGAGGATCAGATTTTTAAATTTTTTGGCACGTGTCGTTATAAGACAGTCCACGGCCCACTGCTTCGGTCCATCCACTGCTCCCGGCCCAACCTACAGCTACGATGTCTCTGCGCTTCATCCCCGAAATTATCAGGCATATCAACAATTTTTATGGTGGGGGATCACCCCCAGAGAGAGGGAACTCCTTATAAGGACAATCCTTATGAGGCCTTGTTTAAATATTTCTAAGTTTTAAGTCGCCTCAGGAGAGGTGACACTTAAAAATATTCTTACAAGTTCTGACCTGTTGCTGAAATGAAAGAAGGAGTACACAAATCATACAGGTTACCTTAACAATTTTTATAGAGGGGATCATCCCCTGAGAGAGGGAACTCTCTTAGAGACCTGTTCCTGAAATGATAGAAGGCGAACACACAAATCAAAGAAGTCAATATATCTTACTATTTCTTTATTAATAATAGAATACAAGTTTATATTTTACAAGTCAACAGAATACGTGCCGCCATATTGAAGCAGGACTTACGACCTGCATAGTCGCGCACATGCAAACAAGTACTACTTTGTAAAGTTCTACCGGGATAATCAAATTAACAAATAGCCTATTTTCTATGTGATTGAAAATGAAAACAAATATACAGGGTGTTACAAAAAGAAAATTTACAACGCAAACAAAAAACTATCACTATCACTACAAACGTCGCTCCTTTTCTCTAAACGATCGGGGAAACTAATATACAGGGTGTTTCAGAAAGAAAATTCAAAGCGCAAAATGGAAAATCCTAAAAACAACAGATGAAGCAAAATTTTCACGGACACAAAAGAAAACTAATATACAGGGTGTACCAGAAAGAAAATCCCAAGTTCAAAACAATGAACATTCAAAACTCACAAATAAAGACAATCTTCTACGTGCTGTTAGGAAAACTAATATACAGGGTTTTACAAAAGCAAAATTTTCGAAACTACAAAGATAATCAATATTCACATCATGACACGGGAAATTTATATGGAAACAACATTATTTTAATATAAATTAAAATATTTCACCCGGAAATGATCGGGAAATTAAGCAAAAAGGTGCTAGAAAAAAAAAACAATTACATTTTAATATATTGTGAATATATATTTATTCATTATTTAAACCGACGGGTAAAGCATCATCATAAATTGATAGAATATCCGGTGGAAAACATCTAAATCAACAGACGGCAAGCGACGGCGCGTGGCATTACTGTCTTTAAATACGATAAAAATAACTAGGTAATTCTTGGTAAATATTAAGATATACGGAGACTACAAAAACGAAGAACTATTCACCGTACAAGATTTTATTACGTCAACAAGAGACTTCTTAATTCAATGATGCTAACAAGTGCAATTCGATTAAAAACATTCACGTGTTCAACGAAAGGATGACCGAACCGACGGTCGACGGCAAACTGAGCGCGATCGACCACATGAATATTGTCATTTTAATAATCTACCGATTATTTTTAAAACCGTCATGGTAATAATTAAATCATGCATGTTATTTTCGGAAACGGGACTAATAATTCTGATAGGAATGAAACACGTGTTTGTAATTTGCAAGATAATACAAGCAAAATTAATATCCCTCAAATGGAATAATCAATTTAAGTTACACCTCCTTAAGTTTCCGTGAAAAAATTTATTACACACGTACCTTTGCATTGATGAGGAAATTCTATATCCTGTAATATATTCTACCAACTAAAAACTCGCGTAGGGATTGACAAACACTTATTTCTTAGTTAAGAAGACTCTAACTGCGACAAATCATTGAACGAAACAGCCGCACATGCCCGTCCCGAATATTTTGATGATGGCCGAAAGAATACACGTCGATTAATCCAATTAAAACCTCAAAACGCGTGCGGATTAGAGGGACTCGACGGCGGACCACGCGGTGTAACGACTGCCGTGTGAGCTGCGCGTTGCCAGGTACAAGGCAGGTACGTCGCGATAATACGCGTCAATCGAACAAAAAAGTTGTTTATAACAAACGTAGTGGTAAACCCGTAGTTGAGAAGACCAAACTAAAATTTCACAATGTTGAAATAACCGACATACACGAGTACAAGTGTACGAGTACGAGTACCCAAGTGCGTATACACACAACTATCATTATAACTCGCGTTACGGAATTTTCTCGCAATAAATTTCGGTACAGGGAAATAAGGAATTAAATTCCGCATCTGGGAAAATTATTCTAAACTAAGTTTGAGACCGCGTTCGCGAGTTATAACCAGAAAACTACAATTCCTAGCGCAACGAGTACTACGGCGCACATACACAACTTTCAATATAACTAGCTTTATGGAATTTTCACGCAATAAATTTCGATATAGGAGGATACCGAATTAAATTCTGCATCAGAAAAAATTATTTCGAACTTATTGTGACATCGCGTTCGCGTTTTACACTAAAAAAACTACAATTCTTAGCGCAACGAGTACTACGGCGCACACACACAACTTTCAATATAACTCGTGTTATGGATTTTTCTCGCAATAAATTTCAATACAAGGGAATACAAAATTAAAAATAACTATTTCATTGTAAATATTAAGATATATTGAGACTGCAATAAATAAAACTATTCACAGTTAAAGATTTTATTTTATCAACAAATTATTAATTTAATGATGCAATTCGATGAAAATTGTTTACGTGATCCTCGAAAACATGACCAAACCGACGGCCGACGGCAAAGCAAGTGTGGTCGACCACATGAACCTTGTCATTTTAATAATCCTCAGTTAATTTTAAAAACTGTGCTTGTAATAATTAAATGAAGCATATTATTTTCGGAAACGCGACTAAGAAGAATTCTGATAAAAATGCCACCACGTGTTTGTAATCTACAAAATTAATATTTCTCAAATTGAATAATCAATTTACGTTAAATCGCCTTAACTTTTCGCGAATAATTTTAATTATCCACCTACCTGTGCATTGATGAGGAGATTTTCTATCCGGTAATAATTCTATCAACTGAAAACTCACGCAGGGATTAACGGACACTTATTTCTCACTTTAACCACCATAAATCATTAACACACATGTCCATTGCAAATATTTTGCCGATGGTCAAAAGAATACAAGATAATTAATCCAATTAAAACCTCAAAACGCGTGGCGATTAGAGAGACACGCTCGCGGACCACGCGGTGAAACAACTGCCGTGTGCGTTGCGCGTAGTCGGGTACAAGGCAGGTATGCAGCGATATCACGCGCCCGTCGTTGTATATACACAAACGTACTGATAAACACGTAGTTGAGAAGACAAAACTAAAAATTCACAATGTTGAAATACACATACACGAAATTTACTTTTACTTTCAATATTTCTCGGCATACGAAAATAATTTATTATTGCTTTGGGATGTAATAAGATTGAGCCTTCGTAAAAGTTTACTGTATACCTTACTTAATTAAATAATTGGTGTTCACAACACTGCGCTTAATTTAAATATTCACTGTAAATAAAGTATTAAAATCGGAAAAATAATAACTTATCTCTTGTGCGAAATGGCGTGATCGCACACGGACACGGTGTGCACTCACTACCACCGACAAGTAGTATTTAACGCGAAAACGTGCATCGTAGTGCCATCTAATCGACTATCTAGTAACGGCAAGTGTAAATTCAAAACACATTTTATCAAATCCTACAACACGAGCCACTTCTACCGCTGCCCTTGTACGGTGCCCTAAATACGAGTCACTTCTACCGCTACCTTCGTACGGTGCCCTGAACACGAGTCACTTCTACCGCGGCCCTTGTACGGTGCCCTGAATACGTGTCCTTTTTTAAACTAAAATTGCAAGAGACCAACGGATCAAAGAATATGAAAGATTGGAAAATTCTATTCTTTGGGTCCTAAAGAGTTAAATTTTTTTTATTTTAGTCAAAAGGTAAGAAATAAGAATTGTATTCTTATATTCGCTTCGCTTGAAGTGACAGCACATGCCATGCAATTTTAAGCACATTTATGAATATAACAATTTATAAAACACTACGAAAATATGATAATAAAGAAAAACAAACGGCCGAAATGGAATCAATCCATGCGGTTGAGAATATTATTTAATTTACTTACTGGTTAGTATTGTAAAACTTCCATGGTAAACGGCATCCGTCGGCACCCCGCTCACGAACTAATACACAATATTTGCATTTCGCGAATATCTATTAAGCGATACATCATTAGCGAGACACAATAAGCAAAAATAATCACTAAGAACACCCAAAGTAATACGCGTTACCGAATTAAATCCTAAGAAAGGAGAGTCACGACGACCGCGTGCGAATCATCCGTCGAATACGGTGAAACTAATTTTTATTCCTGCAGCGTGAGCAAACGATACACGCAATGCCATCACACGGTCGCGTATATAGTACAAAACTATACACTACTATCGTACGCGAATCACCTGACAATAAGAGATAAGAACAAACCGGTCGAATTCCAGTGCGGAATTAAAATAGCGCAAACGGTATCGAAATAATGCGCAATTTCCACAGTAAATTTACGAAAATGACAATATTTGCACACTTTTGACCCACCGCTTATAAAAACACTTGCGCAATTTACGTTTGTAAGCAGCATTGAAATGTAAAACCTTATATACTTATGTTTTATGTATTATATTTTATGTATAATTGTGTCGACTGTGTCAACCTACCGAGGCTTAGTTAACACACATATTGTTTGTAAAGCGTACTTTACACCAAATGTTACTTCTGTTGTATTGTGCGTTCTTGCTGTTGTAGGTTTTGTGCATATAAGAAATAGCTGAAACTCAACAGGGGGCGTAGCTCAGATGGTAGAGCGCTCGCTTAGCATGCGAGAGGTACCGGGATCGATACCCGGCGCCTCCACAATGGTTTTAGAAATTTTTAAATTTTAGAATATAATAAAAACACATTCTAATGTAGTCCACGAAAATAAACTTAATAATGCAATTACTGAAATATTTAGCCATATATTTTATATATAATGTACACAGTACAATACGGTGCTAGCTAACTATTAAACGACACTCGTCAGAATTGATCTACAAGGCTGACATTTACCTCGCCTCGCTCACCTCAACTCGTCATATTGCAATAATAATTTCTCATCAAATTTTCAAGTATTACGTGTTCCCCCTCAGCTTTTCGCCTCTTTACATGTCCGCTTGCATTTCACGTGTATTTATAATAGGTCCATACAAGACGTCGCCTAAGATTAAGAGCCTTAACTTTAGAATTAGTATTATGCATTATTTATAATATAATCGCGTAGTTAATTAATTTCATTAATTAATAGAAAAGGACAATATTTTACAAACATTTGATATACATCGTTATAGTTAATTGTATGTAGTAGACTATTCATCAGTCGCAATATTGATCATTTTTATTAAATTATGTTATTTCTTTTCCAACACACTCATCCTACGATTTGCAAACGTCTTTTTTTCTACCGTCGCCTCTATTTCAAAAATAGTCACATCATTTAAATAAAATCAGCAGGCGCCAATAATGATCATCTTAATTTGCTTCACTTCTTGTGTCAAAGGCAATCATACATGTGTGTGTGTGCGGTATGTGTGTGTCGATTCTAAATTAAAGACGAAATTCTTTGCAGTTGCGGCTTGAGGCCGTCACGTGCATCTTCGAGGCAAGACTATTGCTTTATTACAGTACAACAATAAAGACACGCTCGGTCAGTCGCATTCCGTTGAATCATGAAGAAGAAAATTACACAATACAAAACAGGTTTATATAATGCTGCTTCCGCACTTGATGATGCGTGTATCGTATGTATGTATAATATAGTTTAGGCAATTTGAGTGTATATGGCACCTGTTTCATTTGATAATTACATATTTCTATACACACGTCTATCGATAAGATTTTTGTCTGCATTTGTTTTGTATGATGAAGCATTTCTGAGTGCATTTGGTTCGGTGTCTTATTGTTACCACTCGTGTATCAGGGGTGTTCCGACATTTTATTATTTAACTATGTACAAAATGCAACAACACGCATAAATATTTTTGTTTGTGGTTTTAGTTTTCCTCCCGCCCTCTAAGCAATAAATTTGTTTTGTCTTCACTTAAACAATACTGATTTATCAATACAGTTCCATACTCTATCAATTGTTTTATCAAAAAGAGAAGAAGAAACACGTTCTAACTTACTCACATAAGAACTATCACACTCTGTAAAGTTAAATTGTTCGCGCGATTTCCATTTTCTGCTGACAATTGCGTCTGGCTTTCGACCATTCTCACTCGCAACAAAATAGAGATACGAAATAAAAATAAATAGCAAAGTACACTAAAGTAAACACTATCGAGTAATTATGCAACAATCAAAAACGTTAGTGCCATGTAAGAAAAGAAAACGTTAGTGCCATCATCACTCTCTCTTTTTCACTCCTGCTTGTAACGAATTGTTGTATTCTAACATAGAAATAAATATCACCAGCAATTGGTCTGATGTTGGGAGTGTGTGGAATGAAGATAAATCGTCGACACAGCACAAGTACGCCAATAGTTATCGCATTAAAAAGATAATAATTAATGTCTATGTATAAAAAATTAAAGCTGTTGTAAAGTGCACGATTACATCCAACTTAGTTTCATTGCCGTCTTCAGCTGCTTGTTTGTGATCGCATCAACAAATAAAATAACAATCAATTTTTCGTGTCTGACACAAAACAATAATTCGATTTCTGAAAATAGAAAACATAAGTCGTTATCAGCAGCTAGCAACATAAAACATAATCGCGCACGAATTTTGTAGTAGTGGAAGCCATTGCGTTGATGATTGTCAGTAGAGAACATCTTTATACGTCTACGAATCGCAGCGGTTCGTAAATTTCTCTTTTCCTCTCGCGTCTTGTCATCCTCTCGTGTGTATGCAGCTTTTACATACGCAAATCAGTCGGTGAAATATATTGCTAAGCGATAACTTAATTATAAACAACAACAATCAACGAATCCAGTGGTGCTTCTCCGCGAGCGTCCCGTCACAAAATACACACAAAGTCACAACACGAAATTATAAAAAATGAACATCCTTTTTTTAAAACTACGATTGCGAGTTGTTCCTCTTCTGGCACACAAACCACTCTCAAATATTGCAAAATACTGCACAAACTAAAACGTCTCGTTGACATCCATATCGTTCTTCTACATAATTGAACACAATGTGTTGTGTTGCTATTTTGATTGATCGGTCACTAATTCACCATGAGCGTATGAGATTCCATCGGCGCCGCCGAATCGTACAGCGTGTCCGTGTCCTGAGTGGGTTCGCCTTGCAGCTGACACTGATTCGTTAGCGTGCCTGCACCACAATCACAGAAAAATCTGCAATAGAAATAAAAAAATTATACGTATGCACAAATGAAATACGCATGCAGGTTTGTTAATTATACCTATCATGTCTGATGAACTCAACGTCATGCCCCGCATGGCAAGTTTTGATACAGTTGACGCAGATCGCATTGCGGTCCGTCGTGTTGCAGGTCTGACATCGATAAAAGTCGTGCATTGGAAAGGACGTATAACTTGAGATTTTGTACAAACACTGGCCGTTTGCCACGGCCTTCTCGACGGCGTCCTGATTGTTGAAGATCTTGTTGCCGCGCACGATTGGCTGCACGCCACTAGCCAAACACAAACCACCGAACCGATTGTTAAAGATTTGATTAAACTCTAAGGTTGCAGTGGCGTTGTTGGTGATCTCCACGCCGGCCGCCAGCCCGTCGAATATTCGATTCCGCCGCAGTATAGGGTGGCTCTGCGTCGAAATGAGCACACCGGCCTGAGCATTTCGAAATATATCGTTCTCCTCCAGTATTCCTTTACCGCCATTAAAAATGCAAATGCCGCCGTCTCGACCGTCGAATATTTTATTGCGCTTTAAAGTCGGATTTGAATCGGTTTTAATCCATACGCCCGCCATCGCATTGTCAAAAATCTCATTCTGTTCCAGCAAACCCAACCCGCCGTTGTACACCAGCACGCCGCCATTCTGCCCGCCCCAGATTTTATTACCGCGAATAACCGGATTGCTTCCGGTGCGAATTTGCACGCCCGAATACAAATGATTAAATATATCGTTGTCTTCCAGTTTGCCGTGTCCGTTGTCATAGAAATAGACACCGACCTGCTTGCCGGAGTGGATACGATTACGGCGCAGCACCGGCGTGCTACCCGTTGTGATCCACACACCCGCTAGTGTGTTCGCATACACTTCGTTCTCTTCAATCAGACCCTGGCCCTTTTCATGAACATAGATGCCACCATGTTGACCGTGGTGGATCTTATTATGGCGCACGATCGGATCACTGTTAGTCCGGATTTGTATACCCGCGAGTGCATTGCCGTAAATGTTATTGTGCTCAATCAGACCGCGCCCTTCGCCGAAGATGTACACGCCGCCCTGGTGACCGTTGTAGATCTCGTTGCGGCGAATCGTGGGGTTGCTGTTGGAGGTGATCCACACGCCGGCGAAGTTGTTCGAGTGGATCTTGTTGTCGATGAACTGGCCGAGCCCATTTTCGTGCACATAGATGCCGCCTGTCTGGCCGTGGTGGATCTCGCAGTGAACGACGGTAGGGTTGGCGCCGGCTTTCACCTCAAAACCGGCGATACGGTTATTGTGAATATCATTCGCCTCAAAATACCCCTGGAAAATTCGCTCATAATAAATATTTCTCTCTTGAAATCCTCGTATTTTCTTACCAATCCATTGTCGAATGTGAAAATACCCACGTCCCTGCCGTGGTGGATGTGATTCCGACGCATGATCGGATTCGCATAATTCTTTACCCAGATGCCCGCCAGGGCATTCCGGCTGATTTCGTTATCCTCGTAGGTGCCCTGCGCGTAGTCGGTTACGTATAAACCCACGTTTTCACAATCGGATATGTCACAATGTCTAATGACTGGATTCGCACTCACGCCGCTCACACAAACAGCCGCACCGACTGCAAAGATTGATCATCACAGTAAGCAACAGAATTCATAAAAAAAACAAAAACAAAACCACAACTCACCGACAGACGTGCTTCGAATTATACAATGATCCACCGTCGGACTGCAATTCTCGCCTACCTCCAAGCAATAGTGCTTGTGATGGGGCACCGTCGAGGTCACATCGGGCGAAAACTTCAGTGTCAAATGACCGGCGTACGCCTGTTTCGCGCCCTCAACGAACATCACGGTCGATTCTGATTCGCGCTCTAGTATTACCGACTCTGCCACATTACCAGGAGCGGCACCTTAAAATATAAAACCAGTTATAACAAGTCAAACATTTCAATAAATACAACATACCTATCAGTGAAATGTCTGAATCTATAACTAAAAATTCGCCGCGATAAGTCCCAGCGTGTAGGAAGATGAGCGCCCCTTGACTGGAAGCTTCACCTGTGTGACTACTGGCACATGAACCACCCGATCCGGTTGTACTATTACTTCCACTACGTTCATCTGCATAATCTAATGCACCCTAAAAGCGTAATGTTTTGATAGTTAAAATCATGCGAACTGTAGTAGAGAAAACCCACAACTTACTTGTACTGTATTAAAATAACACAAGTTACGTCCTTTAAACGTGAGATCCTGATAGCCAGGTCTGACGTGAATGCCGCGATACAGCTGCCTAAACGACTCTTTCCACGGATTCGCCAGATCTGACTCCTCGGGACTAACAAACTCAAAGCGGCACGGCGCCGGATTAAAAAGCGGAAGGTCGTACTCGTACACGCTCTGATACAGCCGCTTCCAGATCTCCGTGTCGTTGGCGATCATTTGAAAGCGTTTGCAGACTTGACTAACTCTGCACAGGTCCAACTCCAGCAAGTAGTTAAAAATAGTGAGCAATACTTCGTCGGGAAGTTCGTATTGTAAGTAGTGTGCAGCTGTGGGGGCGCAATCTACAAACAAAATTAATGATTGTAGGTTTGAATCAATAGGTTATATGAAAGATGTGTACATACTTTCATAGGAGGTTGAACACGTCCGCCGAGGCCGTTTCCTGGCTGGTAACATCGCCGACGCGTAGCAAACTTGTGCGGGTGCCGTCGGCGTGGCGGGCGATGTCGGCGAGCCGGCGGTGGCTGCGCTGGTGCTCGGACCGCCCTCATGATGCGAGGGTGATTTGCGGCGGAGGTCGTAGGGCGAGTGGTGGGCGGGCACGGTGCTGCTGGTGCTGGTGCTGGGCGCGACAGCCGACGACGGCCCGCTGCCGCCAGGCGCAAGCGGCGCTGGAATGTTCTGGTTTAGGATCGGAATCGGGCAGGAGGGCTCGCACGGTTCAGCTGTAAATCAGACACAAACATCAGATAATCATAAGATAACTGTACAGCCAGCAAGCGTCGAAATTCGTGGGGCCCCCGGAATAGCATTCACAATATGCGGCCAGCGGGTGATCGTATATATGCTGTATACATCTGTGTGTGTTTGCGTTTGAGTGTGTGTATTGTAATGTAGTGTGTTAAATTCCAGCTCTTTGCTCCACTTACCGGAGGTCGTCCTCGACGGCGTCGGTATCCGGTTGGCGCCTTTCCTCCGGGATCGTCGCACGCACGACCGGGAGGCCGTGAACGAGGCGCTCGGCATGTTGAGAACGGCGCTGCAGCCCAATGAATTCCGCTCCGAAACAAAGAAGACACACTAAGCACTGCTGTCGGCCATTTTCACACTGAACGCCAGCGCACACAGACACAGACTGTGGAACAATTGTGCGGCCCGGCCAATCGACGCGCCCGTCAGCCGCTCACGTGACCGTCAAAATGTCAGAATGGAAGAAGAGCCGCAGCCGCAGCAGCAGGCCGTCCTGACTGGAATGAATGCGATTTCGGTGTGCGTTATTTCCATTTCGGCATGCCTGCTGCATTCGATCACGTACGTCGCCAGTCTGTACATATGGAACTACCCGCACGACAGGTAAATCTCTTTGCATTTGCTGCAAATTTCGTTGCTAATCTTGCGCGCACCGCCGCGCCGCGACACGGGCTGACTTAACCAATAATCCCAGCGGCCAGCACTGGCATTCACCCACGAAACTTGTCCAAAACAAAAGACGACGGCTGTGTATGCATTTGTGTGTGTGTGTGAGAGCGCGCGGGTGTGTGGCGACTGGGCGCGATTAGTTGGTGTTTGTGCGTGCGCCTACTACTGCACACAAACTGAACCAACCGAACGGTACTCCCTCTTGCTCCACTTCTCCACGTCTCCGCTGCATACTCAACCGGGTTTCTGATACCGCGTCACCGCGTTATGGTAATTTGTAATTATATTTGGAATAATCCCCAACTTTGATTATTCAAAATATCAACCGCCATTTTGAAATTAAAATGGCCGCTGAACATTTTGCATTGTCGATTTTTTGACCGTGAGAAAACGTTAAACCGGGCCGACCAGTTTAATTATTTATCTGCCAGCCCTACCTTCGAAATTCTACATATGAAAGCCGATGCATTAACATATTATCTATGAATGAAGCGCCGCTAACGATTTTTGCGTTTCAGGAATCACCCCAACAGCATAATAAAGCGCTTTATAAGCGTGTTCATTATGTTGTTCATCTCTCCAGTATTTTTATACGTGGCTTTGGATAAAGCCATTTTAAAAGAGGTATCCACACTCTCGTTGATTCAGTATCAATCGCCATCAATTAATGTAATGGTGTTTCAATTGCAGAAAACATTTTTAGAAATATTGGGCCTTCGCTTAGACGGTCTACTGCAAGCATTTACGATGCCTTTATTTTTAACAATGATCCTGTTTCTTGGCCCACTTTACATGCAAATGTTAAACGGGCTTTTTAAAGTCTACACAGGTAGATATACGAAATGTTCAGCGTACGTACGAATCGATTCGATCCGCCATTAATTACAGAACCCATGCATTGGATCAACAATCTAAAAGATTTGACGTGGATCCGTGCACACATTGTGGCACCGCTCTCCGAAGAATTCAGCTTTCGATCATGCATGCTACCACTGCTCCTGCAGTGTTTCCGTCCGTTGGCGGCGGTTATCGTCTGTCCGATTTTCTTCGGTGCTGCACACTTCCACCACGTGTTGGAGAATATCAAAATGGGCGTTCCGTGGAAACGCGCAGTATTAGTTTCGTGTAAGTTTCATTCCTGCTTGAATAAAGAATATATAAAATAATGTGCATGTATGATTGCAGTGTTTCAATGTAGTTATACGACATTGTTTGGTGCGTACTCCGCGTATTTGTTCTATCGGACTGGGCACCTGGCGGCGACGTTTATCACACACGCATTCTGCAATCACATGGGTGTGCCGGACATCGGAGAATTAATGCAGTACCAATCGAAGCAGAAGGCGTGCGTGACGATCGTCTTCATCATCGGCTTCGTTTCCTGGTGTTATCTCCTCAATCCACTCACCGAACCCAAGTGGTACAAGAACGAAATCTATTTCAAATGATGACAATGAATGCTCTCATCTGTCTTCGATTAACAAGACTGGAATGTTACATTAATTACCTCACATACAACCACACACGTTGTTGATCATTTTTAACGCAAATATAATACGAACGTGTCTTTTTATAACTAAATCCTTTACAAATTACTGTAGCCAGTGAGCAATTATTTATAACAAGTACATGAGAGCCTCTACATATGCTTGGCAAGAAAGTAGCACCGAAATGTTTATACGTCAACGAGAGAAAGCAATCAACATATTCGAATATCAATTGGAACTAGACGATTTGTCGCTGTCCTGGTTCAACTGGTTGAGGAATGCGACATTGCTCGACTTGAGGCGCACGGCGGCGGCGAGTGAGGGCGATGGCGACATGCACGGTGTCGAACACAGGCTGTTGCTCAGATCACATTGGTCCACCAGACGCAATAATTCCTCTGGTGATGGACCTCCATTCGTCATTTCTACAAGCATAACAATTCAATTAAAATATCAAAATTTACGTAATATTATAACTGCGGAATTAAATTTGGTTGTTTGGTGGCGCTAAGGGACATTACTAACATTTGTCAATCGACATTTACTATTCGTAGATCCAAGTAACAAGAAATTGTTTAAAACGTTTGCATCGGCCGGGAATCGAACCCGGGCCGCCCGCGTGGCAGGCGAGCATTCTACCACTGAACCACCGATGCTCACATAAGACAAAGTATTAAATAATTTTTACCTGTATCAGTCTTATAAGATGGATCTAATGCCGTGGTTAGATCCCACATTTGAATTGAGCCGTTCGAGTGACCAGTGAAGATGAATCTTCGCGGTCGTGAGCCCATCCGGCTGGATCCTTCGCATTCATGCACGAAGAATGCGCTTACAGTGCTTCCATCCACTGCCTTTATAACACAAACCCTGGAAAATATATTTCTTAAGCAAATACACCGAATTAATACATAATAATTTACCTTTTTCCATTACTAGCCAATCTGACATATAATTGATCATTGTCTGGAACAACCTTCTGTACGAAAACCTGCTCATCGTCCTGTTCACCAAAGGGACCACAGTCATTAGCGGTCGAATAACTAATACACGGTTCAACTGATTCAAGCGAAACAATTTTAAAAGAAGCCTCTGGAGTGGATCCTGGTTGTGTGGAAATCATCCCTCGGAAACGTGTTACACGCCAACTGCGCACATGGTTGTATTCACAACACACTGAGACTAAATATTTCTCAGATAATGTAACCTATGACAAAAATTAATTTTAAAAACAAATTGGTATTGAAAAACTTTGATTTTATTCGTGTTACCTTTGTGACAGGACTTTGATGAACTGTAAACGTCTGGAATAATTGTGGGCCATGTCCAACCGTCTCCGGATGTTGTACGATGACACGCACTGATCCCGATTTAGTACCATACGCAATCTCGATCCAATTCCCGCATAAATCTAAGAGGGAACAAAAAAAGATTACTTCATGCCCGGAAATGATCACAAGTTGAAGTTCTACTAAATTAATACAGTGCCAAGTATACAAACAGCATGATGAGTACAACAGTACAAGTACAGACAGACACAGCAACAGATAATTCTAAGTACAAGACAAGACAAAAAGAACAAAAAATAATAGAATACTGCCAAGTTTAACTAATAGTAGTCAGTCAACCATCGATAAAATCCATCGAATTTCGACCAAAAAAAAAGCAAGAATCTCACTATTGATTAATAATTAATGACAAATTGGTAATGGTTGATTGTCCTTGTGTTGGCATACCAGCACAGAACCAATTTTGTGTGTGCAACAACTACGCAAATCCTTCACCGCAATGATTTCGAAACGTCCTCCATTGAATTCGTTATAGATTACAAAAACAAACAAAAATAAACTAAAAAAAAAAGGACGAGAAATAAACAAATACTACTGGCATCGTATGTCGCAACTTGAAACATGCCTGCGTTGTCGCTCATCAAAATATGATCAATTGTAATAATAATAATTAAGCGTTTTAATAAAATAAAATAATTGTGTTTGTATAAGTCATACCTTCGCGGCCCCTCTCCGAAGCTGGCATGAAACACAAGGCTTTTAGTTTTTACGAAGAAATCAAAACTCACTGGCTATAAGGTGGAATACGGAACCATGGAGCGGATGATATACACACACTACTTCCAGAAAATCGGTAGCCAACAAACAATCGTCAATATTTCAATTATAACGTGATTAAATGGCTACTTACTTTCTGGAATGTTGTATAGTAAAATTAATAAAAAAATAAATAGATACAGATACACCGATTGAGCTGAGGTTGTGTGCGCAATAATTGGAAAGTCCTCGGAAAGTATTTGATGATGACATTGCGTGATATACAACATCAAATCGTTTAATAGCATTTTCGATAAAATTTAATGCAGTATTTGTTGATAACTTACTTGTCTTTGGTGTTAGGTAGACGGAGATTGCTGTCACTGGATCGTTGTTCGGGTCCTTGTATAATTCGGTGACAAGAAGATCGTTGTCCTTCATACGTAGTGGAAACTTTTGCATATCTAAACAATAAATGCATTTTATTAGTGCTGCATAAATAAAAATTGTCTTAAACTTACCAATATAATAAATACAACCATTGTTACAACCCAAAAGTAAAAAAGAGCCTGCTGTATCAAACGAAGCGATGGGGACGACATCTTGCGTTTGCCAGTGCTGAGTCATCGCATGCCAAACGCCGAGTTTACCAGATGAAGACAAAGCCACCAGTTGACTACCGATGAAAAATAAATACTCGACGCGCACTTGCAAATTAAAAGTACCTAAACAGAAAAATCTAAAGTTAAGTTCCTTCACATATTGATGTTAAACTTTTACTGACCAATATTAGTCCTAACGCCATCTTCTGAAATTCCCCATAACCTAACTTGACTGCCGTATGAAATCGCCACCATTTTGGTTGCTTCACCAGCACTTCCACTGCCCATTTTTGCATTAATTGCGATGCGTTCAATGCAATGCTCTATGTAAGGACTCGTAAAAACAAGTTGCCAACCACTTGAATCCTTCAGACTAAAAATTACACTTTTATATAAATAAATTAGTTATGCTCGATGCGGGATATATTTACCGATAACAGACGAAAAATGTGCATAGGCAACCACAAACCAATTGTGATGTGCTTTTATGATTTGCACGCGTAAAGGATCAGCCCAACCGGAATCTAAATCATTCAAAAATGTTTAAATCTAGTAAATCTGTGTGTATTTTTATTAATTACTTACTTGTTGTACTAAAAATAAGCCCCAAATCATTCCGAAATAATTTATTAAGATCTGCAGACGAATTACGCGCATGTCGCAGATCCAAAGACGCAGCCCTAGAATGACCAGGTCCAGGTGGACCCCTCGCTGCTAAACCTCGCAGATCCTGCGAGCTACGACTACAACTACCCGATATCCCTCGCAATTCCAGCGAAGGATTTCGTGTGTGGCCTGTGGGACGCGTTTGTAAAAAGTTCCCATTGAGTACTTGTGGTGTAACCAATGGTGCAGCAATAGGTGGACATTGCAAACCACTTACACCAGCTGTGTTTTCATTGACTGCCTCATTAACAACAACTGTATCATTTGCAGTTCTATTAGGTTTATGCACAGCTGTTGTTTCAATTGATGTGGTTGGTGCCAAGTCATTCACAGGAATTACTAAACAGATTAAAACACAATGGTGAGCATGGAATTTAAGATATTTGATTGTAATAGGTATTTACTTGGTGGTGGCAGTGAACCACAAAACAGTACATCACCACAACCAGAATGTGTCATCTCCTCGCAAAGATTCAGCCTCTTCACCAATGGTGCAATGCCATAATATTCAGCCTCATGCTTCAAAGTCCTCAGGTCAATATTCTTCAGCGATATCTCTCTGGTTCGTAAATAATTTAAAATAGACGAGAAGATTGTAGGGTCGCGGTCGATAAATATAGCGCCTTTTTCGTCTCGTAAACTCGATATGCGACCGCTGAGTAGTGATGTAAAAAATGTGTCTGGAATCCATGTCAATGTTTGTCTCGACGTGGAAAAGCTACACATTTGCAAATAAATATAAAAATCAGAGGTAACATTTGTAAATACAAGTATAGCTAGCATAATATTTATTATTATTGTTAGTGTAGTGTACGTTATTGATTTATAATCTGGATCGCTTACTTTTTTCCACCGACATTTAAATGCAGGATGTCTCCGGAGTATACGGGATGGAATGCCATTGTTGTGCACTAATTACGCGCAAGCGATCAGTTTTTACGTACACGGTGCTATTTTACTATCATTTTGTTGCACCGATGCTTCGTTTACACCGTATTTATTTAGAAACTCACACAACACAAACAAATTGATTTAGGAGGTGACAGGTCAAGGTTCTTGTTCTTGCTTGACAGTTAGAAAGTTACTGAAGCAAGTGCTGTGCATTACTACTGTGTATAGTGGCCGTACTATCAGAGCAAAGAAATCGTAGAAGTGGTAGCGCAATAGTACAGTAGTAAATATGAAGAGGGTGTTAGTTGAAAAGTGCAGTATACTTTTATAATTTACAGAAGCTAGGTAGATATAATCCGGTATTGTCTAGTGGCTAGGATACCTGGCTCTCACCCAGGAGGCTCGGGTTCGATTCCCGGTACCGGAAAACATCTGTTTTTTCAGGTTTAGTGTTTTATTTTGTCGGTCATGTCATCAACTGTCAAATTGTATTGTCAAACGTCAATATTTGAGTACATTGTATTTATTTACACAACAAAATGACACTTTCTTTCACTATTCTCTTACAGTTTGTTAAAAATGTAACAAATAACATTTATTCATGATAAAATACAATAAATCTACTTCTTCCAATCAGGCAGTTCACTATCCTCCTCAACACGTTTATGGTTAACGTACAAATTATGCACGATGCCCGCCTTGTTATCAGCCGAAGATTTAATCGTCGCTGGCGCGTCGGCCAAATAAAACCGCATTTCCGTTCCGTCCGGAACAAACGCGTTCTCCGCCTCCACTAACTGCCCGTTGACCCATATGTTAAGCGTTTGCTTTTCTGTAAATAAAAAGCATGGGTGTGAGTTAGTCACTATCGCAATGCACGTTATTCATGTTATTAATCATTCAGATTTGACCAAAACACGTAAGCACGAAACACTTAGATGTTACGTAAGGTCATGAATAAATAAATAATAAATGCAATTGTTTTGCAATTGCATGCACTCATGCACTCGTACCGAAAACGACCCTGAAGCGATTCCCATTGAACAGCACGCCCCAGGAGCGCAGGAATTTGTTTTGTTTCTCGATAAACTTTTCGTACGGCTTGCCGTCTACGTATAACATGTAGCTGAACGTGAAGTGCGGTTGTGGATCGACACGCAATTCGCATTTAGTTTGGTCGTTGCCGAGGGTGAACTTTTCGTCACCGACCAACTTGAACATCCAATCGCGACGTAGGATCTCCTGGAATCAGAACAAAAAAATTTCATTGAAAGAAAAAAAAGTGCAATTTTATTATAACTGAGTTCTAAAATTTTGCCCTTGTAGTTTTTAATATAATTTGGCCAAATTTTTATCTTTCAATTTATTTTGAGCGTTTTTCTTTTATTGCCGAAAAATTATTATCCTTTTTAAATAAAACGTGTCCTATATTTTTACAATGTCCTTGAAAATATATGTACAAATTTTCAAGATGATCGGTTGAGTCGTTCCCGAGTAAAAGCGAAACAAACAAACATTTTCATATAGCTATTGTTTTCGATTTTCTTTTTTAAATTTCAAGGTTAGATTTGTATTATAAATGCCGTCCTAATATAAAAATGATAATATTGATTATTTGATTATCATTATTGGTGACGAAAATCAAACTAATTTCCTTGAAATAATTTTAATTTGATTATACCTTGCCATCGATCCGCAGAACGCGCTTTCCACTTGTTGATCCATGCTCAAATTCGATTGTGTGCATACCGTCGCAAAGTGGGACGCTCCAGTAGGCGACCAAGTCGCTTCGGTCCTGTGTGTTTTTCGCCAAGGCGCCGCTCAACGCCATTGTCGCGCTTGTGGATGACACACGTTGTTTAATTTCTCAGTAACGGCGAGTTCAATTAATCAATCGGTAATTAGTGAGCAATACTACACCACCTGGAAACACACCATCGATTTGGTTGAATAATTTATTATTTGGGTTAAAAATAACAAAATTGATGAGAATTTCAAAAGTTTACAAAAAAAATTTAATTAAAAAAAGATTTAACATAAAAATAAGTTTTAAATAAATAGTTTTAAATTTTAAAAAGTTTTTCAAAAATTTTCTAAATATTATATTTACTTACTTGTTTTTTATTTATTAAAATATCCTTTCACATTTAATTAAAATAATCTAAACAAACAACTTGTTTTGTTATTTTTTTATACCCTAGTTCCGAATATGCGTGCAGCCGCCACAATAGTTTCGGTTTGACTAATCACTCGCTTGCCGCCAACCGCGAACGGCGCTAACCACAAACCAGCGACCGCACCGGCGAAGAAGGATACGCGAATGCAGAGCAGCATACCTTACAACAAGCGTACCTGCCCGCTTGGCTTGCGGCCACCCTCGGCGATCAATATTTTTTACATTAACATGATTTCACCATAACGGAGAAAAAGACAACGGCGTATACGCGGCTCGCAGCGCGCACATTAATAATTCAATACAGTTTATCGTTTGCTCACTTAATGGTGAATGGTACGTTGGTATGCGCGGCGTTTCATAATAACAATTTAAACGTTCATAGTGGTGTTGATATAGGGTACGGGTTGATGTAGTACATACAACAACATACAACGCTTAATTGCGGGAGCGATAATTTATAGGTTATTAGCTAACAATGGCGGAATGTGTTATAATTTTGGGTAATACATTATATCTTAACAAGGTTTTACATAAAAAAGAAAAAAACAAGTTTTTTTGCTTCTCACGACTCATTTTCCTATTTTTTTCTGTGAATTACAACAAATTAATCTTTAAAAACTTAAATTTTTGACAGATTACTTCATAACCTTAAAAATATATAAGGTTATAATCAATATTCATATTTTAATAATGATAAAAAGTGAATAACATAAGCATAATCCTTGAATCAATATTTCAAATGGAAATATTAATGTCTCCAGTAAAATATTTATAACAAATCGAAAAGTAACCAGTCCTATACTTTCCACAAAATAAAATTTCATGAAATAATCAATAAAATCTAAGTAAATCCTGCTTACGTACACATCTATTTTTGTATTCTTCATTTATTTATAAACAAACGTATGGCAACTGAAAACAACACAACCTTTGCTTTAATTCATATTTAATGCTGGAAGCAAAGTGCCTACGCAATCTCCAAAACCGATAACGCACCCGTTGCGTTCGCACGACCCACGCATGATGACTGTATCATTATCCTGCAAGAACTTACGCTGTGATCCGTCGCTGAGCGTCATTGGTTTGGTGCCCTTCCAGGACAACTCCAACATGGATCCGAATGAATCCGGTGTTTCTCCACTGATTGTCCCACTTGCAAGCAGATCCCCTGCGTTCATATTGCAACCGGTGATGGAATGATGCGCTAATTGTTGTTTTGCAGTCCAGTAGAGATATTTATAGTTAGATTGACAGATTGTGGTTGGTGTGGTGGTTCCTTTAGGCATCAATTGTACTTCGAGTTTGATGTCAAAGTTAAAAGCGTCTTCATGGCGTAGATAAGGGAATGGTTGTGGAGATTGTTCAAAGTTTGGCACTTTGAAGGGTTCCAATGCAAAAGTTGTGACAACCCAGGGAGAAATCGATGTACCAAGGTTTTTAGCTGTGAATGGTCCAAGGGGGACATATTCATACTTTTGAATATCTCTGGCTGAAATTTATATTATTTAATTGTTTGTTAATAGTAAAATAAAGAGTGACATCGTACCGCTCCAATCATTCATCACAACAAATCCAAATATCCTCTCGTGAGCTGTTTTAACATCAATAGGTTCACCTAGTTTATTAGCAGGTCCACCAACAAAGAAAGCAACTTCTAATTCAAAGTCCATGAGTTTACAGGGACCGAAAACAGGATCAGCTCCTTCAATAGCTAAAATTTGACCATGAGGCCTTCTAATTGGAGTTCCGGAAATGACCACAGATGACGCACGACCATGATATCCAACAGGTAAAAATTTCCTATAAATAAAAATAAATCAAAACAGAAATTTTAAGTTTTATTTAGACGTAGACGTACCAATTTGGCATTAGAGCATTTTCCTTGCTACGAAACATAATCCCCACATTGGTGGCGTGATGAATCGAAGAATAAAAGTCGGTGTAGTCGCCAATGCGTGCTGGTAAGTGCATTGTAGCGTGCGATTGCGCCACGAAGGCCCTGCAATTTTCAAATAGCATGCGGTTATATTTTCATACTTCATCAAAGCGAAAAGAAAAATTATAACTTGCTTTGATCTCAATGCGGCATTATTTTGCAGCGTGGGACAATCGACCGATAAAAGTTTCTGCAAAGTTTCACGTGCTTCCTTCCAGGCATTGTGGGGCATAGACATGAAACTATTGAGCGTTGTCTGCATTACAAAATAGGTAAAAAGTAAATATTAAATTGATAAAGTTTGTGGTATTTTATTTACTTCTTTAAAGACATGTTGGTTGGTTTTTAGAAGCGGCCCATCAAATAAATGTGCAATTTCTTTTAGATCTAGAATTAAATCACCAATTGCAACTCCAATTCTATGCGTGTCCTGAAAATTAAAAGAAATAGAATTAAACTTGGTAATAGTACAAATTTACGACGGTAGAGGTCTCTGGCAGTCCGTACGCTGAATTATATTCTCTACAACGTACACTTTACAAATAACAGATGGATATACCTGTACCAATCGCATAAAGTTTCTGCGTTGAATGTTTACAAGCATAGTTTATCTCCATTTGTTTATAAAGATTGCTTCTGACCTGTTTAACCTATATTAGATATTTTAAATAAGAACTTACATCGCTTGCAGTAGAAAATACGCCGTAAGGTAAATTTTCAATAGGAAACTGACAGTTTTTCGTATATTCAACAAACGACTTCATTTTTATTAACACTCACAGTTGGTTATTAACTCAGAAGTTGCGCGGCTCGCCTGCTCCCAGCAACTGGTCGTCAAGCGCAGCGAATAAAGTCAAACAAAACTGTAAGCAGTGGAAGCGTACACCTTATCAAGGCCGTATTCAAATTTTCCAGTTCTGCGCCGGTAAAGAATTGTAGAAATACAGAAAAACACATTCCTATTAGATTCTGTATTAAAACCTGAAATGTAAATAGTTACAAATTAATATTTATAAGTGTTTTAGAAATTTACACATTCAAACGTTACCATGGCAACAAAAAAATCTCAAAAACCATTCAGTTTACACTTTATTTCATTAATTACATCTCATTCGTTTGAAATTCAAACTTCAAACGCAACATACATATATTTCCAGGGTTATTTAAATTTCGATGATAGATCTCCTGTTACCCCAACCAACCAGTAACTTTAAAGATAATAATCGTAATTGATACACATGTTTAAGCGTGCTAATGATACATGATTCCAACGTTGATGTCCTCATCATCAATATCAATATCAATTCTAACTTATTCTAAATCTAAGTGAACTAAATCTTGTCCTAAATCAACTTAGTGCGCTTAATTAAGTTTATATTCTATCAACGTGTACGCGTACAAGTTAAACTGCATACCGTCGGCATGGAAGACTTGGTTTTGTTGTTAGTTGTTATACATCAACGTCATGTTATTGTAAATTGCAAAAAATTCGATAAAAACCAAAATTAAATCGATCAAATGTAAACGCCTACTAAAATACTATATATTTGGCTTCTTTTTTAGCTATTCAGTGTCATCATCAATGAGTCTGGCAGTTCTTATAAATGTGTCTCTCTAAATATACCAATTTCTTTGTTTTTCTCAGTTTTTACAATAGACTAGAATATATTTTTGCTTTCTTTTGGTTGCCCCCGATAAACTTTCAATATATACTTTTATTTATATGTTTTCTGTTCGTTTATAAACTATATATCGCAAATCAACAACAATATACTATCATTTTTATCGTAATACTCTTCAACCGAATAAGATTAAGCGTCTGCGTACATTTTTTATACAGAAACAATCATCAACTGTTTACACGATAGTTGTGAGTAGATTATTTATATTTATATATGCGTTTAGATATGAGTTTTCTTCTATACAACATTTTATTGCGTCAGCTACACATTTTTGTTCGAAATTATGATACTTTCAGTATATGTGAATTGTTTTTTTTTTTTGGTTAATTACTTTATATTAGAAATTTATACGCTACAAGTAAAACACTTAGGTTTCATGTTTTTTGTTTTAGTTTTGCTTTCAGATTCCGCTCGCGCTGGAAGGGAACTAACACACAATTTTTTTTTACATTCATAATATTGATTACAGTACAGTGTTTTCATAGATAATAGTTAACGGATAACGAAGAGACAGCAATAACAACATTACTATCATAGTCGCAGTTATGTAGTTTACGTGGACACAACGAAATAAACGTGATGAATTTTACATTTTTCAATCACAAAACTCCGTCAACTTTAAGAAACATTTGCACATACAATGCATGAATTATATTTGTTTATATTGTAGATATATGTAGTTGTATAATCAACTAGATGTTGATCTGGGAGTATATTTCGTGAGGTAGTGTTTTGTAATTTAGTAATCTGTGAGTTATTTCAATGTAAAATGTTTAAATGTTTAAAATTGCAAATATATTTCATGCACTGTATATTATGCGCATTGATATGTTTTTCTATTAGATAATATTGGTTGTTACTTCCTCGTTTGCATCCAAAGGAACAGGTTATTCCACATATTTAAATATTTTCCACCTGCTTCATCAAAATAATTAATTATGCTATAGTTTATACTCGTGCGAGTGCGCATCCGTCGCGATAACTTTAAGTTTTTACTTGTTTTGGGTTGTAATGGCGGCGTCGCATAAATCTCTCTTTAAATGTACACAACAATCATAAAATTTTGTGATTGAATCGATAACGCATCGTTAAAATCGTCAAATATAGAATGAATAATATGAACAACAAGTTATGTATAGAATTAAGTCGTCAAGTTGCAGCATGTCCGGCTTAACTACATGTGTTTTATGTTTATACATTACGTTCCACAAGAATTTATAATATACACGTCGTCTGTAACGGTTGAACTGTTATTTAACTAGATAGGCAACCAGCTTACAAGTCGTGGCCGAGGCGGTCGAGTTCCGATAACAAAAAGTCGATATCTTTTTCCGTCACCGCAGCCGAGGAAATGATGTTTCGGAAGAAGTTGGGTCTTCGATCATCGGGTTGATAACCTACCATCAGAGTACCACTCTGCATCATGCGGCCTTTCATAATCGGGCAAATCTAAACACACAAAACAAACATATATAAATATATATTATAATAATGTGTTAGTTTGGTTGCCTACCTTGCCGAGTTCAACTTCACGCTGTGCGCTATGAGCAACTCCGCGCCATCTGGTCGGGATGTACCAGAAGCTAACGTTGACCATTTCCGGTTCCAGAATAAGATAGAATTTGTCGGGCATTTCCTTGATGCGCTTCACCATGTAAGCCGATAGTTCCATCAGACGATCCATGTGCTTTTCAAATCCTTCATCGCCCTGTGTTTTAAATTAAGTCAAGTAAGGTTATGTTCCACAAAATTTTGCGTAAATACAGGTGGTACTCATCCCCAGTGGCGCAATTGGTTAGCGCACGGTACTTATAAGACAGTAAGTCGTGAGCGATGCCGGGGTTGTGAGTTCGAGCCTCACCTGGGGAATTGTTTTGTAAATAATTGCATTGTTTTACCTTTGCGCGCCATTGCAGCCACAATTTGAAGATGTCATTGTGTCGTCCGCATTGAATGACTTTATCACCGGTATCGTACTCGACATCGTAGAGCTTGTCCGGCATGAAGAGATATTCGGCGTCCATTTGATTGCAGCTCATCAACAATCCCTGCAAGACATCAGAAGGCACTGTGTTGTTATTTGTAACTGGTCTTCTTTTAAAGCAAAGAAAAGTCTCCCTCTCCACAAAAGTTATAGCCCCAAAGGGCAGGAGACGATGAGACAGGCAGTGGTTATACGGATGAATGGCCAAAATGTAACTACAATATTCTTCATCATCCGTCTTCCATTCCTAGCCATTCACCCGTCCATAAAGTCCAAGCTGTGCGTCTGTGCTTGGGCAGGAGGCAAAAGGAGCGAGAGTGAGGACACGTGCACACGCGCCAGTATAACTTGGCATGAATGGCAGGAAATAACAAACTGACGGCTGAGGAATTTCAAATTGAAAATTCCACAGCTGCTGCTCTACGGCGGCGGCGGCTCCCTTCCCGCTTAGAACATCATACAACATTCCAATATGTTGCAGGCTTGCGCGCCCTTCCTGCAATTCGTAGTTTACGCCACGGTGGTAGTATAGATAGGGGCCGTTCGAGTACGCAGACTGAGTTTAATAGGTTTTATTTTTATATCGACACGTTGGGAGTTTAGAATACCCGAAAGTTTAAACGGAATATTAAATTTATTTTAAAATTTGTTTAAAATTTTGCTTTTGTGAAAATAAAAGAATGTCTTCTCCGTGACAATGTATTATACATTGCCGTGACCAGGATTCGAACCTGGGTTACTACGGCCACAACGTAGGGTCCTAACCACTAGACGATCACGGCTACAGAAGACTTATTAATGTGTTGCTTTCGTTTAAAACAGCAACAAATTAACTTTCACGTTGAGTGCAGTTGCTCTACATTAATCTACGTAGATTGCTTCATTCGTTTGCTGTGTTGCCAGTTTTATCATCATCAGATGTAATGGCAACACCGCATATTTAACTCTAATGTAAAATTCTGCAGTAATAACCTTAAATTTTGGGTTTGCAACAATGTAGATTAGAAAATTTTAAGCTAAATTCACGTTATCAATAAGGTAGCGTGGCCGAGCGGTCTAAGGCGCTGGTTTAAGGCACCAGTCTCTTCGGAGGCGTGGGTTCGAATCCCACCGCTGCCAACATGGTTTTGGTCAAGTTAGGTTAGGTTTAAATATGGCGGATAGCAAAATGCAATGCAACTTGCATGCGTCTGCTAACCTTAAGTGTTATTTTGCTAAAATGTAAAAAGTTGTCTTCTCCGTGACAATGTTTTTACACATTGCCGTGACCAGGATTCGAACCTGGGTTACTACGGCCACAACGTAGGGTCCTAACCACTAGACGATCACGGCTACAGAAGACTTGTTATTAACAACTTTCACCAAGCCACTGCAGTTTTAACCGCTTCGTTTACTCTAGATTAATTAATTTGCATAAAACGCCTACCGTGGGTTGCATATCACAATATCGTATATTCCGTTTTATATCAAAACACACACAAATATCACATGAGACAAATGCAATCTCAGTGCCAAGGTTAACCAGATAAAAATCTGTTTAAATCTAAACATGTTGATATTTTTGTTTTTAACTTACATCTTCCTTGAAGTGAATAGTAGAGCACTGCAGCAGCGTTCCCATCAATTTGTGCGGGTTCCATGTGACGGACGAAGCCCTGAAAGTACCAAAATTAATTATTTTAAATTCTCCCGCAAAACAAACAAAGCGCACCCTCTTCTCAGCCAGCGAGACAGGCGCTAATGGTAATAAAATAAAAACGGAAAGTGTAAGTGCCGAGATTAACCACCGCCACTGCCACCGCCGCCACTTGAAATGTGGCTTCTCTTCCGCAAAAACAGACGGGGCGCTTTAAATCCTCCTTATCGCTCCATAACCATTCGCTTTGCATAATCCGTGTGTTTTTCATTATGCAATGCCGAGCCCACAAAACACTTCTTCGGCTATACAAAGTGCAAACCGATGATGGATTTGGAGGACGTGCCGAAAGGGCGATAAGCAATATATTTACTCATATTCAAATCATTTGACTTTCAAACTAGTTTATCTCGAAACAGATTGTATATAGCTATCTATAAAAAGCATACGTGTCGATGATAAGGATAAAGACCGTTAATGCTTTATCAATAAACATATTTCGCGTTTGATTTATCGCTTCGATATTGATTTTCTCCTCTTTTTTGTGGCTGTACGCCTAAGGGTGGAAAACTGAGAGTGCCAAGAGAGGAAAACCATGTTCCGAACACAAGTGAACAGCTTAATCCTTTGATTACAATGTGAAACACTGCAGATGTTACAAAATTTAATCCAAAATTTATAAAAATTGTTTTTAACAGAATAAATTTTGAAAATTTATGTTTAAATTTATTTCCGCATTGTTTTGCCCAGTTTGACACTTTGACACAGAGTTCACATCGCGGTAATAAATTGTTTCAACGCAATTAAACCGCGCAGCCGCCTGCCGCTGACTGTAATTAATTGCACGATCATTAATCAAAGTGTAGCCTTTGTTCGACGCGTGCATATTAAAGCTAAACGTGCGCCAACAGGCCAGATGAGGTCGTTTTTAAATTCTACCCTCCACATTAACCTTACCTTTCAATTCCGGTTAGACGCGGATGTCTGTACTTCTTTGAGAGTAAAAGACCACCTCCCCAAGCAGCCTTTACAAAAATTTAAAAATTTATTAAGGTATGTATTCAAACTATAAAAATATTTTGCAATTCTTACATCTACATGCATCCACATTCCATATTTCTCGCAGATATCAGCAATTTCGTTGATGGGATCAAAGGAACCCAATACAGTAGTACCAGAGGTGCAAGCAACAAAGAATGGAATGTGTCCTCTTCCTTTCCGGTCCACGACGAGACGTTCCAACTCAGCTGGGATCATCCTACCATTGATGTCAGACGGTACAATAACGCAGTTATCAGTACCAAGACCACAAACCGAAGCGCATGATTTCACTGAGTAATGACTCTGGAAACAAAACCAAAATTTGATTTTCTGCGTTTTAGACTTCCCAAAATGCAGGAATTACTTGGTCAGAAGTGAACATGACTAATTGTCCCTGGATGGTAGCAATACCCTTCTCCTTGTAGTTGGGGAACATCTTATGACGAGCAGCAAGGAAAGCGTAGAGGTTGGAAATGGAACCACCTGCAAATAACCAACAATAAATCCGTGCAAATTTACGCGTAAAAGCGTTTAATAGGCTTTTGGGATTTCGACTCCCGTGCGTAAACTGAGCATTGAATAATTAACGAAGGGTACTCGCCTGGTGCGAGAATAGAATCGCCATTCTTCCAGTTGCTTCCGATGATCTCCCGCATATGCGTCATCACAACATTCTCCATCAGAATGAAAACCGGAGCGATTTCATAGGTGAACATGTTGGTATTCGCCGTCGCCGTCAACCACTCGCCCGCCATTGACACAATATCCAAACCAGTTGACAGTTGGTTGAAGAAATGTGGATGACCTATTGCAACAATCAAAACAACAAACGACCAGGATTAACTTTAGATCCATGTAATCAATTTGAATGTCTAATGCCTGTGCCCATGAATTTCCTATTATGTCGTGCTATTGCTCGGAATAATTGAATACTCCGCTGATGTTGAAACAAAGATATTACTCGCGGGCGTATGGACAGCACCCTCATGCAACTTGTAACACATTTCCGGCATCGGCCGCTGTTTGGATCACCGAACGTTCTTTTGAACCTCCGCGCGCACACACGTGACTCCCAAGCCGTCGGATTAAGGGATAACGCGCGAAGAGGGATATCGGAGAACAAACGTAAACCATCAATCAAGTCGAGCACCTAAGCGTGCAGTTTTTTTGTTGTCTTTCAATGAGTTTTGCTTTTGTTTGTGCGCAAAGTGTGCAGGAATCGCTATGCAGAAACTTGAAAAGATTGACAAGCCGCTTGCTTAATAGCGGGATCTTGTCGAGGCGTTTTTGAGTGACAGGAATCGCGCTCTCCATCTCTGCACTTAGTGCGCGAAACACTAATCTGCCTCTGAATGCTCCTCACCCGTCTGTTTGCTTCGATCGTGTCCATCGGATCGGAAAATAACAGGGCGCACTAATCTCTATCCGGATATAACTTTATTTATACAGTGTGTTTTTATTTAAAATTTAAAAAAAATCAAAAATAAAAATTAACAGTATAATCACAGTTTATGTTATATTAGGTTATGTTATAAATTCCGCGATAAATTTTTGTCCCGTCGAAGAATATTGAATAGAAGTGTGTCGATGATAGCATTTTGAAGAGGGTTGCAGCAATATAAACAGCCTCCACACCCTGCAGACGCAAGAGTGGTGTAATTAAGGGCACTCAAATGGCCCCCTACGCTTCGATAGCCCCAAGCTGGATTAATCGCAACCCTCCACACACAGCTGTGGAATGTGTAGCATACTTTTCCTTCTTTTTTACAATTCCTCAACGTGAAACGTGAAAATTAAATTTAATTATATTGTTGTTTACGCGTCTACGGAATGAAAATATCCACATAATGCATGCGCAAATATTTAATAAACTCTTCGGCACATAATCAAAAACAGATGGCGAGACGCACGAGAGATAAACGCAAAATCCATTACTATGCTCACTATGCGCGGGATAAAACGTGTTATCGGCGTTATGAACTTGTGGGCTGATAATAATTGAATTACGGCCGCAGGGCTGACATGAATGAGCTGCTGATTTCGGCCGTGTGTCAAACGCAGGACAACAAGCAAGACTCTCGAGTGTCCGGGCAGGCACGTGCCGTTATCATTTGATTATCGCTTGCAGAATGGAGGGCGGTAACATCATCAGCACACCGCTCTTAAAAATCTTGCGTTATTGTTACACATCGCCCCTTGCTACTCGAATTTCTCACAGATTGATATCATGATTTGTGGTTTGTTATTTTAATCGCAACGTACCTGTTTTCACTTGGTATTTCAGAGTGCTGACACAATCGTTGATTAGCGTTTGTAAATTCAAGCCCTGCTCGGGTATCTCAAGGTCGAGGATCTTTTTCATGTCTTCTGGATGACGAAAGTCGAGGATTTTCACGTTGCGGTCGTTGGTCTGCATGACGAACTCCTTGAGGACGTCGACGACCTTCTGGAGGAACTCCAGGGTGACGTCCGTGTTCTTGTACGGTAGTAAATCTGCAGCAAATAGAAATGATAGAAACAGTGAAGTGGAGTTTCTATTTTGGGGCTGTAATACATTTGACAAACAGGAGATTAGAGCAAATCCCTTAGTTATGTGTAATCCACTTCTCCCCAACGGCATTTCCGACACATGCGGTGTTAGTTTCCTGCAGGGTTTTTCTTTATTTTCATTTTTTAATGTTGAAAATATCAAAAAACAAAATTTTTGTTTGCTTTATAATTAAATTAAAATTTTGACCAAAAAAGTTTGGTGTGATGGTCGATGGGTGAATAATTGATGTTTGCTGAACGAGTTCATTTACATATAATCGCGCCCGACCACTTATTTACATTTGGGCTCTGAACGTTTGCAGATTCGCGCTTCCCAAGTGGGAAAGTGGGATAAAGCCGATTCAACCACACCGTAATGCACACGATCAATATTTGATTATGTAAATTCAAATGTTTGGTTATTTCGAGCTGTTTGAAAGCGAATTACTGCTATTAATTAATACAGATTATATTTGGGAATATAATATAATCGGTTGCCCGAAACAGAGTCCGTTGGAGGGCGCTTAGTGAGGCTCTATGCTCCACATAGGAGCCAAGAACATTATATATATATATATATATTTGGGAATATTTTACAGCGATTTTTGTTTGCGAAAATTTTTAAAATATATTTTGCTTGGGGTAGAAGTGAGCAACAACTGTGATCACAATGTAATGTGGAGATAAACGCCAGAAAAAGGGCCCATGAGACTTTTAATTAAAACTCGAGCGCACCCTCAGCGGTTACAATCGCTGCGTTCATCCTTGTAGTTTTGTGCGCATTGTCACTACTACAACTAGAGTAAAATGAAATGACAAGGGGTGAAGTCACAGACGCACAGATTCAGCCTCTTGCCAGTGGCTCACGGTAAATATTTTGTGTTTATTTCTTTATTTATAGATGTATAATACGAAAAATTATCAAAATGAACAAAATTTTGATATTAAAACATTTTTGTTGATTGTTTTTTGTATTTTTGGTTGTATTATATCAAAATTGAGAAATAGTGGTCCATGTGTTACGCCACTGGCGAAAATCTTAATTCCGACCGAAATTGCGCAGCTCCACCGATGTGTATTACAAGCTGTGCATCCAGGAAGCAGATGTTACCCGTTAGATTATTCCCGACAAGAAAGGTTCGCAAAATCTACTTTTGATTGATATTCTGTCACTGAATATGTGAAAATATTTGCTTTTTTGCTCTACAAACCCGTGAATCTGTTCTTTTTCTGTCAAAAACACGAAATAAAACATTTTTGGCAGCGGTGGGATTCGAACCCACGCCTCCGAAGAGACTGGTGCCTTAAACCAGCGCCTTAGACCGCTCGGCCACGCTACCACATTGATAACTCTTATCACTCTCTGAAAATTTTCATATTTGCTAAATATTATTGATTAGTTCATTCAATTCGTCCGATCAAGCTGCGTCAGCAATAAAATGATTATTAATAGCGAAGGGGAACAAACACTGGTGCTCCAAAGCTGTTAAACACTGCATCTCGTCTAGCGTTCCATTAATATATAAAAAAAGCACGACAGAGCGTCCCTGGGGGGCATTTTCGCGAAACCAAGATAGACAGGACGGTAATGCCGCCACCAAAGCCACACTAAATAAACTACAACGAAGTACGGATTACCGCTTGAAAAATTACTCCTGGCTGGAGTCTAGCAGGAGTGCAAGGAGCATTGAAGAGCTGCGAATAAATCGCGCGCCCTTTTTGGGCCACGGCACCGAGGTTCCTTCGTCATTCCTGAAATATACGGGCTTGGTGCGCGCAGTCGGAAGGGCGCTATATCCGCGTGGATTTGCGAGGAAGAAAAATGGAAATTGAATCGTAACGTTGCTGCGCGTCTAGATTTTTTCGGTGGTAGGTACTCGTATCAGCAAATTGTGTGAGGTGAACCGAACATAAAGTTTTATGATTAATTTATATTTAGTATGCATAAAAAGAAAGTTGAGCTCTGTAGGCAACCGATATATCATGTTTTAAACTGGAATTTATTATTCATATTAATCTAGAGCAAACGGAAATAATGTGAAAGTTGATTTCTTCGAAGCAGACAAAGAATAAGTCTTCGGCAGCCGTGATCGTCTAGTGGTTAGGACCCTACGTTGTGGCCGTAGTAACCCAGGTTCGAATCCTGGTCACGGCAATGTGTAAAGGCATTGTCACGGTGAAGACATTTTTGGGACTTTTGAAAAATTCATTGTTTTACAAAGTAACGTCCATATAATCTTTCAAATCATCCAATTGGACACATTTTGGATAAAATTTGTCAAAATGCAACGATTCTAGGGCTTAAAAAAGGGCATGGTATCAAAGTTCAAAAGTTAAACTAATTATATAAGACAATTTAGAAATTTTTGCAAAAATAACAAAATAAAAACCAAGAATTCGATCCAACAACCAAAATAAAGTCCGATATATACATAGCCAGTGCAACCATTGTACCTAACTATTCAATACTAAAGACTCTTTTGAATTCAAAGTGTAGTTTAGGAAATACTTATGATTATTCACTAAATATTTTAGTAAATGTCCCTCAAAAGATGGCACTGAAGTATTTTCTACAAAAGATTTCACAATGTCTTTGCATATAATGATGAGGAGTACCGCTTGAAAGCATACTTACCTGGCGTAGGGGTTACCGTGATCAACAAGGCGGTTCCCCCAGGGTGAGGCCCTTCCATTGCACTACGGTTGGGCTGACCCCTGCGATTATCCCTAATGTGGATAACTCGGGCGCGCAATTTTTGGTCGTCGGGACTGCGTACGCGCTGTCCCGGTTTAAAACTATCTAAATAAAATATTTATTCATTGTTAACTGTAGCGTGAAAGTCGATTTCTTGCCGCGGTCGTCGAAATCAGCAAAGAAACAAGTCTTCTGTAGCCGTGATCGTCTAGTGGTTAGGACCCTACGTTGTGGCCGTAGTAACCCAGGTTCGAATCCTGGTCACGGCAATGTTAAGAACATTGTCACGGTGAAGACATTCTTTTATTTTTTACTAAATTTTTGGTTTGCGTTGGAATTTAAATCCGTTTGAATGTGTTTGTAAGCGGAGTGACACAGGTGGTCCCGTCACGAAGGTAATCCTTTAATTGGAGGCTTTAAACTGACTAATTTATTATTTACTCGCCCTCATCATCAAGCGGGATGCGCGCGCGTGTGGGAAGCGCGCCGCTTGCGTAACATCCCTTTGTGAGCAAATCGGATTTTGCATCGGGGCGCTCCCTGCCGGCGAGTCAATACGGGGACAATATGCTCACAGCAGGGTTTGGAGGTTTGTGCGTTTAGGGGCGCAATATTATAATACGTCTGGAATTAATTCGAATGAAATTATTATGTACGTCAGCTTGCGTCTTACGCTTTGCGGTTGGATTAACTTTACAATCCGGACTAATTTTAATAAAAACTGTACGAGTACTTCATTTTAATATAACACAATATTTTCTGTATTATTTTATATTTATATTTGATGTTTTATTGTTGTGGATGTAAAGGTTTTTTGCAGTTGTTTGTTTTGTACTCGAAACTCGTATATTTCGAGTGTTTGCCGTTGTGTGTCGTTGTGTGAAAAGCGCACAACAAAATCAACGAATCGTAAGTAATCGACACAGACATCATCTGACGCTGTAGCTGTAGCTGTAATCTGCAGATGACTCTTGAGTGTAATGCAAGCAAGTACTTAAATACTCATAGATTTTAGTTGAAAGCATTTGCAGTTTCTGACAGTTGTGTAGTTATGATTCAACAACAGATTAGACCGATTTATCTTTTAATTAAGTTCTTTAAAGATTAAAACTTTTGTGTTTTACAGTGTGTTTTGTGTTTTTTTTTTGTTTTTGGCAAAAATGAAGCTATTATATCCTAAACTAACACCGGCAATGACAAAACAAGTAAAAATGGTAATTATTTTCCTTAAAACAACTTGCTTTCAAAGATAAAATTAAGAATTATTTGTACGAGTAATTTACACTTTTATGATGTTTTTCAAAATGACTAACAAACCAAATAGGAACCAAAACCTAACAAAACAATATTAATAAAAATGTCTTCACCGTGACAATGTTTTTACACATTGCCGTGACCAGGATTCGAACCTGGGTTACTACGGCCACAACGTAGGGTCCTAACCACTAGACGATCACGGCTACAAGACTTGTTTCTTCGCTGCTTTCGACGACCGTGGCAAGAAATAAACTTTCACGCTACAGTTCTTATTGAATAATTATTGTATTTAGATATTTTTAAACCGGGACAGCGCGTACGCAGTCCCGACGACCAAAAATTGCGCGCCCGAGTTATCCACATTAGGGATAATCGCAGGGGTCAGCCCAACCGTAGTGCAATGGAAGGGCCTCACCCTGGGGGAACCGCCTTGTTGATCACGGTAACCCCTACGCCAGGTAAGTATGCTTTCAAGCGGTACTCCTCATCATTATACGCAAAGACATTGTGAAATATTTTGTAGAGGAAACTTCAGTGCCATCTTTTGAGAGACATTTACAATAATATTTAGTGAATATTCATAAGTATTTCCTGAAGTACACTTTGACTTCAGATGTAATCTATAGTTAGTATACAGGTTACATAACTGGTAAATCAATAAGGCAAACAACATGGCCGCCAACCGGAAACAATCAACCCTTAATTTTCTCCTTAAATTAATTTCTACCCATTTTATTTTATGACATTTTAAATATTTCCGTTTTTAAATACTAATTTTGAACACAAAACTAAGAGATTTGTTCAAATATTATAAAAATTTGTAGAAAATTTTATTGTTAACATACCTGTGCATTTCAAGTTCGCTGTGGAAGCACTTAATTTAAAATCGTGTGAGTTTGCCATGGCTGCGACGGTGGTTGCGTTGCGACGACGGGACGAGAGGCCGAAGCTGCTGGAAGCTGTGGAACGTCTAACGCTGGACCGAAGAGCTCGCTGGAAAGGTCACACTAGGTGACCCAATTTCGGGCTGCGATTTTGCGCGCGCAACCACCCACGTTCCGGCACGCGGCGCTCTTCGCTGTCGGCACGTCGCTAATGGCTGCCGGAATTTACCAAACCACAGGCGGGGCTTCGGCCAGGGGTGTAGAACACAGTCAAACTTTTACAATCACAAAAACACGTATTTCCTATACATTAACCCAAAAACTGCAAATAAAACGAAAAATTACATCAATACTAAAAAAAACTTATTTTCACATTTTTATGTTCAACCATCTTAAAATATCAAATTTACAACATTTAATATATTTTATTATATTATACCCAGGTTAAGAGCTTGCGGAGGCGGCAGCAAGTCGAGTATGCAACTCAACATTTTGGGGGCGGTTTGAGGGCGAATCCATGCGCGGTAGCCGCCGCCAATCACAAGCCCCGGCCTGCGTCGATCAATATTCAAATGGAAATGTGTTTTCCACCCACACATATACATTTATCCTGGTGGCGAACGTGCTGAATTTAGAAGCGTCTCTCAACCCACGACTTTTTCCGCCTGCTCACTAATGTTTCCAAAATGGCAATTTTCAGCGGGCACCCACGTGCCGGACTTATCTGGGGCACACGTGCCAACCCCCCAAGAACGCTTTTTATATTTTGATAAATCTGCGAGCAAAACGTGGCTGAAAAAAAGAACAACGCATTCCTTTGCGTTGCGTTGCCTTGCAAAACGTTCCAAGTCCAAGGAACTTATGGTCTAGGCTAGGGGTGGATTAGTTTGGTGTCGAGGGGTCAAAGTTTGCAACAGTGGAGAATAGGGCACGTTTTGAGATTAACATTTGGGCATAATCCACGATTACGTAATCTTAGTTAATAGACCACAACATAATTTTAGGTAATCTTGGGTTGGTTAGGTAGTAATTTTATTTTTATATAAATTTGGTTATTTTAATTTTTAATTTTATTAAATAATTTAAATCAATTTAAATTGCCATTCCAAAGTTAATTACTGCAATTAAACTTGCGTTGGGGATTTTATTACAGTGGTATGTGATTTAATTTGCTTTTTATACAAAGTGAAACAAATTAAACCAAATTATACCACAAAACTAGTGCTATAGACACACAATTTTAAGGTTATATTAATTATTTGCTCGCATATTAGTTCTTTGGTATATTTATTTAATTATTTATGTTTTTTGTTTATATATTACAAATGTGTATGTTTGGTTGCCTACCCAGAGCATTTTTGACAGCAAAATAACAGTTACTTACTTTTCCCGCTTTACAACCCACAGAAATGTCATAAATTATAACTTTATACTACCCAAAATAATAGCACAACACCCTGTATATCATATCCTATTAATTTCTTGATTTATCCTCAGCAATTACAACATTTGAGTTATCTGCGCAGTGAATTCAATTGCTGCACGTTCGGCAATAAGACTTGTTTAACGATCTGAACATTAATGTGTTTTTCTTCGTTTTATTAAAGCACCAAACAATAAATGAAGCTCTATTAATTACTTCAGATCGAACGAAGTTTGCCCTCTACGCGTTTTTTACACTGGTAGCAATAAAAACAAACCATTTTGATGGTCGGTGTTTGCGACAGCTCTCCAAGCGATAAATCACAGATGGTGGCAGTCGTAGTTTTGCTGCAGATTGTGACTTAGGACTTCAACACGACGCAAGTTTTTACATCATCGTTGCAAAGTTTTAATTTCACTTCCTGCCGGCCTTCCGAGCTTAGCTAATGGTGAAAAACGACGACGGCTCTGCTTCAATTTACTGGATACTGAAAAGTTTGGATGTTAGATTGTAGCAGGAAGCAGGAAAAGAGAAAATGAATTATAGGTAATTAGTAAAGATTTATATTCGTTTTATTTTTAGATTTTATTGGTTGAAATTGAAATTTTTGCTTAAAATTCATTAAATTGCTTGTAAATTCTCAGAATTTTGGAAATTTGTCAGGAAATTGTAATATTACAATGTAGATTATATAAAATTCATGAAATTTAATTTTTGTTTAAAATTTCTTTCTCAAAAACTTTGTCTGTTGGGCGGCGTGAGAAGAAAAAGTTAGTTAAACCGTTGCTCGCGTTCGTCCCGGCTGCCCGGGGAAATTCTCCAGCTACCTCTCAGCCTTGGGGCTTTCCAACACTTCCAACACTGGCGCTGCTACCACCGCTGCTGCTGCACGAATATAATCTTGCTTTGGAGAACGGAAGCGGCTGAAACGATCGCGACACCCGCGCGTGACGTCAAATGGAGTGGGTTTCCCGGCGGCGGCTGCCACCAACTCAGCCAGCGCCGAATTGCACGAGGCAAATTGCCCACACAGAAACAAACTTTGTTTAAATTCCACGAATTGATCGTATGGGTCATGTTCCTGTGTATAACCGGAAACTGGACTGGATGGAGGATGGCGGAAGTGTTATACTATGTAGGCAACAAAAGCAACACCAAATTGATGCGGTTGATTGATTATATTATCACATAAAGCAGAAAATGGACAAGAGAGGATTAAATAGACATAAACTAAGAATAATAAACTTTATTTTTACAGGTAATTAAGAAAAAAGCATAAATAATTGCAAATAAATGTGTTTTACTAAAATATTTTTAATTTTATCATTGAAAATGTTATTTATTTATTTTAATAAATAATGATTTCTTTCCAGGTACCACCTGAAATACTAAATATTCCATTATGGAGGAAATACCTATACACTTCCGGTTTGCTCGGAAAACCCTTTCCAGTTTCCACGGCCATATTGATACGCCGGCAGCATCTGGCAGAGTTCCAAAATCAATAGTGCCTCTCGGCTCTCAACAGGAACAGCTAAGTCCACGACTTCAATTCGGCGGGCTTTCTTAACAGCCTGGGTGTTTGTTGAAAAATAAATTATGATTTATTCACCAACCTAAAACCATTCTATTTCATCATAAAGGCAGGCATGCAATTTCTATAGAGCTTATTCAAGGAGCAAATTACAAACCACTTTTGTTGAATTATTTGTTTTAAAGCAAACTTTAATAACATACGAAAATATTTAATTTAAATATTTCTTTGAAATCTCTTAAGTAGATAATTACTTATTACTTGGTTAGTTATGGTTTTCCCACAAAATATTATTGAGATATTAATTGTTTATTGTTGCTTTGGTGCTTGACTAATGCATTGCATGTTATCAGGCTTTTGTTTTTGATCTATGGCTGTTATCTGGAAAATAATACCTATAAATTTGGATCCTCGCGCCGGAAAGGCTTAGTTTGCTGGTATCAAACCGACAGTTAACAAAGTTTGCATATTGATTCAATATAATTACATTTATCAGGTTGGTAAAACAATATTACTCACAAAATACCACAAAATAAAGATTTTTTGTGCGGTAACCCAGAAAAAGCTGTATAATTGGTTGCCAACTTCCATAATTCAAAAACCATCACCAACCTCAATTAAAAACCATTCATCAAACCATATGACTGATTCAGGTCATAGTCAATCATAAATATACCCCTGATTTATTAATTCACAAATTAATACCTATAATAAATCATTTTTTACTTTTAACAGCAAAATTTAGTTCTATTCAGTCAGATTTATGTAAATTGCAAATAAAATTACCGCTTACATACACTTATCTACATGGGTGCATGTGCATAGAAGGGATGCACGCGTAAGCTGTCCTAATAGGGTTGGTTAGCCGCGCATTGAAGCGGCAAATGGCCGCCGGTCTGGTGGTGACATCTGACGTGCTCGCTGCGATTGTTTACACGCGACGCCGGCCCTTCTTCCCTGCTGCGCCCTCGTTTCCTGCCGCTGACTGCGATTTATGATATCCACTTGCGCAACAGCCCCGCAAGGGTGGCATGATATATCGCGGCCGCTGTGATGACACTTATTAAAGCAAAACGCTTTTTGACTCGACCATAAACAGACATAAGCTGCGCTCGACGTTGAGGAGACTCAAACAAGTCAAACAAATTTGCTACACTGTCAAGACACATCAAAAGTTTAATTCATTAAACAAAATTAATTAAACATAGAATCTGAATTAATTTTAATCAACTTAATATGAAATAATTTTTGTATTTTTGAACAAAAAATTATAATTTTTTAGTTTTTGGATTTTTTGATGTTTTGTAAAACAGTGAGTGTGTTTATATGTTTGCAGGATGTCAATACTAGCAACACTGGTCCTGCTGGCAGTATCAATGGGCGTTGCAACTGCAGGACATGCGCATACAGAGGGTAGATTGAAACCAATCGGACGCGAGGAAACTCGCAGCATTTGCGCATCACTATGCCTTGCAGGACTGGGCGGCGAGCCCTGCGGCGCGCCCTGCGCCACCCTTACACCTCGCAATCAAACTCAGTCCGACGGCGGCAGTGCGCCGAGCGGCACGCTCGCCGCCGGCGCAATCAAGACGCGTCGCGACGCCTGCCCGCTGCTCTGCGAGTACCGGCTTGGCGATCCGCTCTGCGACTGCAACGAAGGCCGCACCACCGCTGCAATAAAAAGCGGCAACTATCCAGCCATCGACTACCATCGCATCTGTGGCTACTTCTGCTCTGAACACAACTATCACATCTACGGATGTCCACTATGCGGTGTCTATCGCATGCAGGATTTGGATCGTCGTGTACGTCCCACTGAAATGGACATCGACTGGGAGGAATGGTGTCGAGAGCAGTGCTCCATTGGGATGGGCGGCGTCGCCTGCGACTGTGACCTTCCACTTCCACTACCGATGAATCTAATCTCGCAGGACAGATCGCTAAAATCCTCTGAAGAAGACACTACTGATGCTTCCGAGGTTTGATTCTGAAAAATATAAAAATTTGTAAGAGAATTAAGTGTTGATTGCATGCTTTAAGTTCAATTGGCGATTTTATCGATGTATTAAATCAAAAGAAATGAAAACAAACCAAAAGTCAGTTGTACCTTGTACCTGCAACCAATTCTAAACAATATTTTTATTAATTAAATGAATTTAATAAAAAATAACTTGAATTTATTATGAATTATGTCTTGATGAACGTGAACATGAACGCAAACAAACTCACAAAGTCTTCCAAGCGTTGTAAATATACATAACACGTAAATAAATTAATAATAATTATAATAATGCTAAAATATTGTGCTTTTTAAAGGAAAAAATTAATTAATTTTAATTTAATCACTGTGCAGTTGTTGCATACACAATTCAGAACATACGCTTTGCCCAAATAATATAATTGTACTGCTTTTCAAGAAAATTTGGTTGAATATTGATTTCTTTGTGATATTCGTAGTTATTCTTAGAATAATCATATCAAGATGATGTCACATCAGTAAATTTCTAATTCGTCTGTACATATATTGACGTTTCGAAACGTTTCCATATTTTTCCTACTTATGGTCAATATTAAAAGTAATTTCTTTATACGAACATGATATGAATGTAATTTAAGGATAAAATATGTATGTATGCAACCATATATGAATATTTATAAGAAGAGTCATGTATGAAGAGAAGAGTCATAACCAATTTAGGCTGCCAATGTACAAAAACATCTAGTATTTATGGATATATAGGTATTGTAAGTATAAGAATTTTAGTTGTTGAGAATTTTGATTTCATCATTATACAAATGAGAAACTGTTGTGTAAAGACAATAACTATTTGAGGATAACTAATGTTAACATGTAATTAAGATTATATATTAAAATGTAACTATATTGTAAGCATAAATAAATATTAAAGATATATATGTATGCTGTCTAACAGAAATATTGAGTGTTTTTTCAAGTTTTTACTTGACTTTATCCATTTTTCCTCTTTACTGTCCGCTAAATTGTCAAATTTGCCTGAAAAATTAATCAAAAGGCAAGAATAATGTCTGGAAACTAATTTTACGTATTAAATTTTTTAAAAAACCCAGTCTTGTGATACAATTTAGTATAAATTTACCATATTTCAAGAACTTTGTTGTTTTGTGTTTCGATTTTTGTTTTTAATTTATTTGAAAATTTCCATGGTAACATAGGCAACCCAATATACACCCAAACGCGCATCAGATTTTGTAAACAGCAACTGTCACGTCTAAACCTGCCAGTCATTACAAATTCCATTTGAAAGTCGCCGAATAGGATAATTTCCAGTTCTAGAAGAGACTAAATCATACCAACAACACGATGACTCTAGTGCGCGCTATCGAAGACGAGACCCATTTCCAAACGGAATTAACTAATGCGTCCGCAAAACTGGTCATCGCCGATTTTACGGCTACATGGTGAATATAACCACAATTTATATTCTAGAAACATTGTTTTTAATCCTATTTACGAATGGAAAATTGATATATTATTAATTATTTTAGGTGTGGGCCTTGCCAACGCATGGCTCCAGTCTTCCAGCAATTGTCCACCAAGTATGCAAATGCTGTATTTCTGAAAATTGATGTGGACAAGTGCCAGGACACTGCATCTAGTCAAGGTGTATCAGCCATGCCTACATTTATCTTTTATCGTAACAAGGTAACAATATTTATAATAACATTCATTCAATTAAATTCTATTAAACAAAATATTTATAGGCAAAGATTGATAGAGTCCAAGGAGCTGATCCAGCTGGTTTGGAAAACAAAATCAAACAGCATTATGGTGATGGTGACACATTGGAAGGTGAAGGAGTGGGTGGACATGTATGTATATTAATACTTCATCACCTAGTAAAAATAAAATGTAAAATGTGCATAGAACATTCACTTAAATGCATTTATTTGTTTATAGATTGTGTATGAACTGCTTCAAGCTGCTTCATTTGATCAATCTTAACTGTTTTGGGAATAATCTATGAACATTTTACAAATATAAAAGAAACAATGGTTTTGACAAAAAATAAGTGGGAAGAAGAGCATTAAGAGAGTTTGTTTTTACTTTTTTTAGCGATTTTGTCAAAACTGCTGTTGTTCATGCACCTAACATACAAATTCTTTGTAAATTATTGAAATTAAATCAAATAAATGTGATTATTTTTGTAGATGGACTTGGCTCCATTCATTATGAAAGCGCAATGTGAGTGTTTGAATGAGAGTGACGATCATCCGCTTGTTCATGCGTTACAAGCTGGTGGTGGAGTTTTGCAATCTGATTGTGATGAACAAGTAAGTTTAATTATTAATAATTTAATACAAAAAATTAATAAAAATTATTTACAGCTTATTATTTCGATAACATTCAATCAAGCGGTGAAAATTCACAGCTTGAAGTTCAAGGCACCAACTGACAAAGGGCCGAAAACGATCAAGATCTTCATCAATCAACCACGCACGCTTGATTTCGACATGGCTGATAGTAATACATGTGTCCAAGACTTGGTGTACGTAAAATTAATTTAAAAAACTTTAATTTATTAATATTTCTGTTTATTATTGATTAAATTAGGATTGCTCCTGAAGATTTGGATGGAAGTCCGATTTTGCTGCGTTACGTAAAGTTCCAGAACGTGATGAACGTTCAGTTCTTCGTCAAAGATAACCAGTCTGGCGGAGAGGTAACTCAAATCAATCATTTTTCGATCATTGGCTCACCGATCAACACCACCAACATGGGTGACTTCAAGCGGGTGGCTGGCAAGAAGGGCGAAAGCCACTAGTGTCAAATAAGTGAATGTGGTTTGTAATCTAAACTTTTGTAATGTTTGGTATGATTTACTGATTTGTTTGTTTCGAGTAATAATTATTTGATTATCCAGAAATGATCAGAGCTAGTAGATTGCATTTAACCAGCTGAGATGATAAATAAATTGAAAGTTTAATCATATATTCATAGATAAATAAATTTTGGTGGTGTGACTTCCAAAATCTCTCACTCCATAAAAATTGTTGATTGTTTACTGCGTTAATGATGATTTAAAGGATTTCCACGTGAGTGTATGATGTGTACCTGCCCGTTCTCCACGTGGAGGCCAAACTGCGCGTTATATTTACTGGTCGTTTATTTGCAAAACATATTTTTTGCAACACGCTACTCTTATTTGCTATTATTACGCACCTCATTCGCCAAAAAAGCGCGTCAACAACCTAACTGTTTACTTTCCCAATGAGTGTAGCCTTGAATTCCTATTACTAATAATAACAAAGTTAAACGAGGAGCGTAAAACGAGCAAAAACACTTTCTACGTATGTACATGCACTTGAAATCAAATATTAAGTTACATATTACTACATACGCAATTCATATCATTCATAATCGCATCATATTTATAAATATGTGGTATCAGTCATCATTGATTGAAATTGTTGAATGTATAATTATAATTGTGACGTATTTAGATAATCGGATGCAGATTATTCAACGTAGTATTTTGTATGTAAATTTTAATAGATATTAACAATGCGATTTGACGATTGTTTTGAGTTTTAGAATGCGCAGTTCACTGTACGATTGTTTTTGTATTATATAAATAATTACGTTAGGAATATGAATTAAGTAATAGGAAAGGATCTGTTTGAATTGAAGATTTTTTATGTTATAATTGAAAATTCTATTCAAATCAATCTTTAGGAGAGTACACCCACACATCCACGAGTCTTCTTTATTTAATTTAATGCATACTTACTGACACCAATGCAAGTTACAAGAAACTAGTTTCTAGAAGAAAATTAAGATGACGCTAGAATGCACTTTTGCGCTAGAAATATTCAAGCGATGCGGAACAGTCCAAATCAGGAATTCAACAATGTAAACATCATACATAAAAACATCGAATTTTTACTATCTAATGTTTACAATATTATCATGCCAACAATTCCACACTACACTACACTAAATGTATTCAATTTTCTATCGCAAAACACGCGAGGTGTCAGAAAAGTAGGCTTGTAAAAACATATTTTAATGCGACGTAAATTCTCTGATGACGTGATTATGTTACCTTGAAGATATGCCAAATTATTGTTTGCGAAATATTCGTTTATTGATTTTACTGAGTTTTATCGCCCAACTGTTAAAATTCGACAAATTATTATGTATATTATTCGTGAAAGTGTAGTAACGCAAAATTATAAATTAACCACGTTATACATTTATGCAATGTTGTATAAATTTATTATCGTGATTGTTGGATAAATACGTTTTTTATAAGTCTTCTGTAGCCGTGATCGTCTAGTGGTTAGGACCCTACGTTGTGGCCGTAGTAACCCAGGTTCGAATCCTGGTCACGGCAATGTGTAAAAGCATTGTCACGGTGAAGACATTTTTATTAATACTAGGTACTCTATAAAATTTAAAAGTTAATATCCGGTTCATTACCTGTTATCACTATCTACTATCATGTCGGTTTTTCAAAACAAAAACATTGTATACCTATGAAAAACATCATAAAGTGTAAATTACAAACAATTATTCATTGTATCCTTGAAATTAAGCTGTTTTGACCAGAATAATTCGCATTTTACACTTCCACTTTCGCACAACTTGAAAACATCGTTGATCTTGATTTTCATTTCTGTTGTGCACATACCTCCTAAACACTACGTCACGCTTTGTGACTCGTACGTTCGTTGAATGGCCTGATCCTGGAGGTGTGGCTTTGCGCATCGTACGATATCATTTATAAATAAAGCAAACGCTCGATGCCAATACACGTGCGGTGTTCTAGTGTTCTAATAGCGTTAGTTTGTCGTGTTTGCAGAGGGGGTAAGTAAAGTAAAAATACACTTACGCTCGAGTCTTTACAATGCGTAGCGTGTTGTCGTGCTCCTGACGCTGTTGATCACTGAAGTGATCAGCTTCAAGTAGCGCGATTCGCGTAAATCGCGGAAATCGAATACGTCGAGTATCGAAACGGCCAAAACAATATCGAACCGACGACGTAGTAAAACCGCGTCCAACTACGAACTGATTGTGTTTAAATTCGCGCGCGCTCTCAGAATTCATCAGTCAATTTTAACAATCAGAAAAGCGAACAAGTCATAAACTTTATTTAACAATTAAGCCATTGGGCTATTATTTAATATTATTATTACTATTTATACGTAAATAAATACAAGTGAATATTTATTGAGTGCTGAAAGTTTTAATATTTTAATCTTAAGTTATTTATTAGAATTTGAATAAAAACATTTAAAAGTGTAACAAAGAAGATTTTGCGTCATGTCATTAAGCAAAAACATAAAACACTATCGGAACCTTGATCGAGGCATCGCTATAGTCAATAAAAGGTAATTATGACTGTATATTTTGAATTTGTGTGAAAGGTTATCATGACTGTGATTGTGAATTATGATGAGGCACTATTAAATTCTGAAATCTGAATATTGTACATACAAACTTGCAGTTCAGTTTCTCCATGGCAACTGCCCGCGACGGTTTCGTCAGTAATTTATTAAGTTACTTGAAAACGCAAGCAGCTACACAACTAATCCTTTCATAATTAGTTTATCTAACAAATTCTACATGAATTGTCGTTATTATTATTATTTCTATAGTTGTTTCGGCTAATTAATTAATAAATAGATAAAATTCCTATCTCTAATTCGGTGTGCAACGTTATACAACAGTTATAATTGAAAATGAGTCAGTTGAACATTGGCCAACTACAAAGCAACATGTTAGTATATTAATTGTTATTTCTACACTTAAATTAAGTAAAATTTTAATTGTTACAAGTGATTTTGTTACATAACAAAGCATTTTAGTTCTAAATATTACATTTCCTGTAAACAGGGTTGCCTAATAAGAAACTTTGACGCAATTTCTTTGTTATGCTGAAATTGTCAGTGTCAGCTGGAGTCAGCTCTATTTGTTTGTGTGTGCATCATTCGCTTTTCATCAAAATTTTTAAAAATGTGCTGTGGTATGCAAGGCCATTTAATCCAAATTCATTAAGTACATCAAATTATGTTGTAGTATTAAAGATGTGTAAGTTAATTAACAAAATCTTGTTCATCATCCTACTGTATGACTATGACTACATATCTTTATATAACTATTGGGTAATTTCATTTCAGGCCATTCACAGCAAGCTCCAATACACTAATTCCACCAAAAATGTCTTCAAAGGCAATCTCCAACTCAAATCTCAAGCTGATCAACACCCTAAAGCTTTATTTCAACAAATTCACCTCTGATAAATCATTGCAGAATGCAGTCAGCAAAGAAGTTGCTAGTATGCTACAAAAGTACCAGCCAAGTGTGTATGGTAATGAAATTGTAAGGAATTTTGATTCATCTGCAGTCACTGCAAATGATCTGGTCAAGAATAATACTAGCACCAAAGCAAAAACTGATGTGAAGAAATCAGAGTCAAGTAGCATTGGTAATGTTATCAATGGCATCTCAATGAAGTTGAAAATCACAAAAGAGGAACCAGCTGTACCTGCCATCACAGAAGTACTACCAAAGTGGAGAACTGAGGCACCTACAATATCAAGATCATCAATTCAATCAAGAACCACACAAATTATTAATAATATTACCACTGCTGGAACAGATGAGGGAAGAATTAAACATGTTTCTGAATTGGGGCAACATTTACAGCTTTATCCAGATGCTAAAAGTGCAGCTATTAAGGTATAACTGGTTTTTGTAGTTTTTTTAACGTTTTATTTAATAAAATAAATTATTACAGGAAGGTGCAATCAGATTATTATTAAGAATTGAAGAACGCACGCGTAGTAATCTTCTAGTCGGCGCAATCAATGAAGTTTTCGCTTTGCTTGGTCACATGAAACCGCTACCAAACCGAGGAATTCGCATTTTATCAATTGACGGGGAGGAGTACGAGGCATAGCAGTTATTGATATGCTGCATAAATTAGAAGAGTTAACTGGTAAAAGAGTCTATGAATTGTTTGATTATATCTGCGGAGTGAGCACGGGTGCAATTCTCGGTTGTTCATTGGGCGCAATGCAAAAATCCTGCGATCAACTACGTAAAGATTACATTGATATTAGCACGAAAGTATTTACGCAGTCTGTGATCAAAGGATCTAGTAGTTTGGTGTGGAATCATTCCTATTACAACACTCAGATGTGGGAGCAGGAAATGCGCGGGCAAATGGGCGAAGTTTCCCTGCTCGCGACAAATCGTATTCCAAAATGCCCGAAAATCGCCACTGTTTCTGCAGTTGTCAACCACGAGAGGGTTTCCGCTTATGTATTTAGAAATTATGCGTTACCATGGCGAGTGCAATCACAGTACATGGGTAGTATGGATCATAAGTTGTGGGAAGCTACAAGAGCATCAGCTGCAGCGCCGACTTATTTCGAAGAGTGTAAGTTGGGTAATCTCGTTCATCAAGATGGCGGCATCTTGGTGAATAACCCAACTGCTGTGGCGATTCACGAAGCGAAATTGTTATGGCCAGATAGTCCAATACAATGCATTGTTTCCTTTGGTACTGGACGCACTGTCTACAATCCAAATGAAGCGGATGAAAGTACTACCACGGTGACATCTTGGACGAACAAATTTAGAACTCTACTTGAAAGTGCAACTGATACAGAAGGTAATATATTAGATTATACATAAATTTTTATAAAGATTAAATTTTATTGTTATTTAAAGGAGTTCACACAATGTTGAGTGATCTACTTCCAAATAATGTCTACTTCCGCTTCAATCCGTACCTGACTGAGATGGTGGGCATGACAGAGATCCAACCGCAGAAGATTGAAACCATGGAGCGCGACGTTATTATGTACCTGCGCCGCAATGAGGATAAGTTTCAACAGGCCGCTGAGTCGCTGATGCAACCGCGAACGTATTTGCAGAAAGCCACTGATTATCTTAATAAACAGCGGGAGTTTCTGGGATTGCCGAGTAAGTTGTAAGCAAACTTAGCGCAGCAATCAGCGACCATTTCTACTGTATTAATGATTAATATTAAATTAATGGCATTCCGCATTTATTTCGTACTGGGTGTTTGGATGCACGAGGTTTTTATCAAATTGACAAAAAGGAAATTTCTAGTAGAGTGAAATTAGCTACATCTGTGATTTCATATTTATTCTATTTAATCTTGTTCTGTATGTTATTAGTTAGTGATATGAGAATATATTGAATGGTTACCATCTAAATATTAAATTATTATTATTTATATTATAGGAATATTGTAATAAATATGGTAAAAAATCAAGAAATACTACTTTTGTTCATCTGTTACTCTGTGGTGTATATTCGGTTGCCTACGTTAAAACACTACTAAATGAACTTATTCTTTGATGCGGTTTTTATCTCTTGTGATGTAGATAAGATCAAAAAAGTTATCGTAAACAACACGCATAAAAACATACCAAAACAAAGTCGTACAATGTTTAGTTAGTCTTGCAGTGTTGCTGTGGCGGTATGTTTGTGCACGAAAGTAAATTGGAAACTAATTAACGTCTTAATAAATCTACTCGCGCGCAAAGTTCTCGGTTCACGTTTGTGCTTCTGTTATCGTTCCACCTTCCACCCGCGCGAGACGGCGTAACACGTTCCTGATTTATGCGTTTAATTGTTTAATAAACTCGCACCTTCACAATGACGATATTCGCATTAAAACTCGCTGCGCGTCGGAATATATTTTACGAGCATTGATTTTTTACGCAAACGATGGGCGTCGTGAGTCCGTTAATACGGCGCGTCGGTAAGTTATGGCAGTTCACCGCATCAATTACAATAATCACTTTTTTATCGGCGATAAAGTTGCTAAAAACGGGAAGGCACGCGGCGCGCGTTCTGTGGCTCGCTTCAAATTTATATCGAATATTAATAGATAGTCTTCGATGGGGTTGTAAGAAGGTGCCGGCCTGGATTAGGAGCGCGGATGATACTTTATGAGGCACTTGAAAATCTGTAAAATCGATTTCGCTTACGAAGTTGCAGTTGGGGTCGGTTATAAATGTAAGCGCATATTCGTTTTAATAATGAAGTGATTTTTTCCAAAGCGGACATTTCTGATAAGTAGTGTTACGACTAAAATTATGTATTACAAGTTCTATTATTTTAAATGAAGATGTGAATATATACATCATTTTGTTTATTATTGTTTATTATGGCAGTGGAATAAAATTATGCATTAGCATAACAATTAGCAATTAGTTTTCTGGCGTTGTGAAGCGTATTGTTTGTTTGGGTTAGTGATGCGCGTACTTTATGCATACTTAAATATTACTCGCAAAAGTGGGTCTAGATGGCAGTAGTATGCAGTTATCGAAATTAAATTTAGAAGTCAACGTAGCGCAGCACGTTATTGCTGTGTGGTGACTGTGTATGTGAACGCACACGCTATGAATGCAGATTGTTTGTGTGTCAGTGAGCCCACATTGAGACGAATAGAAACAAGCGGCTCGGCGTGAGTTCACAAGATGTGAACATTTAAATACGCGGTATTCTTAAATATTCACCTTTCATACAAAACTATTTGTTTCATTCTAAGAAATTCAAGAAACCTTCTTTATAAATATACTTAATATTAATATAAAGAGCAAAGAGTTAAAATAGGCATTACTACTATAATATATATACGCATAAGACAAAATTCATTACAGATATGAAATAATTAGATTTGCGTTATTGCGTCATTTAGATAAGTAAAGATGTTACATTGTTAGATAATACTAGGGTAAATTCCCCGGGGCCCGACTCGCGTTGGTCGCCATTGCCTTTAGTTTAAAAGATATGCACTATTATCGTTTATTGACTCGAATAAGTGACTCGTATTCAAGGCACCGTACAAAGGCAGCGGTAGAAGTGACTCGTGTCCAGGGCACCGTACGTCGGTGCATTGTATAGCTGACTCCCAATTGTCATTTTTTTCGTATTAATTAAAATTACATCTCTTCTATATGCATTTTAATAAGCCTATCCTGTATAAATATTTACGTAGATTAAAACGCTGCGATCAGATCTTATTTATCTCTTTTATGAGAGTTTACGAGATATTCGCGATTGAATAAAATTGGCAAAAATTGCAAAATGTCACTTTTTAGCACTTTTAGTCGCGTTTTTCGACCTTTTACTGTAGGAAATATAATTATTTAATATTTTTATCTGATAGAGAATTTTCCAATCTTTCATAATCAACAATTCGTTGGTAGATATCGCTTTTAGTTTAAGAGATATTACATATCAAAAATCGTCGAAAAAAGTATCAAGCACCCCCCCTTGGCAATTTTTTCTTAAGATTAAAAATTTCATCTCTCAGATTTCCGTTTTAATTATCCTATCTGATAGAGAATAGTCCGTAGATTAAGACGCTGCGATCAGATCTTAATTATCTCTTTTAGTTTTTCACGTTTTAATTATCCTATCTGATAGAGAATAGTCCGTAGATTAAGACGCTGCGATCAGATCTTAATTATCTCTTTTAGTTTACGAGATATTCGCGATTGAATAAAATTGGCAAAAATTGCAAAATGTCACTTTTTAGCACTTTTAGTCGCGTTTTTCGACCTTTTACTGTAGGAAATATAATTATTTAATATTTTTATCTGATAGAGAATTTTCCAATCTTTCATAATCAACAATTCGTTGGTAGATATCGCTTTTAGTTTAAGAGATATTACATTTCAAAAATCGTCGAAAAAAAGTATCAAGCACCCCCCCTTGGCAATTTTTTCTTAAGATTAAAAATTTCATCTCTCAGATTTCCGTTTTAATTATCCTATCTGATAGAGAATAGTCCGTAGATTTAGACGCTGCGATCAGATCTTAATTATCTCTTTTAGTTTACGAGATATTCGCAATTTTTTCTTAAACATTAATTATTGATTATAATAGTCTAAATTGTGGGACTAGTATCTGTCGCATTCATAGATGTCACTAGAATGCACTAAAAATCTTAAAATCGAGTTATACGACTTATTTTTATATTTATCGACAAACGTGGGCACGAGAATAGTTTTGTATACAACGCTGTTATCTGCGATTCGGTGTAAACAACGTTTTTAACGCATGTGTCCCGCACGCTGTCTCCTAGTACGCATCAACTTGCTGCATGCAGTTTAGTTCAGATTACAGGTAATGTGCCTATTGAAAATTCACGCACGAGGTCGCGTGTCATCGACGCGCAGCCGACTTTGCGCATCTATTGCAATTCGCGCACAAGGTCGCGTGCCGTCGACGCGCCGTCTTTGCGCACCTCTTGCTTTCTTATCATATAGGTACTGTCCCGTCGATGTTTACGCAGTTTCGGCATGCACTATCGGCGCATTGCAGCCAGTTTCATGCCGGACGCTGGTTAATCCAGCTGTGTTTTGAAAGACTTATATCGGTTATTCGGACTTCAATATTCTAAATTTGTGTAATACTCGAAGATCAATCGACTATATATTTGTACTTTGCGACTATAGTAATTTGTTTAATGTTCGGAAATGCCGGTTTTTGATTGCGTTTGTTATGTACAAGTCACGTGATAGTGGATTTGATAACATTTTTCACTTGGCGTTGTGTGTGGTGTCGGTTACTAAATTAATCGGATATAATATATCACCTCCATGTTGATTGTCATCATTAAGAATGATCCATCAGGCTCATGTAAGTATTTTTTAACTAAACAGCACAGATTGTTTATTTTGTGTTGATTGTTAATTATAACATAATTCAATTGTATGAAATATTTTTGTTTTAATTTATGTCTTCGTTTAGTTACAGCACTCGTTGTGTCTGGCAGTCCTATAAGCGGTACACTGGTAAGTTTATAATTCAATTATATTTTTCGGTCAAATTTACATTTGCTGTTTATAAATAAGTTTTCTATTTATCACGTACTACCTACCTGCAGAACCGATGAGTATCGCTCTTAAATCGCAAACACAAAAAATTAGCAAAAAATTCACGTTTGCCGGGGCCCGTGGATTTTCCACGGGATTCGCGCTACCTCTCCACGGCCCTGAGTGTACTTTGCGTGAAATCATTTGTGAAGTGTGTCTAAGCAGGTAGCGTGGCCGAGCGGTCTAAGGCGCTGGTTTAAGGCACCAGTCTCTTCGGAGGCGTGGGTTCGAATCCCACCGCTGCCATATACTTTTCCTAATTTTTGCGTCAATATTTGGCAATTTTCACTATTTATTCGTATTTGTCCGGGTGTAGTTATAAATAATTTTGTTAGTAAATCTATATACCATTTTTAAGTTTCACTTTGTAATAAATAGGTTAATCTTAAAGTGGTCCACTCAAGCAAGCATTTCGTCTCTCAAGATTTCCTTTTGGTAGTAAATATCTAACACGATTGGATATCGTCTGAAAGCTCCGCTTCTCCAGGCTCTCCATTCATGCGGAGCGTTGTTGAAGATGGACTCACGTGTGATTAAGCTTCGATGTGTAACCATAACGCAATCAGAACATAACTTTAATCGCATTTAATCAGGAGTAAGATGATCTAATCTTACAACTCATTCCAAGGAATCGGATCGGCTCAAACCGGGCATAAATCATTCTCGCGCGAAAACCCGACCGGGACTAATTCGTCCCATTGCCAAATCCAACGTGGCGGCGAATTAACGCTTCGGCTAACAATCATCGCACTCGAACAGTGCTGAAATTTATTAAACTGCTTACGAAGACAAAAAGTCGTGTTTGCACTTAGTTATTTGTGTAAACGCATTAATCAGGCCGTTCGTTTCCCCGAATCATTTTTAATTTGTGTCAAGGGCGTAGAAAGGAGATTTCATCATGTATATCCTGGGTAACCTGGATTGCAGGATTAGGTTGGGTTAATGTTTGGGCGTTCTCTGGAATTGGTCCACCGGAATATTAGAGAACGCTGGAGTATTCCCGGAAATTGAGTTTGAACTACAACATCCGCTCATTGACATTGCTGTAAATTTATCTACTAGCCATAATACAAACAGATATATTCTTGACATTTGACGATTAATACATTAGTCACCGGGTGAAATTTTATTCAAATCAATTTGAATTGTCTCTTTGGTAAGAAACAGCCGACATAATGCTCTGGAGTTTTCCATTAAAACAAAAAGCGAAATGAAATTGGGTTGCCGAGTAAACAACGTACGAAATTGCAGTGCACGCTCGCGCATCCCCATTACAGCCGATCGCATTCTTTGCCATCGTACGAATACCATCAGCTCCTAGGCTCTCCTGCAGTCCTGGCGATACACTTGTTTCTTTCCGGTGCTTATCCGATGCGGCTGTGCGCGTTAGCGTGGCCCCTGCATCGGCTGAGGATAACATTCGAAATTTATTATTCCAATCGCATTCGTGCACCTACATGCACCGACGATAAAGTAGAAAAAATTAAGTGCCTTTATCCACTTACCTGCCGGCATTCTTTCTGGTCTTGCATGGAGTTACAAAGTACAATTTGCTAGGTAGCTGCTACAAATCAAAATTAAAACAAAACAAAATGCAAATTGGATGAATTTTTGATTCAGGCATAAAGTATTTTTCATAATAAAATTTGTGAAAAATTCTGGAGGACCTTTTGGCAGGAAAAATGTGATTAATTTGGAAATTTGAATTTTATAGAGAATTTCACTTGGATTAAGATTTTTTATTCCATTACTTTCTATTGCTTTTAGTTTTTGAGATAATCGTTATCGAAATACTAAGGAAAATGAAAAGTCCCCTGCCACCAGTGGCGTAGCATTAGAATGACAGGGCTAGCAAAATGCTACCGGCTTTTGATCCAAGGGGGCCCTGCTCCAAAAGCCTGATTTATTAAAAATAAATTGCAATTTGATTATTTTTACTGAGAAAGCTCCGTACATAAAAATTTACAAAAGCAATAAATTATATTGTTACGCCAATTGATAATAAAAACCATGAATTGTCATGATATGTTATCTAAAAAACGTAAAACATAAATTTGTCATTTTATTACAGTTGCAAACACCCATTTACGCTTTGACAATCTATTAGCAACAATTGAAAATCATACTCGCGTGAAACAATACACCACAACACTACAATACAACTAAATTTCTATAAACATGTAAAACATGAAGTTAAATCAGTTAAACATTCACATTATTTACAAATGCTCATCACGCGCATGTGTGAGCACTACGCGCAATTAAAATAAATTAATCATAATTTCAACAAATGACGCGGTTTACATACGACCGAAATTCGTGAATAAATGTGAATGCGTAATAAATATCAACGCTTTATCATCATGATGGTTTCGTGTCACGGCGATCGGTTTAAGCGTGTTTTACAAAACAAATTTACATCCTTTCACACAGTCTACAAGTGCGGTTTGTGCGATTAACAATATTATCATTATATTTGGTGTCGGCTAAATTTAATTACGAGTAGGTACGTGTAAGACAGTTAAATATAATTTGTGTTGGGTAATAAATCAAGTTATTTCTGTCAACCCACGACATATTTCAAAGTGTGTTTTATCATTATTTTACAAAAGTTTTTAAATCACATATAATAATCATATAAGTTACTAACGCGTTGGATTTCATTGACATTGATTGCATTATGTTGAATTATGGACACTAATTATTGTGTTTAATATTCGCTGCTCCGTCGTGACATAAACACTTTTCTCTCAGTTCTCGCTTAGTATTTCTTAACTGTGCACGTTTGTTGTCCGTCAGTCGTAATCCGTCGACAGCTGGTCGCGTGTCGGTTTTTTGTTTGGCAATATCTTGATTAATTAATTAACTAGTGCACATCGGGTGTTACGCAATTGAAAATCTCACATATACATTATGAAATTACACGTGGTGGAAAACTGATTGGGTTCTATATTGGATAAACATTGTACGAAGTGGAATATGGAGAGGAAAAGCGGCAACGTGACCGAACAATACGCAACGGAAGAACGAGCGGATTCGCGGAATTCGCACGAACTCTCCGAGATGCAATCGGTAGTGCAACGTGATTTTCCCGTTTTCTTGACGGGACCTCATTATAAGAAGTATCCGTCGTACAAGTCGTTCAGGTAATTAAATTTTTAGACTCGTTTTTAATTTTTTATTTCGAGAAAACTGAAATTGTATCAATTTTGTTATTGTGCACTGATACAAATCACAATACACAATTCATCCTTGTAAATAATAACGGCTATTATGCTAATGCTTGTTTAACGATGTGCATTTCAATTATTGATACATTGCAAATGTTTGTTTATTCTATGATGAGATAGGTACTTCAATAAACTTACAGTTTGATAAAACACATGAATAAATATCGCGTATTTCTGATAAAATGTATTTATTTTTTTGTATTGTGTATAAAATATTGTATTACGGATGCTGATAGATTAATGTTGACAATTTAATCCATGTAGTAGTGTCAGTGGATTAATTTAAGTAGCAATCGCAAGAAACTTAATGTGAACGCATGTGTGTAATTGTATTAGTCCAGGTTTAATATGAGTTTTAGTGTGTGACGTTACACCGGGAATATAACATCCTTGCAATTTTATTATCCTATAAATTAAAGCTAATTACGCCACTATACAATAACCGTGGCGAGATGGCACGATACCATGAATGACCAAGGGATAAACGCCGTGCGCGGACGACTTCCTCTCGCTGCTCATTGCTGTTACGGCCGCTAATGTTCATTGCTAACGTATTGTCTTTGCCGGTTTGTTTGTGTTTGTTTTACGGCTTTACGTGGGAATTTGGCTAATGCGATGTGGAGCCCAAAACGCGGCGAAATAGCGAATGTAAAAGTCAAACTGTGCTTGCACAGCCCACGAATCAATGACTATGTTAGTTTTAGCTGTTAGTCTTAATACTTCATCATCTCACAAATAAACAAAGTATTTTTTAAAACCAGAGTGACATTGAATTGTGTCGTATTCAATGCTATGCTTGGATCTTGATGAATTATTCAATATGTAATTAATAACTCGTACAAAATTTTAATTTGAAATTCAAATTCAGCGTTGTCGCAATGTCTGTGTTTAATCACGGCAATAATACGTTTCATATTGCTTCGTGTCCTTTTGCAGGAAATTCATTCTTATTAATTTAATTTTTCAGCCCGCAAAGGGACTATTAGAATTTAATTAAATCAGAGGAAGGAAACGCGCTGTGAAGGATCCATTGTTTGATATTACCACCCGAAATTCGGCAAGAAAAGTGTTTGACATGTGAAATTTTTCATTTGCATGTTTAACCTTGCCATCAACGTATAATTCAAGCACTGCGTCATTTTCATTAGGTTATTGTAGAGGGTTTAATTGGTTTTTCAAATATTTGTTCACCTGTGGTTTGATTGTTTGCTCAGCATCTTTCAATAATATTGACGCATCTCATTTTGAATAAAATTGAATTTTGCATGATGAATATCAAGAAGAAGCGAAGCGATTTTATAACAAATTCACTTTATTACTCATACACGCTGGCGCTCGCTACCAATCATCTTTGTTCGCCATCTTCTTCATTATTAGTATCCGGTTATCTACAAGTTTTCCGGGATTGCAGTTGAGTTGTGACTGGTGACTTTAACATCATACATAGTTTGCCGGCAACGAAGCCAAAGTTGGCAAGTTTGTCTAATCTAAAATGATGAAGAATTTCGGGACGCTTCCAGCTATTGGGGAAAAGTCGACGTAATTAGAATGCAAAATGCACGTCGCACGTACTAGAACTACGAGCACAAAAAGTGAAAAACAACAAGCGTAATTCGATTGCACGTCGCATGCAGACGCGTGCAAACACAATTAATGATAATTATACAATAAAATGTGTGTGTGGAGTATGTACGCGCGCTTATCGCATCTCCCAGATAGATACCGAAGAAGTAAACGGGAAGCAGTGCGGTTGGCGTGTGTGCAAATGCATTTATATCTACAAACTGGCATTCGGAATTTCAATTCGATGAAAAATGCTGGAAGCGCTAGACCGTGCGTGCGTTGCTGAGCGCACAACAAAGGAAAAATATAATTAATGCTGTAAATTGAGTTATGCCCGCACACTGTCGCCGTCGATATTCTGCACGCAATGAAATGAAGTCGAAACCAATAAAAAGAGTAGGTATTTCGTAAATCGACATTCAAGTAAAAAGAATCGTTGCTGAAACAAACGTTTTCTGGTTTAATCATGCGCAGATAGATAAAAACAAACTTAATTAATATAGATTTTCTTTTTTTTAGAAACAAATTAATTATTATTTAATTCATAAAAATTATTTCAAGCATATTTTCATCGGTTTTGAAGGAAATATACTGAAAAAACATTACGAAAATTAGTTAAATTTTATCACTTGTTATGAGATTCTTATCTAATCATGATATTATCTTAAAGTAAATACCGCGATAAAGACCTACTTGTGCCCGACAGCTCAAAATAGTAAAAATTTACCGCAGTAACATTGAATTGATTGATCCATCAATAATGTAATTCCTGCCAACTGCGCCGAAGTGCAAAGAAAAACCGTCATGCTTTGACATAATCCGTGAATTAATATCAGCAACAACTCATAATGTTTGTCCCACCCCGCAGGCGTCAAACGCGTGAACCGAAGAGATTAGTGCGTCGGCTAATTAAGAAGAATGGCGGGTCGAACGTGTACAAGGCGCGAATGCGCAACCTCTGGGACCGGTACATGCGCGACTTGGGCCACACAATCGTCGACAGCCGCTGGAGATGGACGGTGCTTTCACTCTCCTCCTCGTTTCTGCTCAGCTGGTTCATCTTCGCCGTTGCGTGGATGCTCATTGCAAACGTGAACGGCGATTTGGATCCGGATAGTCCTTCACCGACGCCCTGCCTTGTCGGCAATATAGGCTTCGGTGGTTATATGATGTTTAGTATCGAGACACAGCAGACAATCGGATACGGCTCGCGGTACATCACCAACCACTGCCCGGAAGGCACGTTCCTGATGTGTTTGCAGATCATTCTAGGGTGCGCCATATGCGGTGCGATGGTGAGCATCGTTAACGCCAAAATGGTGCGACCCTTCCAGATGTACTCCAAAGGGCTATTCAGCAAGAAAGCAGTGGTTTGTATTCATCATATTTACTCGTATAAAACATCAATCAATATATCGATTTTAATACTGTTTTGATTCTTTGAAACAAAATGAAAATCTTGCTTATTTCGCGGAGACTAAGCCGTCAAAATCAAATATTTGTTGAATGATATGCAATTTCCGGCCTCTTTCATTTCTCTCAGATATATCATTAATAATTCATTCAAAATCTAATTTAAATACACAGATATGTCTGCGGGACGGAACGCTGTGTCTGATATTCCGCGTACGCGACGAGAATGGCAGATACGCAATAGGAACGACCGTGAACGCATATCTGGTGCAGAGTCGACCGGAGGAGCCGTTCCTGAAATCGCTAGCGCTGGAAAAGACGGGGCTGCTCATATGGCCATTGGAGGTCGTTCACAAAATAACGCCGTCGAGCCCCTTTTACGATCTCTCGGCCAAAGAACTCATAACGAAACGGTAAGCCCGCCCCGCATTAGATTGAATTTAATCGTCCGCTTCCTTTGATTCACTCGACTTTCGTTTATGTTGCTCGAAAGCGTCTGGCTGTAATTTTTTGTATTTTTTATTCTCAAGCTAATCGTAGACTTTATTTACCATTTTGCACGCGTCATCAGTTTTGAGATAATCGCCACGATGGAGGGAACTTCGGCATCGACGGGTCAGTGCTCCAAGACGCGGACATCGTACCTCAGCACTGAGATTCTCTGGGGATGCGCTTTCAAGTCATGCATCTACTATAGCGGCGAGGCGAATTGTTACACGGTGAACCACGATGAGTTCAATACGACGCGCGAGATCCTTACGCCGTTGTGCAGCGCGCAGCGGCTGAGCGAAGTGCTGCAGGACATCGCCAGCGTAACCGATATTCCTTACAACTTTGCCGATGGTGAACTTCGACGCGAGCAGCTTCACAATCACGATCTAGAGGATAATGATTCCGATGCGGACGGAGAGCAGCGTTTTGTCGCTCATGATGACGACGATGATAACGATAGCGTCTACGATAACATCCCGCGCGCCGGGAAGCCTGCGTTTGAAACGATGAACTCGTCAACTTGCGATGTCGACGTCGAGGAGCTGTTGACTTCATTGGCGAACGCTGTGAAAGCAAAAAGATAATTCCACGGTTATTAGGTATAATTAAGCGAACGAAATCCGAAAATAAATTGAGCAGGCAGGTTTGAAGTTGGAACTTGTCCGTGAATGCTCAAAATGTTGTGGGAGTCGTTTGGTGCACACGTCACTAGCAGTTGTCACATTTTAAGTGAGAGTGTGAGCGCGTGCATGTAATAATACTTTAACGATTGAGTTGTAAACTTCTTAAAGTGTATTTACATCCGTGCGCATAGACTGCCAATAAAGTAATATTTATTTATGAGATAAGAAAGCGTGATGGAGTGAGCTATTTGTATCTGTGACAGATTCATATAAGGAATTTATGGGACGGCGGTAAACGCGATTTTCTCGATTTCATACGCCAGTTTTCCGTTTGATGGGCTACGTGCCGCATGAACTCGACTTCGTGCAGTAATAATTCGATTGCAATAAAAATTGACAAAAATGTTTCAGCATAGTAGTGCGAATAGTGCCGAAGGAAACTTGATTTATGCACCGAAAACAACCTGCTATTCCAGGTAAAACTATTATACGTACAGAAGTAACGTTTTTTGTTTTGTTTTTGTTTTGTAGAGTTTTGACCGCAGACGGTTATCTAAATGTCCATATAAAAGATATACCAAACAAATATCGACGTTATGCGAAAGATTTGGGTAACACACTCATAAACACCCGCTGGCGATGGATATTGTTAACATTGACACTGGGAAATGGCCTCGCCTGGTTGGCGTTTGCATTCGGCTGGATGTGTTTGGCGATGTACAGCGGCGACAATGGCAAGACTGACGGCCAGCCGGACGTTTGCATAGTGGGCACCAGACACTTCACGGGCTATTTGCTGCTGAGCATCGAAACGCTCACGACGATCGGATTCGGGGAAATTTATCCGGCCGATTGTCTCCACAGTTGGTGGATCCTGGCACTAGAAGCGATGGCTGGCGTCGCAATCGAGGGTGCGCTCGTCACGGCGGTCTACGTCAAAATGTCCAGACCCATTAAGCGCGTGAACGGACTATTGAGCAAAAAAGGCGTTGTAATTTCTTCCGACCGCTGTTCCTATTGCGCCATTTGTTGAATTTAAGTGATTTCTTTGTTTAGGTCTGCATGCGCGATGGACGATTCTGTCTCGTGTTTCGTATCTACGACCAAACAGGCCGGTATTGGACCAAGAGTAAAATTAAGGCCTTCATGATCAGCGGCAAGAATAAACGACGTTCAAGTTCCAGTCCTACTACGTGCAGTCGCAGCGAGGAGGTATTTCGCATGCAGAAATTACAACTGGAACCGTGCGAATTACTAGCTGGACCCGTCGACATCGTGCACGTTATTACAAGTCGCAGCCCGCTGTGGACGCTTGCAGCTTCCGATTTTTTGCTTGAAGGGTACGTAGCACAGCACTTCTCGAATCGTTGAACAATTGTGCACTGTTGTTAATTTGCTGTACTTAATTGTAGCTTTGAAATAGTTCTCACTGTAAATGGCGATTCGGCGACGACTGGCCAACCGTCTGAAGCGAAAAAATCCTACACAAGTCGAGACATTCAATGGGGATGTCGTTTCGTCCCGTGCGTTGAATTCGACGAAAACGCCGGCAGTTATGTGGTTGATTTTAATCGATTTAATTCAACGCGAATGTACGCCACTCCTCTGTGTAGTCCCGCACAACTTCGCCATCTGATCAGTGAGATTGACCGCAATGACACGTACGGACGCAGTTCATCCGCAGGCACTTCATTCGACAAATAATTGAAAATATCTCAAAGCGGGTTCAAACGAATCCAATTTCCCAGTAGCATTAATAAATTATCAACATCAGTTTAAATTGAATTACGAGCGGCTGGTCATGGACACGTAGAAAATTTAATTTGAGCACCGATCGTACGGCTGAGAGCACCGTCCGCCGAGGGCGTAATGACGGCGTCGTGCAAATAATCATGAAAAAATCATGGCGTGATGTCTGAAGCACTTGTCGGAAAGACTCGGCAAAGTAAACATTTTTTTGTGTTTTGCGCCTTGGCCAGCAAGAGTCGCCGACTAAGAGGATTGGATTCTTTTACTTCTACGCCTCTTCTATATTCTTTTTCGTTTGGGTTTTTTTTCTTGCACAGTGGAAAACTTTCCTTTCATATTTTAATTTGTCATTGGAATTGCAAAGTTCGCTGCGACGATGACGACTTGGAATCGAAACGACGCAAGGACTTCAGATTGAAGCTTTTAAAAGTGAAGAAAAAGTTATTGAGTCTCAAGAAGTACGTAAAATGTTGATCGCAACTTTCCCTTTCGTTGCATCGATTGATAATAATTATTGTATAGAATTTTGGTTTTAATCAAATTAATTTCTGCCGAAAGGCAGGTCCGAACTTTATGCAAAGAAATTATGCAAAGAATCAGTTATTTCAAGTTTTGTTCCGATGTCTAAATTAGTTTTCAAGTTTCAATGACCATTTTAAACCAATGTGTAGAAATCCCGGTAAGCGCGCTTGTAATGCCAAAACTGGCAATGCTGCAAAACGAATATCTCTGTATGTATGTAAACAATTTTTTGTCGGCGTATCCCACTGCTTATCGAAGTAACCGCGTGTTGGCGACGTTGGCTGTGTGCAGTTCAGTGCTCATGCAGTTCGGTTTCGGTCATCGAGTGAATCCCGCGTGTTCATTGCGACTAGTTTTGTTTATTTATATTATAATTAAATATAACGATTTATGTTGCTAGTGTGATTGCACGCGTAAAACGTTTTTCAACCGTAGAATAATCGTCAGTTCACCTGTGCGCGTGTGTGGTTCCGTCGGCCATCGGTGATTGTTGTTTCGCCTCTGGAATTATATTCAACTCAATTTTGGACTAGTACTCGTTGGTTCTCAAGAACAACCATGTAAGTAAAATTAATTGGGAATATCAGAAAAATTAATCGGAAGCGTGTCGTTTCCAATACGGGTTGTGTTAAAAGTTATCTCCAGCGAAACATGATAATCATAGCGCGAATCTTTTATCAATAATTCGATTATCTATTCGTGTATCATTAACATTTGACAATGTATTTATTAACAACGATCATATATAGTAAATCGTGATTTCGGGTATAGTTACTCGTATAACTTTTAACTAAACAGCACAGATTATTTGTTTTTCTCCACTGTTTGATTATAATATTACTAAGTCGTATGAAATATTTTTGTTTTAACTTATGTTTTCTTTGTTTCATTTACAGTATTTGCCGTGCCTTGGAGTCCCATGAGTTCTGCATAGGTAAGTTTATTGTATTTTATGAGAATAGTCCGTAGATTAAGACGCTGCGATCAGATCCTATTTATCTCTTTTAGTTTGCGATATATTCACAATTGAAAAAAATGGTCAAAAATTGGAAAATGTCACTTTTTAGTACTTTCAGTCGCGTTTTTTGACCTTTAACTGTTGGAAATATAATTATTTTATATTTTTATCTGATAGAGAATTTTCAAATCTTTCATAATTAACAATTAGTTGGTAGCTATTTCCTTTAGTTTGAGAGATATTAATTTTTGAAAATCGTCGAAAAAAAGTATCAAGCACCCCCCCTTGGCAATTTTTTCTTAAGAATTAAAATTTCATCTCTCAGATTTCCGTTTTAACTGTCCTATCTTATAGAGAATAGTCCGTAGATTAAGACGCTGCGATCAGATCTTATTTATCTCTTTTAGTTTACGAGATATTCGCGATTGAATAAAATGGGCAAAAATTGAAAAATGTCACTTTTTAGCACTTTTAGGCGCGATTTTCGACCTTTTACTTTAGGAAATATAATTATTTTATATTTTTATCTGATAGACAATTTTCCAATCTTTCATAATCAACAATTTGTTGGTAGCTATCGCTTTTAGTTTAAGAGATATTAATTATTAAAAATCATCGAAAAAAAGTATCAAGCACCCCCCCTTGGCAATTTTTCTTAAGAATTAAAATTTCATCTCTCAGATTTCCGTTTTAACTATCCTATCTTATAGAGAATGGTCTGTAGATTAAGACGCTGCGATCAGATCTTATTTATCTCTTTTAGTTTACGAGATATTCGCGATTGAATAAAATGGGTAAAAACTGAAAAATGTCACTTTTTAGCACTTTTAGGCGCGATTTTCGACCTTTTACTTTAGGAAATATAATTATTTTATATTTTTATCTGATAGAGAATTTTCCAATCTTTCATAATCAACAATTCGTTGGTAGCTATCGCTTTTAGTTTAAGAGATATTAATTATTAAAAATCGTCGAAAAAAAGTATCAAGCACCCCCCCTTGGCAATTTTTTGTTAAGAATTAAAATTTCATCTCTCAGATTTCCGTTTTAACTATCCTATCTGATAGAGAATAGTCCGTAGATTAAGACGCTGAGATCAGATCTTATTTATCTCTTTTAGTTTACGAGATATTTGCGATTGAATAAAATGGGCAAAAATTGAGAAATGTCACTTTTTAGCACTTTTAGTCGCGTTTTTCGACCTTTTACCGTGAGAAATATAATTATTTTATATTTTTATCTGATAGACAATTTTCCAATCTTTCATAATCAACAATTCGTGGGTTGCTATCTCTTTTAGTTTAAGAGATATTAATTATCAAAAATCGTCGAAAAAAAGTATCAAGCACCCCCCCTTGGCAATTTTTTTCTTAAGACTTAAAATTTTGTCTCTCATATTTCCCTTTTAACTATCCTATCTGATAGAGAATAGTCCGTAGATTAAGACGCTGAGATCAGATCTTATTTATCTTTTTTAGTTTACGAGATATTTGCGATTGAATAAAATGGGCAAAAATTGAAAAATGTCACTTTTTAGCACTTTTAGGCGCGATTTTCGACCTTTTACTGTAGGAAATATAATTATTTTATATTTTTATCTGATAGAGAATTTTCCAATCTTTCATAATCAACAATTCGTTGGTTGCTATCTCTTTTAGTTTAAGAGATATTAATTATTAAAAATCGTCGAAAAAAAGTATCAAGCACCCCCCCTTGGCAATTTTTTGTTAAGAATTAAAATTTCATCTCTCAGATTTCCGTTTTAACTATCCTATCTGATAGAGAATAATCCGTAGATTAAGACGCTGAGATCAGATCTTATTTATCTTTTTTAGTTTACGAGATATTTGCGATTGAATAAAATGGGCAAAAATTGAAAATGTCACTTTTAGCACTTTTAGTCGCGTTTTTCGACCTTTTACTGTAGGAAATATAATTATTTTATATTTTTATCTGATAGACAATTTTCCAATCTTTCATAATCAACAATTCGTGGGTTGCTATCTCTTTTAGTTTAAGAGATATTAATTATCAAAAATCGTCGAAAAAAAGTATCAAGCACCCCCCCTTGGCAATTTTTTTCTTAAGACTTAAAATTTTGTCTCTCATATTTCCTTTTTAACTATCCTATCTGATAGAGAATAGTCCGTAGATTAAGACGCTGAGATCAGATCTTATTTATCTTTTTTAGTTTACGAGATATTTGCGATTGAATAAAATGGGCAAAAATTGAGAAATGTCACTTTTCAGCACTTTTAGTCGCGTTTTTCGACCTTTTACCGTGAGAAATATAATTATTTTATATTTTTATCTGATAGACAATTTTCCAATCTTTCATAATCAACAATTCGTGGGTTGCTATCTCTTTTAGTTTAAGAGATATTAATTATCAAAAATCGTCGAAAAAAAGTATCAAGCACCCCCCCTTGGCAATTTTTTTCTTAAGACTTAAAATTTTGTCTCTCATATTTCCCTTTTAACTATCCTATCTGATAGAGAATAGTCCGTAGATTAAGACGCTGAGATCAGATCTTATTTATCTCTTTTAGTTTACGAGATATTTGCGATTGAATAAAATGGGCAAAAATTGAGAAATGTCACTTTTTAGCACTTTTAGTCGCGTTTTTCGACCTTTTACCGTGAGAAATATAATTATTTTATATTTTTATCTGATAGACAATTTTCCAATCTTTCATAATCAACAATTCGTGGGTTGCTATCTCTTTTAGTTTAAGAGATATTAATTATCAAAAATCGTCGAAAAAAAGTATCAAGCACCCCCCCTTGGCAATTTTTTGTTAAGAATTAAAATTTCATCTCTCAGATTTCCGTTTTAACTATCCTACCTTATAGAGAATAGTCTGTAGATTAAGACGCTGCGATCAGATTATATTTATCTCGTTTAGTTTACGAGATATTCGCGATTGAATAAAATGGGCAAAAATTGAAAAATGTCACTTTTTAGCACTTTTAGGCGCGATTTTAGACCTTTTACTGTAGGAAATAAAATTATTTTATATTTTTATCTGATAGAGAATTAATTATCGAAAATCGTCGATAAAAATTATCAAGCACCCCCCCTTGTCCATTTTTTCTTATGAATTAAAATTTCATCTCTTAAAGTTATAATTGAACTAACTTATTCTTTTCGTAGGCCGAAAAATGTTGAAAGTAAAAGTAAATTTTTGTATGTGTATTTCAACATTGTGAATGTTTAGTTTCGTCATCTCAACTACGTGTTTATCAGTACGTTTGTGTATAAACAACTTTTTTTCAGCTGACGCGTGATATCGGTGCAACCTGCCTTTAAGCCGGCTACGCGCAGCGCACACGGCAGTTGTTTCATCGCGTGGCCTCTGATCGTGTCCCTCTACTCGCTACGCGTTTTGAGGTATTAATTGGATTAATCGTCGTGTTTTCTTTCGGCCATCGGCAAAATATTCGCAATGGGCATGTGTGCCTGTTTCGTTTAATGATTTATGACGGTTAGAGTTTTCGTAAGTGTGAAATAAGTGTCCGTTAATCTCTGCTCGAGTTTTCAGTTGATAGAATATATTACAGGATAGAAAATCTGCTCATCACTGCACAGGTCGGTGGATAATTAAATTTATTCGCGGAAAGTTAAGGCGGTCTAACTTAAATTGATTATTCAATTTGTGGGATATTAAATTTGTAAATTACAAGCACGTGGTGGCATTTTTATCAGACTTCTTCTTAGTCACGTTTCCGAAAATAACACGCTTCATTTAATTTTATTTCATGTGGTTGACCACGCTTACTTTAATATAATAATACAAAGAAATACCTAGTTCTTATTACGTCTTTAACACGTTCACGCCGGCGTGTACCACCGGCGGTACACATGCGTCTGGTTAGTCGGACGGCGTGTACCACCGTATTCAGAATAATTTTTCCAGATGCAGAATTTAATTTTGTATCTCCATGTTTTTAAATTTATTGCAAGAAAATTCCATAACTCGAGTTATATTGAAAGTTGTGTGTGTGCGCCGTAGTACCCGTTGCGCTAGGAATTGTAGTTTTCTGGTTATAACTCGCGAACGCGGTCTCAAACTTAGTTTAGAATAATTTTCGCTGATGCGGAATTTAATTCTTTATTTCCCTGTATCAAAATTTATTGCGAGAAAATTCCGTAACGCCAGTTATAATGATGGTTGTGTGTATACGCACTTGTACTGGTTGCGCTAGGAATTGTAGTTTTCTTGTTATAACTCGCGAACGCGTTCTCAAACTTAGTTCGGAATAATTTTCCCAGATGCGGAATTTAATTCTTTATTTCCCTGTATCGAAATTTATTGCGAGAAAATTCCGTAACGCGAGTTATAATGATAGTTGTGTGTATACGCACTTGTGTACTCGTACTCGTACACTTGTACTCGTGTATGTCGGTGATTTCAACATTGTGAAATTTTAGTTTGGTCTTCTCAACTACGGGTTTACCACTACGTTTGTTATAAACAACTTTTTTGTTCGACTGACGCGTATTATCGCGACGTACCTGCCTTGTACCTGGCAACGCGCAGAGCACACGGCAGTCGTTACACCGCGTGGTCCGCAGTCGTTACACCGCGTAGTCCGCAGTCATGTCCCTCTAATCGCCACGCGTTTTGAGGTTTTAATTGGATTAATCGACGCATGTGGGCATGTGCGGCTGTTTCGTTTAATGATTTGTCGCGGTTAGAGTCTTCTTAACTAAGAAATAAGTGTTTGTCAATCCCTACGCGAGTTTTTAGTTGGTAGAATATATTACAGGATATAGAATTTCCTCATCAATGCAAAGGTACGTGTGTAATAAATTTTTTTCACGGAAACTTAAGGCGGTGTAACCTAAATTGATTATTCCATTTGAGGGATATTAATTTTGCTTGTATTATCTTGCAAATTACAAACACGTGGTTCCATTCCTATCAGAATTATTAGTCCCGTTTCCGAAAATAACATGCATTATTTAATTATTACCATGACGGTTTGAAAAATAATCTGTAGATTATTAAAATGACAATATTCATGTGGTCGATCGCGCACAGTTTGCCGTCGGCCGTCGGCTCGGTCATCCTTTCGCTGAACAAGGGAACGTTTTTAATCGAATTGCACTTGTTAGCATCATTATATTAAGAAGTCTCTTGTTGACGTAATAAAATCTTGTACGGTGAATAGTTCTTCGTTTTTGTAGTCTCCGTATATCTTAATATTTACAAAGAATTACCTAGTTATTTTTATCGTATTTAAAGACAGTAATGCCACGCGCCGTCGCTTGCCGTCTGTTGATTTAGATGTTTTCCACCGGATATTCTGTCAATTTATGATGATGCTTTACCCGTCGGTTTAATTAATTAATAAATATATATTCACAATATATTAAAATGTAATTGTTTTCTTTTCCAGCACCTTTTTGCTTAATTTCCCGATCATTTTTGGGTGATATCTTTTAATTTATATTAAAATAATGTTGTTTCCATATAAATTTCTCGTGTCATGATGTGAATATTGATTATCTTTGTAGTTTCGAAAATTTTCTTTTTGTAACACCCTGTATAATAGTTTTCCTAACCGCACGTAGAAGATTGTCTTTATTTGTGAGTTTTGAATGTTCATTGTTTTGAACTTGGGATTTTCTTTCTGGTACACCCTGTATATTAGTTTTCTTTTGTGTCCGTGAAAATTTTGCTTCAACTGTTGTTTTTAGGATTTTCCATTTTGCACTTTGAATTTTCTTTCTGAAACACCCTGTATATTAGTTTCCCCGATCGTTTAGAGAAAAGGAGCGACGTTTGTAGTGATAGTGATAGTTTTTTGTTTGCGTTGTAAATTTTCGTTTTGTAACACCCTGTATATTTGTTTTCATTTTCAATCACATAGAAAATAGGCTATTTGTTAATTTGATTATCCCGGTAGAACTTTACAAAGTAGTACTTGTTTGCATGTGCGCGACTATGCTGGTCGTAAGTCCTGCTTCAATATGGCGGCACGTATTCTGTTGACTTGTAAAATATAAACTTGTATTCTATTATTAAAAAAGAAATAGTAAGATATATTGACTTCTTTGATTTGTGTGTTCGCCTTCTATCATTTCAGGAACAGGTCTCTAAGAGAGTTCCCTCTCTCAGGGGATGATCCCCTCTATAAAAATTGTTAAGGTAACCTGTATGATTTGTGTACTCCTTCTTTCATTTCAGCAACATGTCAGAACTTGTAAGAATATTTTTAAGTGTCACCTCTCCTGATGCGACTTAAAACTTAGAAATATTTAAACAAGACCTCATAAGGATTGTCCTTATAAGGAGTTCCCTCTCTCTGGTGGTGATCCCCCACCATAAAAATTGTTGATATGCCAGATAATTTCGGGGATGAAGCGCAGAGACATCGTAGCTGTAGGATGGGCCGGGAGCAATGGATGGACTGAAGCAGTAGACTGTCTTATAAGGACACGTGCCAAAAAATTTAAAAATCTGATCCTCCCCTGTTCTCTTTCTTCTATCTTCTCTTATTCTTTACTACTACTACTCCTACTTCTATTTCTCTGTTCTCGTTTCTCCACTTACTTTCTTACTTCTCTTATTGCCTTCACTTGTATTTCAATTTCTCTTATATTTCGTTGCAATTCATATATGCAACCCAAATTACACCTGATATTTTTATATTTGAGAAAAATGCCTTCTATACCTGAGATTCGATCCGTGTCCGCTAGCATGCCAGCAGGTGCACGTCTCCACTCGACCACCGAGTGTTTTTATCATTAATATTTGATTCTTCTATTTATGTTTCTACTTTATTCAACTTTTTAAAAACAACAACACAAGCCTTAGCTATGTTGTATACGTTTCACGCACACAAGATTCATACGCAATATGATGTGTGTTATCCTGGAAACGATAAAGAGGATATCACAAAGAAATGTGAATGCGATTGAAATTTTAAATAGTGTTTTATTAATTATATTTAACAATATATTCATTTTTTAAATAAAGAAATATTGACGGGTATCAAATCCCGCAGCAGTAAAGACTTGCCTTAAAATACGCGCATCTCCAATACTACCGTCATATTGTAAACTCCATGGTTCGTGGCCTTACAAACTTCTTCCATGAGTACCCGCCATGTCTATTTGCAGGAACTTATTTTAATCCAAGTTATTGCTAGATGTGAGAAGATAACTGTCAGCCGACGGAACCACACACGCGTGAACTGAATATCAATTCGCGATTGGTAAAAACACAACTCATCCCATCGCACTTGTGAAACCTCGATCACGCCCGACTCCGGTTCATGTCGCCTATTCTTTATTAACTAACAATGGATGTACTTAATTATGTTCTGAAGAAACAAAATAAGTCGCGATGAACACACGCGGTCCACCCGGTGACCGAAATTACACTGAATGTGCCACTGATCTGCACACAGCTAACGTCGGCAACACGCGGTCACTATCAGTATTGCGATACGCGCGCTGAACACCGTAAATGTTTACATACAAATATTGCGCGCACCTAAACAATGACCTCGAATATTTTTGATCTCGAATATTCGCAGACCTATCTTCTTCTAGTGCAAGTCTTCTATCCGATTGACATACTTTTAAACTGTAACATAAAGAAGAGAGGATTAAAATTAAATTATGTTTTCACACAGACCATTTTTTAAATTCTCACATGTCAATAATTTTAATAGTCTATATTAGTTCCAAAACTCACCAGTTAGTGGACATCTGGGAGGAGGATCTAGAATAGACGAAATGGACGTAGACTTTAACCGTTTAAAGTTTTCATAAAACATTCAATTTACCTTTGGTTTACGATTTCCGTAAATCTCTATACCAAAACGAATAATCAAGCGCATTCAGGCCATCGCCGTATCCCTGGGAGAAAAGAAATTCAATTTGCAATTTTAAATAAAGTTTATGTAATACCTATACAGTTTTATTCGATTGTCGACGACGACTCCAGTACTTTGCGGCAGAAATCTTTGAGCTTCTCCGAGCCCATTCGCGACGGCAATTGAGTCGCCCGTTGGCAGTCTCCTCGACTACAAGTAGTTTCGTCGTCGAATGTGTGTTTTAAGCACATCACTATCGTAGTGTTTGTACTACACCGGAAAGGACGTCGACGGCAGCAGCGCGAGACGACGGCTTGCAAGAGCCGGGTGCACGCTGGGGGAAACTGCAACAATGCATAATCCCGTCGGATAAAGGATTTGCTTTCCGAAAAGCGGGAAGGGTTCCCCAGCCGCACTTTATTGTGTCGAGGCGTTGGTCGTGGCGCAAATAGCAGGCGGAGATCCGCTGTTGTCGGGCTAGATTCGCGCACGGTGGCGCGATCTTGAGTGATAGACGTCCAGCAAACCCAAGTGGAAAACCAGAAAAGTGCATCTTGTCCAACGTGGCGAACACAAATTCGATTGAACTAATCCACCATCGACGACGAGGGTGCGGATAACGCACAACAAACTCAAAATTCGACGCATTCTTTGCTCCCTCCAGCCACATTCGGCGTCGAATGGCGGACAAAGAGAAAACTGGGAATAAAGGCGCAATCAAACTCGCAAATTTTACCGCTCGGCAATCTCTTTATCGCGTTCAATGTTTTGGCATGGTGCTTCTGCGCTTACGGGTTTTTCCGTTTTGGATAGCAACTGTATCATCAAAGAGTAGCACGTGGAGTAATCCATACAGTGCAGGCGCATGTACGAGCTCTGATGTGATTATAACATGCCGCCGAGGGCGATACACATAAACATGAGATGTTTACGTAAAAGGTATACGCACATCGAATCCAAAATTATTTTTATTGATTGAAAGCACTGAACCCACGGCAAACCGACGCGATGTGCCAGCGGGAAATACAAAAAACCGCACGAATTGTGATGTCAATGGATAGCGTTGTTAGCGTGGACGTGAGCTTGTCCACTGTTCTGTCATTCCGCACAAAAATTCAGCGCCACAAACAGGAAGAGTATTACTACGGATTACATCAAACCAGGCTCGATGGAAAACGCTGTCGGAATGCATTGCATAATTTAGTACAATTGTGACGCAGATATTTGCATATGAGACAAACACTGCGCGTATTCTATTCTTTCATTTGTGAAATTAACAAAATAATCAAAGCGTATTTTGAATAATAGTTTAAAAAATGAAACAAGATTTATTCAAATGGAAGAACTTTAAACCATCCACAAGTAGAATGAGTAACGTAGGCAAAGAAGCACTTTAGGAAGCAGTTTACTGTTTCACGCTTGAATCCTTCTCCCTTATGGTGATTCGCAATTCTTTTGTTTTTCATTCTAAGGCGAATACAACCTGTAATGCTTTCGTAAAATTTGTTGGTCTCTGTTTAAACGTTCTTCCAAATTGTAATGACATAAATAAGAGTTAAATTGCCGTGAGCAACAACTGAAATCCCTAGATGCAAAAAATCCAAACAGTTTCCATTGCTTTGTTGGCAAGAAAATGTGGTCAGATCTAACTAGGCTCTGCATAAATCAGCAGCAAACAATGCAGCGCCAACTTGTTTTGCATGCCGTCTAGTAATATTTAAAAGTTTGCCTTTCAACTATAATTTGGAAGCAGAGGTAACTGCGTAGCGACGAAAGCATAAAGTAATTATGGATTTTTAACGAGGAAAAAGTCCACGCTGCTCGAAACAAGGTAATGAAATAAGTTGGTATTATAGTTGCTTATACCTACATAGTTTGCGTTTGCGGATTTTATACGAACACGAGCAACATGTGTTCAGCAAGTTTGAGGTTTGAGGGCGCACGCTACGCATCAACGAGACAAGAGAGCCAGACCCTCGACGAAATCATCGTTATACCGTAACATTATGAACTAATTAATGCATTAAATGTTGGAAATTACGAAAGTTTTAAGTGGTTTGCATTCGTGTGTCATAAAAAAAAGCTAAAAGTGTTTTTAATTCGCCAAGTAGAGTGTACCACTCACATCAAAGGAATGAAAAAAACTTTGCATTGCAAAAAACAAGGTCAATGGTTGTTGATTATTAAGACACATTTGCTATTTATAGCAGAACGAAGCATTCATCCGCGAAAAAAGTTTAATGCCTTTTAAAAGTGTTTTTGCGCCGAAGGCTCAAGTTTTAAGCACGTCGTATTGGTTCCTTTTTGTTGAATGATTACGGGTGTCAGAAAACCCCACGATGGTTGTAAATGATTCCTTCATTTAGTGAAAAATCCATATAACTCAAAAAACTAACCGAGGGTGAGTGAAAGGACGCGGAAAGCGAAAGCTTCCAAACGGATGCACGAAGTGGAAAAACCAGCCTTGTATATATCGATATATTCTAACTCTATGCATATACTCAACAAATTTGAATTCAAATGTATACCGCCTGCCCATTAAATCATACGCTCATGACTTTTTCTCCCCTAAACTCTACAATTCACAAAACCAGTATCCAACACAATCAAATTTCAGAGTTTAACATTTTAAATCGGTCTATTGGGAGATGAAAAATGAATCACTTGATGCGTTGTTGAAAAAACAACCAGAAGAAGGAAATTTACCGCCAGCTTAAACCTATCTTTTTTTCCGGGCTTCTTTTTCCGATAGATGCGTGCGTATATATTATGTATTGCCATATTTCGCCGCCAACCAACCGTCAAACATGCACGCCGCCGCCGATCGAGAAAGTTGTGCGGCGGCGCATTTCTTAACAAAAAAAGTAGGAAAAAAGAAAAGAGTAAAGTTTGCCGGAGGTCTTTGGGGAGAATGCAAACTTAAAGGTCCATCGAGGATAATGTATAAAGAGTTTCGACTTAACGGCTCAATTTAATATTTAAGTAGATAACATTAAGTTAATTCAACACTGGCGCGAAATTTTACTAGCCACCCAGAAAATTTTCAGCGTGTTTTTGACAATGTTGATGATAAAAAATTTATTTATTTTAAGCGAAATTCTGTGTGGAATTTGAAAAAAAGTGAGTTTTCAGCGTCGAATTTCCCGAGTTAGAACCGGCATTTAAGTGGAAACTTAATACTTTGCGGGAAACTTGTTCGTGAACCGATTTCTTGCTCGTGGTGAGCGCACATTGCTTTGCGTCCGCGGCCGCCCAACCCGCCTTCCACAACTCGGCTTTCAGCGCGCTTTAATTGGAAATAACTTGTAATAGTTACGTATTATGCATCTATAAGCGCATTAAAAACTAGTTATTACCAAGTCGAAGCCGGTTGATGCCGTGAATTACGTCGGGTATTACAGCAAACGTGCGCCGCATGCAGATTTTACATTTCGACAACTCGGTCCAACTCAAAAGCCTTTAAACTTTGGAACCGAATTTCAATTTTAAAATGTCCGAGTATATTTACAAATCATATGTTACAATAATTTTAGTATAATTAATTTAATTTCCAGTGTCGATTTAATAAAATTCCTGGAATTTTGTGCGTATATGATGTAAAACCGCCGAGATTTTCATTAAAAAAACATGAATTTCAGCGGATTTATGAAATAGTTTAATTCGGGATCAAATTAACGCGGAGCATGTTGCTGCATTTTATCGGACGCAAGCCAAAACTGTTTAAAGCTGGCGAGCTAAATTCTCAGCGTTAAGCGACGTCGAAAAGAAGAGGAAAAACTGGCACAATTAACTAAATTAGGCTATAAAACAAGCTCTAAGTGGACAATTTTTAAGTCGGATAAAAGCGGCGAAAGAATGGCGAAAGAGTCACGTCGAGATTGCGTCGTAACGGATTAAGTTATAGAAATTACTTCGCGTCCACGCGCTCGGGATAACTATCAGATTTAACAAAGAAACTAAAATCAGCTACGCTGCAATCGAAAAATCAGGTTAATCTCTTTTTAAATTCCTAATATTTTATTTATCCAGTTCAATAAAAACAAAACTTTGTGTGCATGATTTATTTGCTATCGAAAGTTATTTTTATACTAAAAATTTAGAGTAATTCGGTGAATGTTTTTCAAACAATCCATTTTTAATGAAATTTCCCTACTGCATAAACTATTTGGAGAATAAAACTCATAAAATTCCCGCTTTGAAATCTATTATCTATGAAAATCAACAAAAAACGTAATTAACGATGAACAAACATTCCATCTATAAAACATTCGCTATTTTTAATTGATTTTAATATTTTTAAACGCAGAAAACGTTAAATTTTTTTTATCATACTTTAAATACCTATTAGATATTACGCTCGTTATATTTACCAACACTTCAGTAACTTTTATGTGGTTTCCTTATCTAGCACATTTTCGTAAAATTTTTATTTTCATTTTGTAATAAACCTTTAAACTTTAGGGCGCACGGTTAATTTAAACATTATTTCGACAAGATCTCCGCGTCATAATATAGCCTCCACCCTGGCTGCAGAAGCACTCATAACAGCAAAGACTATGGCGACTGACATCATGCAAAATCCCATTTTACGTTCGTTCATTCACTTTATGGCCATATACTTACTTAGTGCATATAGTTACAAAAGGAAACGCCGCCGTTCATCACTTCTCGGTCGTGCGGTGTTTGTTAAAGCCACGCGGTAGCTCAGGGTCCCGAAAAAAGGAAAATTATAAAAATGATTTTATGAGAGACGCTCAACGTACGACTTGATGACGACGCGGACGACACTTCAATGTTCCCTCTTTTTTATGTCGCCCTTAAATCGAGCAAGCAGGTTTCGGCGTGCGAGCAAATGAGCTTGCAGATTTATGCATTTCACCTAGTCGACGATAGACTTCATTGCTTTTTTTCTTCACGCGTGCGCATTTTGTGCCCATTTTATGCTCACCGCAACGTGATATTTTTCATCACGAATGTTTACTCGTCATTTGCATAAGCATCATGCGTGATGCTGAGCATTCCAGACGTTTCGCACATTTTCATTATTAAAGCAAACATAATTACAATTGTGTACTGGAAATTTTTTACAATGTGTCATAACATGTAAGCGTATTGTATTGATGAGGGTCGCTCAACAAAATGTGAAATTAAAAAATTCCGCAAAATCCCATTAAATCACATTATAAGCATGCCTGGATATTGCTATTATTGGAATTTCAGACATGTGTGTCTTTCATCAAAAATTTTCATCAATATACTTCCGGAATAAATTAAGAGTCAATTTAAACCAGATTAAAAAGCAATGAAATATTAACAATCAAAAAGTTCACCGCCTTCACGCGTT